TACCAAAAAAGCACTCCGAAATCAGTACATGGTTTGCAAGATGAGTTAAGTCAAACGTCAATTCCGAAACAAAGAAGTCGTCCGTCGTCGGTGAAACCTTTTGATTCCTCATCCGAGGGGTACCAAAAAGGACATGGAAACGACCCTGGTGCTTTCGGAAGCAGCTCTACATCAGTTAAAAGTACAGAGGATCTCTTCGACAGAAGCATGAAATTGACCTCAGCTCTATACCCAAGAAACACTCCGAAATCAGTACATGGTTTGCAAGATGAGTTAAGTCAAACGTCGATTCCGAAACAAAGAAGTCGTCCCTCGCCGGTGAACCCTTTTGATTCCGCATCTGAGGGGTACCAAAAAGGACACGGAGACGACCTTGATGCTTTCAGAAGCAGCTCTAAATCCGTGACAAGTACAGAGGATCTCTTCGAAGGAAGCATGAAGTTGACCTCAGCTATAAACCCAAAAAGCACTCCGAAATCAGTACAAGGTTCGCATGATGAGGTAAGTCAAACGTCAATTCCGAAGCAAAGAAGCCTTCCCTCGACCACATCTTCCCAGGCAAAGCGAGTGGCAACCTCAGTTTCCGATCCACTTTATGCCTCACATCAGTCATCAATGCGTTCGCCTAGCGTGAAGATGACACCACGGATGAGCATCCCCACAGACAAAGCACCGGGTGACACGTTGTCCACAAACGCTCGAAAGCTGTCAATACTAAGGTTACGGGATCTCTTACTTCTGGATGATGCAAACACACCATCCGAGAGTTCCCACATTAGACGTACATCATCAGTGGAACCTGACGAAAAAGTAGGTCTACCTACAAATACATCGCGGACAACTAGTTCACATCGGCTGGAGCGCCCCGAACCAAAAGTTGCATTTAACACCGCCAGACTGGAGTCTAGCATTCCAAAACACGGCTCAGATAGGTCTGCTGGTCCCAATTGGCCGAGACAATCAATATCTCAAGACAGCCCCAAGTCCGGGCGAGACCTCTTCCGCTGGCCTCCTTCGTATTCTTCTGATACCAGTTCCGATTAGCGGAGGCCCACTCCGACCGGTCAAATGCCATGTCTATTAGCCTAATATTGTGGCTGTGAATTCCGTAAACAAGCTTATAATTCAGTACCCCCTCAACGGCGCTTCTGCGCTCACGCGAAGACGCTACGAGATGATGCACATTAATCTTATAGGCAACTTCTGGGTTTGTAAACGAAAACAATTATTGCGGATATCAATCTGTTTAGGCAGTGCTCTTCTCGGTCTTTATAGCATACTGTCTGTTTATATTGCTCATAACCAAAAATCAACAAATCTTTGTAAGATAAAGCAGAAGCTGGGCCTCTTTTTTGTTGAACAAGTCTCCTTTTACAAATCGTTTACACTGGATTTAAAACCCAGCGCATCCTCATATAAAAATTATTATTTTTAAGCAACCTTTATCTGTGATTAAGTCTTTAAATTGGGAGTCAGTTGATTGAGCAAATGTTCAATTAGCAAATTTTATGTAAATTTTATCAGAATATGTGAACGTTTGGAAGGCACGCTTGTGCTTGGGGCCGTCGGAGTTTGTTTTTGTTTATTATTTTGAAACAGGATAATTATATTTTTGGCTAAAATTGTCAGTGAGGTGGAATTGATGACAACCTGTATCGATTGTGTGAAGGTGAACGATAATTTAGTTACAATTGCGACCAACGATATCCAATAAATTCACGATTGAGTGTGATATAAATTGTAACATTACCGTCACCAATTCCCATTAAGTGAATGACATATTATTTTTTTAGGTCTGCAAATAATAATAAGAGTGATAAATCCATTCAAGAAATACGATTATGAAAATAATTATTAAATCTTCAAACATTTAACTTTTTTTTTTAAATTGAAAGGAAAAACGCTACCTTGAATTTAAAAATATTGACATGTACACTTGACAATAAATAAATAAATAATTGACAACAAATAGCGTATTTCGTGTTTAAAATTGACAAGCAAAACATGAAGAGGCCGAAGGCACAGAAGTTTATTTACATTTCAAAAATGATATTATAATGCAACCGTCATCTATCCAAACGCGTAGGTGATAAATCAAATTTTATAAAATTCAGGCACGGCTCATCGGGGGGGGGGGGGGGGAATAAAAAAAAACAGCTGTGTCAAAAAAATTTAACTGGTAATAATGTCCGCCTGTGCACAAAATACGGACAGAGCAAACTTGGTTAGTGGGTATTTACAAGAACGTCATTCTGTAAAAGTGTGTTAATAATCGTAGGATTTTTAAAGCGCCCCCATTGAAAGTATGGTATGACCCCCCCCCCCCAATCTATTGATTTTCGAAACAAACCTGTCTACATTTCAGATTTTTATGCTGATGAAACCAACCAACCCTGCAAAAATTCCTGGAATCGCCCCTGAAATTTCCAACTAAGAGTGCGATGAAAATATAGAGCTATAATTTAATATAGCTCTATGGATGCAAATCACTTCAAATTAAAAAACGATTGATGGTTTCGATACCCATTTTGGAACTATCGAAACTTCAATGGATGGTTATGTGGGGCAGTTTTAAACTCTTTCGGTATACAGTGGATAAAAAAAATGTAATAAATTAAATATAAAAAAAACACCTTGGCCTGTTCTACCATCTGTTATTAATTTGCATTTTAAGCTGCCAACTAGGCAATAGTCATTACCCATTATAGAGTTTTATTTGCCCCCAAAAGTATAAAGTTAGAGTAAAACATGCACACCATTAATAAGTGAAGACGCACTGTATATAGAGCATACAGCACCGCTATCTATATCTCGATTACTAGCATCTTGAACCAAGACTAATTTAGCGCTAGTGACTATAAACCTCGGACTCACAAGGACTATGTTGCTTTTCTTGCTCCATTGGTTCTTTGGTTGGTTGGTCAATTGCAAAAAAACAACAAAAAAAATCCAGATTCTGCCCAAGTATCTCTTTCTTATTGATTTTTGTTTCTCACAGCTTCTCCCGTTCAGCTAGACTTTCAATGTTTGCATACATATTCAATAGATATTAGGGCGTAGAAGCGCCATGAAGACCAAGTCAAATCTCCTTTGTAATTTTAATTGTGTGGTTCTAAAAAAAATTGGATAACTGGACATAATTATGCTCTGTTCGTAATGTGCTTCTTCCATTTACACAATTCATTTTTTTAACTGTCACGTCCGAAGACGAATACTTCCGCCAAAAGCCTTTTCCTATAATTGGTTATGGATGGAACCTTGATTTCGCGGACTAAACTCACGAGAGCCACTGTTGTCGTAACTGTAAAGTGATCTTCAACATAGAATCATGTCCGCATATTTGAGCAAATCAAAACAACATGATTCATATCGGTTTACTCGACACGGATGACGAACCCGACTGGCAGACGATACGGACAAGGGTAGAACGCGAGTGCTTCACCATAGCGTATACACCAATCTCAACAACGGTCCCAAGGTCACATTGGCATTACATTAGATGTCATAACTCATAACTCCTTTGTTCCTCTCTGTTATCTAATAAAGCTGCCCATTCTGTTGCGACTAAGATGGGGAAAACTGATGCCATTCAAAAATCAGAAATCAATCAATCATTGTAGAAAAGGATATAAGGCCAATTTTGTGTACAAGAAATTAAGTGTTTGCTTTACGAGACTTTTATTACCGGATTTAAATTATCCAACATTATCTCATATAAGATGATTGATTACAGCGATACCAACCTTAACCTGGTGAATTTAAAAACGCAGCATTTAAATGGAACAGACAGTTAAATAAGCAAAATATCATTTTAGCAAGTCAATTTTACATACATGTAACCTTCATACGAATTCGAAATTCCTGCGCATATATTTTTATCTCTTGGTATATGGCTGTTGTATTATCTACGATTCATTTATTGTCCCTCCCCCTGTATTTTATATGCCCTTTTAATCTACATGCTATTCGACCTGTGTATTTTGTACGTTCATGCCACGTCTACAGGCTTACTATTAACAGACACAATGTTCATGTTTTGTCAATAATTGTTATCTAAAAAACTGTAAATACACGAGGGTCAGAGTTGAAAGCTGTGGTAATTTCCCCGATGAGAAATACTGTGTTTGCAAATAAACGAGGCTATTGAGATAAAAAGCTTTACAAACTGAGTGGTGCAATGTAGCGTTCATTCGCGGCGGTATATTGTTCCTGGCAAAAAAATTATAATATAATAATAATGATATAAATACTCCATGATTCATCGGGACTCTCCCACATTTATTCAGGAAATGATGAGAAATAACTGAATGACATTGTAACATGTACTCAGCTTAACGGAACATTTTGGCTTTCTGAAAGTACTACAGGAACTACTGGAAAGCAAGTGTAGTTGTGAGATCCGCTTTCCATAATAAGGGGTCTTCAGGATATATCAAAAAGAGCAACTTTACAGGTGAGTTGAAAAAATCTCTTAAATTCACAAATTTCCAAAAGAGTGAACTTTAACTAGGGACTAGACGATATAGAGTAAAATTCACTCTAATTTTTGATTGAACACTGGTTGGCCAGACGTTTTCAAGTGAAATTTTTACAATCGATTAACCATGGTTCCTCGTTTTAGTCGGTGGTAGTGAATTTTCAGTCGAATCAAGTGATTTTTTTTCTCACTCTTTGGAATTAACAGCATTGTCTCTCTAACTGGAAATTATGGGGTGTGAAGCATGGGCGTCGCCAGAATTTTTTCTAGAGGGGGGCAAAACAAATTTTTGCCAAAAAATGCTTGTATTTCTCAACGCATTCTCGATTTATCAATTTTAGAGGGGGGCAGGGACATTTTGCCCCCCTCCCAACTCATTAAATTTACACCACTTTGTCTTCGCGCCTCTTTTTCTTTTTTTCTTTTTTTCTTTTCTTTTTCTTCCTTTTTTTTTTTTGTTTTTTGTTGCTTTTCCAGGGGGGGGGCCCCCCCCTTACCCTCCCCTCGCGACGCCCATGGTGTGAAGTCTGAGGATAAGTCTATTGTACAAGTAAATTTATGTCGTACTGTAAATTCTAAATATTGTTTCACAGGATGGAACCTTGGAACCGTTTTGCGACAGATGCTCAAGAAGAACCCGCCGACTTCTATCGTCTTGTACTGACAAAGGTCTTAGATGATCTCATGGATCAGGTTGGTGGTATATCGCAGATTGAGGAGGTTAAGATAGCACTGAGAAAGATCTCCCATATGTACAAAGGGGGACTTTCGATCGCTTCTAGCCAGTATCGTTCCGACTGGAGTAACCCAGCAAACCGCTGCGCATACGTCTTCCTTTACTTGATGCAGCATTGTCATCTTGTGTACTTCTCGCTTGAACAGTGCACATCAAGGATCTTGAACAGTTGGCGCAACAAGAGTAACTTGAAGGTTTGCAGCATCGGAGGCGGGCCTGGGTCAGACCTGGTTGGCTTGACAACCTTCCTCCGAACGCACGGCATATTCCCGCCTTCCTTGGAATGCCGTGTCTTGGATCTGTACCCCAACTGGAAAGACACCTGGGACACGATACACCAGTGTATTCCTCAGTATTTCAGAGTAGCATACGAAAGATGCGACGTTGTCAGAGATATGGGCCTTACTGTTACTACTCATCGATTCATCCGACAGGCTGACATGCTTACCTTGGTGAAGCTTTTCTCCGCAGTTTCAGCTTTCTTCCGAGCCGACCCTGGACGTGGAGATCTCCTTCGATCAATTCTGCGTGAGATAAAGCCAGGCTGCTTCGTGCTGTACGTTGACAATCAACACGATATCGACACTCAGTTTGAGAAAGAGTTTGCGTCTCAACTTGGACTGGTTAAGGTGTTTGAATTCCGGGGCAAACCCACCTTACCTTTTGGACAGTACTCCAGCACCGTGAGGAGATACCATGACGAACTACAATGCTGGCCATTGAGTAGCTGCAATGTCTTGATCCAGCTTTACGAAAAGTTGGCGGTTCAGCCGGGCACCATCTCCCAGGTCCATGAAACCCAAATCCCACCTCAACATTTTGGTTCGTCTGTAATTGACCGGGTTCAGCTTGGTTTACACCGCCGGGTAAACATTGACGATCGTCCCAGCAGCTCGTCCCAGCCTCGTTACAGTTCATTTCCTGCACAACGTATGCTTACAGCTCATTCCCCATCACCGGACTTCTATACTAACCAATCGCAAGTGCCCACGTCGCCGGTCATCCATGGAATCAACACTTTTCCTCAGTCAGGAACCGTTTCTCACCGTGCAGTACCAAAACAGAGCGACTCGTCGTACACGATTCCATCTCATCATGAGTCACGTTTTGGTAACTCTTTGTCAAGTTCCATGACTTTGACACATCGGGAAATTTCACCCGTGACGCAATTTCCCCCTTCTGGCAATTCAAGCTTTCCAACAGGTGCGTCTTATCACACTCAATCTGCTGTTCCTTGTTTTCCAAAGGCGACTGCCCACCCAAACTCACCATTCAATCAAGTTCCAAAGACGACTGCCCACCCAAACCCACCCTTCAATCAAGTTCCAAAGGCGACTGTCTACCCAAAGTCACACTTCAATCAAGTTCCAAAGGCGACTGCCCACCCAAACTCACCCTTCAATCAAGTTCCAAAGGCGACTGTCTACCCAAATTCACCCTTCTATCAAGTTCCAAAGGCGACTGCCCAACCAAACCCACCCTTCAATCAAGTTCAAAAGGCGACTGCCCACCCAAACTCACCCTTCAATCAAGTTCCAAAGGCGACTGTCTACCCAAACTCACCCTTCAATCAAGTTCCAAAGACGACTGTCTACCCAAATTCACCCTTTTATCAAGTTCCAAAGGCGACTGCCCACCCAAACTCACCCTTCAATCAAGTTCCAAAGACGACTGCCCACAAAAACTCAACCTTCAACCAAGTTCCAAAGACGACTGTTTACCCAAACTCAGCCTTCAATCAAGTTCCAAAGGCGACTCCCCACCCAAACTCACCCTTCAATAAAATTCCAATTGCGACTGCCCACCCAAATTCACCCTTCAATCAAGTTCCAAAGGCGACTGCTCACCCAAACTCAACCTCCAAAGGTGACTGCTCACCCAAACCAACCCTTCACCCAAGTTCCAAAGGAGACTGCCCACCAACATTCACCCTTCACTCAAGTTCCAAAGGCGACTGCCCACCCAAACTCACCCTTCAATCAAGTTCCAAAGGTGACTGCCCACCCAAACCAACCCTTCACCCAAGTTCCAAAGGAGACTGACCACCAAAAGTCACCCTTCACTCAAGTTCCAAAGGCGACTGCCCACCCAAACTCACCTTTCAATCAAGTTCCAACCCCAGCTCTCTACCCCAGAAATGCTTCGAAATCAGGACTAGGTTCACACGTTGAGTTAAGTCAAACGTCGATTCCGAAGCAAAAAAGCCTTCCCTCACCGGTGAAACCTATTGATTTCTCATCTGAGGGGTACCCAAAAGGACACAGAGACAACCCAGATGCTTTCAGAAGCAGCTCTAAATCAGTTAAAAGTACAGAGGGTCTCTTCGACAGAAGCATGAAGTTGACTTCAGATGTATACCAAAGAAGCACCCCGAAATCAAAACAAGGTTCGCAAGATGAGTTAAGTCAAACGTCAATCCCGAAGCAAAGACGTCGTTCGTCGTTGGTGAAACCTTTTAATTTCTCATCTGAGGGGTACCCAAAAGGACACGGAGACGACCCTGGTGGGTACCCAAAAGGACACGGAGACGACCCTGGTGCTTTCGGAGATAGCTCTAAATCAGTTAAAAGTACAGAGAATATCTTCGAAGGAAGCATGAAGTTGATCTTAGCTATATACCAAAAACGCACTCCGAAATCAGTACCAGGTTCGCATAATGAGTTAAGTAAAAAGTTAATTCCGAAGCAAAGAAGCCTTCCCTCGTCGGTGAAACCTTTTGATTCCTCATCTGAGGGGTACCAAAAAGGACACGGAGACGACCCTGGTGCTTTCGGAAGCAGCTCTAAATCAGTTAAAAGTACAGAGGATCTCTTCAACAGAAGCATGAAGTTGACCTCAGCTATATACCAAAAACGCACTCCGAAATCAGTACAAGGTTCGCATGATGAGTTAAGTGAAAAGTCAATTCCGAAGCAAAGAAGCCTTCTCTCGCCCGTGAAGCTTTTTGATTCCTCATCTGAGAGGTACCAACCTCTTGGGGCTTTCGGAAACAGCTGTACATCAGTAAGTACAGCAAATCCCTTCAAAAGAAGCATGAAGCTGACAAGGGTGGATTCGAATTCAAGTCACAGCTCACACAGTAATAATCACTCACAGCATTCAGATAACTCCTTCCTAAGGCACGAGATGAAGTATCAAGGTTCACTCAGGAGACAAGACATGCCAATTACCTCAGCTCGCGTATCAGGTGAGACTGAAAAGAACGTGGCCATAAAACAACAGGCAGATTCCATTGTCAAGGACGCACACATCATAGATCTATCAATCCGCAGCACCAACCGATCACCACACTCGGCCAATCAGATGTACTTGAGGGCAGTATCGAGATCCCATTCGAGAGAAGTCTCACGAAGCGGGTACTTCCTCGCAGCCAATTCGTCCAGCAGTAGGCCTACCTTCTGGGATGGAAGTGCCTTCCTTAGTTCGAAACCAGAGCACCGACGCCAAGTCTGCATCACTGGCTGGCAACTCTGAGAGGTTCATGGAGATGAGACAACGGATAGGCTCACCTGCAATTCAGACATCGACCAAAGGTCTCCTCGATACAATCAAAGCGACCACATCTTCCCAGGCAAAGCGAGTGGCAACCTCAGTTTCCGATCCACGTTATGCCTCACATCAGTCATCAATGCGTTCGCCTAGCGCGAAGATGATACCACGGACGAGCATCCCCACAGACAAAGCACCGGGTGACACGTCGTCCACAAACACTCCAAAGTTGTCAATACTAAGGTTGCGGGATCTCTTACTTCTGGATGATGCAAACACACCATCCGAGAGTTCCCACATTAGACGTACATCATCAGTGGAACCTGACGAAAAAGTAGGCCTACCTACAAATACATCGCGGACAACTAGTTCACATCGGCTGGAGCGCCCCGAACCAAAAGTTGCATTTAACACCGCCAGACTGGAGTCTAGCATTCCACAACACGGCTCAGATAGGTCTGCTGGTCCCCATTGGATGAGACAATCAATATCTCAAGACAGCCCGAAGTCCGGGCGAGACCTCTTCCGCTGGCCTCCGTCGTATTCGTCTGATACCAGTTCCGATTAGCGGAGGCCAACTCCGACCGGTCAAATGCCATGTCATTAATATTGTGGCTGTGAAATCCGTAAACAAGCTTATAATTCAGTACCCCCTCAACGGCGCTTCTGCGCTCACGCGAAGACGCTACGAGATGATGCACATTAATCTTATAGGCAACTTCTGGGTTTGTGAACGAAAACAATTATCGCGGATATCAATTAGTTTAGGCAGTGCTCTTCTCGGTCTTTATAGCATACTGTCTGTTTATATTGCTCATGACCAAAAATCAACAAATCTTTGTTAGATAAAGCAGAAACTGGGCCTCTTTTTTTGTTGAAAAAGACTCCTCAGTTTACAAATCGTTTCTACTGGATTTAAAACCCAGCGCATCCTCATATAAGAATTATTATTTTTAAGCAACCTTTATCTGTGATTAGGTCTTTAAATTGGGAGTCAGTTGATTGAGCAAATGTTCAATTAGCAACTTATATGTAATTTTTATCAGAATATGTGAACGTTTCGAAGGCACGCTTGTGCTTGGGGCCGTCGGAGTTTGTTTTTGTTTATTATTTTGAAACAGGATAATTATATTTTTGGCTAAGATTGTCAGTGAGGCGGAATTGATGACAACTTGTATCGATTGTGTGAAGGTGAACGATAATTTAGTTACAATTGCGACCAACGATATCCAATAAATTCACAATTGAGTGTGATATAAATTGTTACATTACCGTCACCAATTCCCATTAAGTGAATGACATATTAATTTTTTAGGTCTGCAAATAATAATAAGAGTGATAAATCCATTCAAGAAATACGATGATGAAAATAATTATTAAATCTTCAAACATTTAACTTTTTTTAAAATTGAAAGGAAAAACGCTACCCTTGAATTTAAAAATATTGACATGTACAATTGACAATAAATAGATAAATAAATTGACAACAAATAGCGTATTTTGTGTTTAAAATTGACAAGCAAAGCATGAAGAGGCCGAAGGCACAGAAGTTTATTTACATTTCAAAAATGGTATTATAATGCAACCGTCATCTATCCAAACGCAGAGGTGATAAATTAGATTTTATAAAATTCAGGCACGGATCATCCGGGGGGGGGGGGGGAAATAAAAAAACCCAGCTCTGTCAAAAAATGTTAAATGGTAATAATGTCCGCCTGTGCACAAAATACGGACAGAGCAAGTTTGGTTAGTGGGTATTTACAAGAACGTCATTCTGTAAAAGAGTGTTAATAATCGTAGGATTTTTTAAAGCACCCCCATTAAAAGTATGGTAAGACCCCCCAATCTATTGATTTTCGAAACAAACCCATCTACGTACATTTCAGATTTTTATGCTGATGAAACCAACCGACCATGCAAAAATTCCTGGAATCGCACCCGAAATTTCCATCTAAGAGTGCGATGCAAATATAGAGCTATAATTTAATATAGCTCTATGGATGCAAATCACTTCCAATTAGAAAACGATTGCCGGTTTCGATACCCATTTTGGAACTATCGAAACTTCAATGGATGGTTATGTGGGGCGCTGACCACCGTCAATTATTTTACTAATATAATAAGGTCGGATTTTCATGCTACATTTCTTGACGGACTGAGGTTTTTTCCAAGTGAGCCATCTCATGCTGTCCATGTTTGCTGTACGTTGTCCATAGTACTTGCCATTCAGATTGGAGACGTAACACCAGTCATACCACCATGCTCCGATGCTCATTCTAGCACAGCTCTCGGTTGGGTTATTGTCATTTTCCTTATCCTTGGTGGAGAACAGCTTGCCATTGTGCTTCCTTGTCAGCGAGTCTCCTGCCGGGCTACTGTCATTGTATGAGGCAACTTTGAGCTGATAGTTGTCGCCAGAAATTTGAAATTGTCCGTATTCTGCGTAGACTTTCTCATTGTCCCAGTCCTCTAACTCGACCCTTAACTGCCAAGTTCCCTTCTCAGTCAGATTGCGCAAGATGTCATTCCCGATCCAGAACTCACCAGACAAGTCGCCGAAGCCCACCTGGTAGTCAGCCCAGTTGCGGTAGAAGTCCACAGTACCATCTTGACGTCGCTGAATGACGATCCATCCTCCACCGTCAGTCTCCATATCGCAGTATACACGGATGCCATGGCTGATGAGTCCACCAGGAAAGATTGTGTAGATACCGCTCACAACAAAGCCTGCCGCCAATCACTCCTTGTAACTATTGTGACGAAACAAAAAATACCGAAGATGGTGTAAAATAGAAATTGATGGTAATATGAGACAGACGACAAAAACAAACTCTTTGGGAAAAACCATCTATCTGTACAGCTCGTTTTATGTCCTTGAATGGTTTTACAAGTAATTGCATCTCAATACAATATAAAAAGGGCAGCAGCTGATCTGAACAGTTTTTACCTTGATAAGATGACAAAAGCAACACTTTTTTCTGCATATGAACTTTAAAAACGGTCCATGAAATGACTTTTTTAAGAACACTTTTTGTGTAGCTTTCTTCACCACTAAATGTATACAAACTATTTCACATCCTTTTTTGGTTAATAATTATTATTGAAAAGTGCACTACTTTAAACATTAAAAAAATGTCCATACTTTTCCGGACAACTGAGAGCACTGTTGCTGCGATGTCATTTCAGGAAGACACTGTTCAGTTCAGGGGTTCTGAACACACAAATTTGTTCATTGAAAATATTTGTGAGAAAAGTTTGCTCATTTTCTTACTGCCATTTGCTAACACAAAAATCGCCAAAGAAAAGAATTACGACAGCAAAACATCCACAATTCTGGCAATTTTTGATGCTAAAATAGCTGTAACATTGAGGTTTCTGCCTGAATAAAAGGACATCGCACATTTGTTTATGAATATGGAAATTCGCATTAGCATAAGAAAATGCACCCAAATAACCCTGAAAATGGCAAAAACGATGATTGAAAATAAGTTTAAATGCGACACAAAGGTGCATTTTCAAGGACTGTATTAAAACAAATTACATAGTATAGGCCTATGCTCTTTTTAACAATCAATCAGGCGTTACTGAAATATTGAAATACGTCTTTCTCGTTACTATCTGACCAGACATGCAAACTTTTCAACTGCCTACCTCGTTTTGTTCAATGCAATAGAGACGTCCAGATATGTTGGGATCTCTGATGAAGTGATGCTGCAGTCAACCTAAATATAAAGTATAAGAAAAATATTACTCAACCATGCTCATGTTGTTTCCCCTCATAAGTCATCATGCCTGAGACTGAGAAACAACACGGCCGTATAAATAGCAACTACACCGTTACTAAATCAACCATTTATTTATAAAGGGCATGGGCTACTTGAAATTTTCAAAGATGGTGTACGTGAACCTGATATCGATCGAGCTCAAAGTCAGTTTATGTGGGCATGAAAATCAATCACATCCAACACAGTGCTTATTTGAGATACAATTGAAAAGGTACTCACAGTTGATTCATTGAACGCGTAGAAACTGCCAGATCTCATCTTCAGCCTCCGAGTGCCGTGCAAGTGTGATGCATTGTTGAGAGCACACTGGCTTGTCTCTAAGATGTAGTTAGTAGACTTGCAGTTGGGATGATCAAGACACAGATTGAAGGCCAACGGATTGATGGAAACTGGGATAGCCAAAGCATAGTCGACAAACCCACACATGGGTTGGCCACCGAAACTTGTGTGAGCAAACGCAAATGCCCCCAACGCAATGGGAATAGTGATGAAGAGCGAATACTGTAAGATTTTACCACTGGCTGCCATTTTGGATGGTGGCAAGGAGTTTCAAATCGAAATTTATAAGCGAATTCTTTCTTCTTGCAGTTGCAGTTTTTCCTTCGAGTGCCACATAAGGAGTGATATGGTCCCATATCTCAATCATCACTGGTGTTGTTCAAGCTGTGCGCCTTTTCGTCCATCATTACTAGACGATCAATGTAAATTACCGGCCGACGCCAGTAAGCAATATGCTAAAAACTGCCAATTTCACCATCCTGCAATAAGTCTGCAGCGTGGTCGCACCGTTTAGGTCTGTTTCATATCACCTTGGTGAAAAATTGTCTGCAATAAAAACACCAGGCGTAACACAGAGGGAAGAACGAGTGTCAGACACGCCATGGATATTTTCAAATCATCTGTAAAGAAGCATTTAGAGCAGAAGTAATTCGTGCTAAAAAAAAATTAAAAATCTGCAGAAAGATATTAAAACACCCCAAAGAGAAGAAAAATATGAAAATAGTGGAACAAACATCCTGCCATAATATATGTCATATAAATAAAATCCTTTTGTTGATACACATCTTGCAAAATGGAGATTTATTTCATATCTTGTGGTTTGTGGGCGTATATACGCACGACATTATACACGCACACCACTTATCATACTGTCGTACCCTTTGCACACAACTGCAGCGCATGATCCGCTAAGCTCCGCCCCATCCGGTTCGTAAGTGTGACGTCATTTCAACTTATGCCAAGTTCCGTGTTTAGCCAATGGCACCAGTAGTACGTGCGCGCGTGTATGACGAAGAAGTCACTTACGATTGTTTTGACCAATCACAATACAGGGGCGACTTGTACACGGCGTTTACTAAAACTGCAGAACCCGTGTGTATAAGGAGTTTCCAATTCTCAATCAGTTATACGGCATGGCTCAACAGTATGAACTGAATTAACAGAAAAGTTGGCACAGTATTGTTTTGTCTTGACCTTTGTCTTGGGAATTTATTTTTCAGTTAGTACTTCCATTCAAATCAGGAATGGCAATACGCACCTTGGAAATACACAATACATGGCCAACAGTATTGGTCATATTATTAGTCCTTAACAATTGTGGAACTAAAACGAGTTGAACTTGAATGAAATTATGGTATGCATAACCCATGCAGTGAAGGATGGGCCATGGAGAAGGGGAGGGGCAGAAAAGCGGGGAGGGGGGGGGGGGGGCTAAAAGCCCATTAAGAAAGTACACATATTACCGTCAGCAGATTACTTTGTATAACTTAATGTTTAAAACAAGTTTTTTATTTCAATTTTACTTTTTCTTTAAATCAACTTATCAAAGACTTTATTATCAAAATAATGACACAACAAATAATTAATCGAAACACTGGAAATTTCCCAAACGATGTAAAAATTTACATCAATTCACAAGACATGCCTTATATTCCTCACACGATACTTTCTCATCATATAAATATGAACGGAATTTCTTTTCCACATCAATATTAACATCCTTCTTGACAAATAGCTCCAGAAAAATTAAAATCGAGCAGTTGATTGACCCGTTGAATGCTTAAATAAGTCACGAAATAGAATATTTCTAAATAAGAATGTTACATTATGTACAAATTGATCACCAATATACACTCCTTGTACGCAAAATACAGGGTTTCTCTTATTTACCAGGAATATTCGTCACAGATAATCACACAACAAAGGCAAAAAAAAAATCAACAAGAACACTGCTACGGTAGTTAATTCTATATTCCTTGCTGTATTCAAGGAACCGCACTATGCAGTAAAGAAGGGGTATCGTCTCATTACTTTAAAAAAAATGAGACTTCAAGTCCCCTGAGAAGTACCATTGGCTAAATCCATAAAAAATCCTAGAAACGTGTGTAGATTTGCATGGGTCCAGGATAGTCAGGGTATAAGAAATGGACCAGCATTCATATTTGAATTGTTTACCAGTGACTGATCTAGTACTCACCGAGGGTATTGAGTACGGTGAAAGTTTGGATGTAATGAAGATCAACTTTGGAAGAAAACTTTAAATATTCACAATTTTGGCATCAAGGTGTTTAGGGCATTTTGGAGTTAGTATTAATTTTGTAGCCAAGACCTCATTTGAAAAATGATCAACTTTCTTGGGGATTGTCTTAAAACCTGTGATGAGGATGGAACAGAAACACAGGAGCAAAAAAAAGAAGAAGTAAAGTACTTCTGTGTTTTGGGGTTACATGGCGCTATTCTTAAGTCGTGTTTGCTGGTCAAAGCGTAAAAAGACGACGAAATATTCTTCCAGACCCTCTCAACTTTTACAATTGATGACTCGGGTAGCCGGTTATTTCTAACATATGAACAATTGAATGAACTGAAGCGCCTAATAATTGAACACAATTTTGGTTGCTGACATTGGTTGACAGGAATTGGTTCTGAAACGCAAAGTTAAATGCACTACGTAATATTAAACACCAATGGGAACATTTCAACACGAGAAGATCAGGGTCAACTTCGGGAGCATTAAGCACATGTATCTGCTGAGCACAAAATATATTCGCTAAGCCAAAACGGGTACTAATGTACCTTGCTTGTGACTGGTGTTCGGACGGTTTTCGCTAAGCGCATACATTTGTTGAGCGATATTTCCCACTTCGGAGGAACACCTGAATTATGCAAGAATAAGTTAATCACACCGAGTAAAGTCATCGTGCTTCACATCAATTAGAAAACTGGCAGCTGACTGTTATAACTTCCTAAACACTCACAAGTTATTATTTTCTTTCTACTGCACTTATATACAATACTCATTATTTCTGTTACATGAAGTACACAATTCACACTATATTAACTGTATTAAATTATTCAAATATATTTTTGTACATCTGAAACATAGAAACACATTCAACAGATGAGGATTTTCTATTTGTATTTATTTACATTATTCTTTTTTGTTTCAGATGTAACACAAGGATTTTCTGGATCTGAAAACTGCATATAAAGAAATAATCACACTGACCTTCAATTGACAAATGTTCTCACACACACACACATATTCACCCAATATTTTGCAAGCGAGAATGATTTGGATAATTCTTATACGACAAATTCATTGCCAAAGTAGCAACGGCTGTGCAAATGGGCAACTAGAAGTTCACCTTTCCAATGCCAATCTGCATGCTTCAATTGCATGCCATCTTGGTTGGGTACCCTGAAGTCAAAACAACGATCAGTGCATTGATTTGGAGTAAGTACAAGGTACCAGCCTAATTTCCACAAACGAGCCATAGCCTTGACTATGTTATTTCACTTCTGGCTACGGCTGGGCTGATAGGATTGAATGAAACAGTTGAAGCCATAGTCAAAGTCGAAAATTCCTACTTTGGCACAGCTCTTCTTATCCGTACCTGACGAGGGCGCCAAACACACTTTGCAGTAGAAGACATTTAACTGGCATGCGTGTACTTTTGATTTTAATTTATACAGGAAGATTTGAGGGTTACCAGTTTAGTGTCACCCTAAGCAGTGAACTGCATCAGCATGCGATGATTGGATGGATGTCCTGGATGTGCTTTAAGACAACACAGACTGACACGAACTGGCACAGACTGGCAGACTTTCATGAAATTGAAAATGAGGCTAATTGCGATGTCAATAAATGCTGCTTTGGATAAATAAGATACAAGCAAAGAATACCCCTTAAGAAGATGTGAAGTACTGTAAAGCTACACATTGCTAGAGTCCTTCACAAGTCCTCCAGACCCAAGACAAGTCACAAGCTATTCCTACGAACTGTGACAACGGCATTCCTTTGTCAGTGTTCATTTGCAACTACTTGTGAACTGACTTGTGATTTACTTGTGACTGACTCAATCACCACTCGGCTGACTCATTACTACTCAATTTACAACTCAGTTACAATTGTAAAGGGGCCACTCAGTCTATATCACGTGCTCTTCCCTCTTCAGCATTAGAAAGCAATGCCTCTGTCTCAATATTGCTATTAAATGTTGTTTCGTCCTGAACGTGGTTCGGCGACGAATCGTTGATACTATTTTGCCTGTTCTCCTTCTTTTGGGTGATGTTGGACAAATCTTTGAAACCCATGTTGAGGTCCTTGAAAGCGTGCAGCAGGAAAATCCCGCAGACGATGGTGGCGAAACCGGCTAAGGTGCCGAGTACCGACCCAGCGTCCATAGTCATCCACTCCTGGAAGAGAATGGCTGATGCGACAATGACGCTCGTGGTGAAGAACACGTAGTAAATCGGGGTGACCACGGAGGTGTTGAAGACGTCGAGGGCTCGGTTTAAGTAATTCATCTGTATGGAGATAAACGTTACCAGACACAGGATGAAGAGATACGTCAACCAGTTGGTGAGCACCGGTTTCCCGCTGAAGAAATCCTTCAGGGCTATGCCTAAGCCCTTGGCTGCCATGACGGACAGGGAACCGATGATGGAGCAGATAGTAATGTAGATGAGTATGTTCTTCTGGCCGTAGCGAGGAGCGTAGTAGAAGATCATGACACCAGACACCACAAACACTAGACAGATGTAAGTAATGAACGCTGGGAAGAACAAAATAAGGGAATATGGAGATAAAGATTAACAACAGTTGACTACCAGGCAATATCTCTTAGTTATAAACCGTTGTCCTGAGACATCGAATGTAGGCCTGTAAGCAGTAAGCACAGCAGAGGACAATTTTGAAATCCTGGCTTCGATCCAGCTTTGGCTTCATTTCAGAATTCAGAGTAACTAAGAATTGTTTAATTTCCCAACCTAATGAAAATACTCTAAACTTTGGCAACACATCCAGTGATTTACTGTTCTTGAATGCTGAGCCAGAATTCTGAGCCAGAATTCCCCAATTCAGCAGGCTCAGAATCTCCTGAAGGACATGTCGGTAATTAACCCTAACTCCTTACAGATTTTGGCTAGAAACCTTGCTGAACAGAAACATGCATCACTTGTCAAAATGACAAGCCCGCCCAGTGTAGCAAGATCCATCAGGTCAATAAGCTCAAGGTCAAAATGCCTCAGAGTCTGTGGTCACCGACTGCAGCAGGATGCAACTGTGGCATTGTTCAATGGGACTAGCTTTCGTTTCAGAATAAGCCGTTCATGCACTGGTGTTGATGGCTCAATGCAGCAAGGTCCCACAGACTTTTACACCCGATGTGCCGTGTTGCGTCTGCCTGGGCTAGGATTAAGCTAAAGTATCTAAAACTCCTCAAGAAAGTTGTCTCCAAGAAAGCATGCAGATGCACAGCTGTATGTCTTTCCTTACCTGGATCTTTGAGTCTCACCCCCAGCTCCGGCAGCGAGTTGGCCGCGTCTTCTTGAGGAGCGTGGATGACCATGACGGTGGATCCCATGATGCAAAGCAAACAGCCCACCTTACCTAAGACGTTGAGCGCCTCTTTGAGAACATAGGATGACATCACGGCACTGAGGAGTACAAAGAGAAACAAAACTACTGAGTGAGGACAACTCATTCCTTTGAAAGTGAAAGCTTTTAAATCTTGTTGTTTGTGGAATCCAAGCTCAAGTTGCCTCTCAATGGTCCAAATGATACGAACATTGACACTGAAGGACACTTTAGCACACCCCCCCCCCTCCCTGCATCCACGCTAAGGCAAGTTCATCTTATAAAAGACCAGTATTGAAGTCAAACAGCCCTTCTGATTTGAGGCGTGCGACTGCACCCTTACACCATCGCACGCCTAAAAGCTTCCTGAGAAGTGTGAATAATTGCACGCCTGAATGGCCCTGGACCACAGAATCACACACCTAGAAAATCACACACCTAGAAAAACCACACGCCTAGAAAATTTCACGAGTGCCTTTTCCCACACACCTGTGATTTTCAAATCAGAACGACTGTCAAACCCTCACAAGTCCATCATAAGCCAATCAAAAGTAAGTCACAAGTCCATTTACAAGTCCGGTCACAAGATACAGGGGGGGGGGGGGGCACAATAACAAAGGAATGACTTCGTCACCGTTTCATTCGAATAGCTTGTGACTTGACGTGGGACTGGAGGACTTGTGATGGACTTGCAGGGACTTGTGATGCAGTCAACTATAACAGTGGATGGTACGAGTTTGTACAAAACACAAATGAAAATTATTCACATGGTGAATTGTTACAGCGTTTTGAGCTGAATTTAAAACAGAATAACGCTTCTATACGTACGCAACGAGCACGCTGAGAGCACCAAGTGGAGTGACGAGTGTAGCCGGAGCAAATGCGTACGCCACGAAATTGAACAGCTCCCCAAAGCTCACTGTAATAAAGGTAAAATCAATGAGCATGAATTGCAAAAGATAATTTAAAGCAACATGGAGGAAGAGAATTTTCATAATTTTTTTCAGCTTTATGTGTAGATCACCATAATTTTTCCTGAAAAATTGAAACAATGTGACAGTTATCGGCAAGTAAGCACTGAAAAACTTAAATTATCTTGTTGAGCATGTCTCGTGAACTTTATCCTGAACTAGTTTGATCAAGGGCATGGTCAAATCAGCAGTTGATGTGTAATGTACATTTATCCTGTATGCTATAAACTAATGCGAGTCATCTTTGATTCAGCTACAGTCAAGTGTCTTCATGTAATATAATGCTATAAGCTCATGCTACATGTATAATGTAATGCTATAAACTAATGCGAGTCATCTTTGATTCAGCTACAGTCAAGTGTCTTCATGTAATATAATGCTATAAGCTCATGCTACATGTATAATGTAATGCTATAAACTAATGCGAGTCATCTTTGATTCAGCTACAGTCAAGTGTCTTCATGTAATGTAATGCTATAAACTAATGCTATAATGTAATGCTATAAACTAATGCGAGTCATCTTTGATTCAGCTACAGTCAAGTGTCTTCATGTAATGTAATGCTATAAACTAATGCTATAATGTAATGCTATAAACTAATGCGAGTCATCTTTGATTCAGCTACAGTCAAACGTCTTCATGTAATGTAATGCTATAAACTAATGCTATAATGTAATGCTATAAACTAATGCGAGTCATCTTTGATTCAGCTACAGTCAAGTGTCTTCATGTAATGTAATGCTATAAACTAATGCTATAATGTAATGCTATAAACTAATGCGAGTCATCTTTGATTCAGCTACAGTCAAGTGTCTTCATGTAATGTAATGCTATAAACTAATGCTATAATGTAATGCTATAAACTAATGCGAGTCATCTTTGATTCAGCTACAGTCAAACGTCTTCATGTAATGTAATGCTATAAACTAATGCTATAATGTAATGCTATAAACTAATGCGAGTCATCTTTGATTCAGCTACAGTCAAGTGTCTTCATGTAATGTAATGCTATAAACTAATGCTATAATGTAATGCTATAAACTAATGCGAGTCATCTTTGATTCAGCTACAGTCAAGTGTCTTCATGTAATGTAATGCTATAAACTAATGCTATAATGTAATGCTATAAACTAATGCGAGTCATCTTTGATTCAGCTACAGTCAAACGTCTTCATGTAATGTAATGCTATAAACTAATGCTATAATGTAATGCTATAAACTAATGCGAGTCATCTTTGATTCAGCTACAGTCAAGTGTCTTCATGTAATGTAATGCTATAAACTAATGCTATAATGTAATGCTATAAACTAATGCAAGTCATCTTTGATTCAGCTACAGTCAAACGTCTTCATGTAATGCAACCTCTTTACTATGCTCCTTGTTGTACATTGCGTTATGCGCAGCTACTGGTGCCCAGCCATGTGACCAACCTGGTCTCATATTTTCAGCTAGAGTAGCTTAACCAGTTCACGTCGGAAGACGTGAATACACACAAAGGTTTTGCAGTATTCGGAACGGATGACGGATAAACACGCAACAGAGGCCGGAAATATCTGTCTGCGACCCGCTCGCAGCGAGCGAGGCCGGAAATATCAGGGTGTGCTACCCGCAGATGACGGCCTGAACCCATCTGGCATTGAGGTTCGTGAAAAACAATCCCATACCTGGGTCTGGTCAATGTCAACATAATCCCGGCGCGAAGGGGTTAACAATCGTGGACTAGCATGCGTTTGATGAGGATATACTACATGTACGGTTAACCATAAGTTCTTGAGCTGCGTTGTGCTTCGCTGTAATTCATATGCAGATAAACATCTGTGATGTTGCATCAACGTCATAATTTGGGGTTACTGTCTAGTGCTGCAATGAAAATGTGATATATGACCGTACTTCTGGTTTCCTGCATGCAACAATACACAGAGGCTTACAGTTACGTAAAAGCATACTCACGTAAAAAAAATCCAGTCCACCAAAGCCATTCTTTGAGATAACCATAGCCACCATCACCTAGGTAACCAAAGAAAAATAAATTGCAATTATGGCGCAAGGCAAAAACCCAATATCGAAAAATGATTTTTATTCATTTATTTACTCTTACCCTGTCAGATGCAACACAGTGCATCCGCTGTAAAAGTCTGTGGGACCTTGCTGCATTGAGCCATCGACATCAACAACGTAAACAGCCAATTTTGAGACAAAAAAAATGAGAGCTAGTCCCACTGAACAGTGCCACAGTTGTATCCTGCTGTAGTTGGCAACCACAGACTCTAAGGCATTTTGGTCTTTGGATTTGTGACCTGTTGGATGTTGTTACACTGGGCAGACTTCTCACTTTGTGACTTTGACAAGTGTTGCATGGTGTCGTGATCAGTAAGCTTTCTTGCCAAACTATGCTGCAATGGTTAGCAAGTCACGTAAACTCTCCTTTTGTGTGAAAAAAGTCCCTCCTGTTTTACCCTTCCTCTACTTTTTTTAGGGGGGGGGGGTTGTGGGGGAAGGGTTGTGGGGGAAGGGGGGAGGATTATCTGACCTGCTCTAGTGGCATAAGTGGATATCTTAATCAATGCTTTCTTCTTGATGATAAAACTGGACCCAATGAAGACACTGGAGCTGACGGCTAGAGTCAAGCCGATGTAGAAATCCCGCATGGAGTTAGGGTCGGGCGTTGGTGCCATGGTAATGTCTTCAGGGCTGTCGGTGATGTTGTCCCAAGCCGTTGTTTCGTACGAAGTCGTCAACTCAGTGTCGGTTGAATTATCAATCCACAATGACTGATTTTCAAACGAATCTGTTGGGAGCAAAGATGGAAATGTGATTTTTCCCCCCCATATTTCCACAACCATTTTCAAATGCATTGTTTAATATGAAGCAAATGCAAGTTGATAATGATTACATTTTTATTTCGGATAGTGTTCATGAATGCATACAATTCAATTGCGGAATTCAATTGTTAAAATTTCATTGACTGAGCATTGTGAAATAATTAAGAAGTACATGTGCATGCATTAGACAAACACATGGTAATGCATGAACATGTACATGTACATGTACATGTACATGGGGTCATAGAGTCTGGGGGAGTAAGCTTTGAAGTGTTGCATACAATTCTACTACATGTACCAGCATAAGTAATCACTATTGAGTGGAAGTGTCCACAATACGAGTACAGTTACATTATAAGTAAGGAGAGAAAAACAAACATGCACATGTAGGCCTATGTGTTTTTCAGTTGATCATTTCACAACCCATTGATGTCAGTGTGGTTGGCGTGAAACTGAAGAAGGTGATTTGCCTGCCCAGACGCACTGACGAAACCAATCACAAGAACCCAAGCACACATAACAAACGTTGCACACATATTTCCTGCAACACTGGTCATGTGTAAAAAAAAAATATATACTCACAATACATGTACATACATGTATGTCTAGTGTCTACATTTGTACTATGTCTACCCATGATTTGCAATTTTTATGATGAGACACTATTTGTTGAGATTTCTAACATACATGTGAAGCAGGCAATACATGTACATGTACATTGTACAGTTTCAAAATTTCCCATTTTGGAGGATATTTTTCACCAGCTGCACAAAGTACATTGTACAACCATAGAGCAAGGAACAGACTGACTAATTACTTGCAAGTGCATGATGCAACCATCTTTCCCTCCTAGAGGATCAGACAACGCATGTGAGGAAATTGGGTAGCTGTTCTCTCATTAGCATTTGCAGCACACTGCTCATTAAAAATCAAAGACCATGTGTAGCACTAAAAGGCACGGTAAACACTTTCTCTTTTTAATTCTGGGTTTTAACACCGATTTCAGTATGTACCCACCTTTTGAAACAATCCGACAAAATTCATGTTTGTTTCTAATCCAAGTCCCATGGATTTTCACGATGAAAACTTTTTTGCAGGGTATAAAATGCTATGAGTAAAAGATGCCGCAAGAAACCCAACTTTGGCATGGATCAGTGCTTTAATTATACAATGTATGTCAAGCCATGCATTACAAGCATCAATGTAATAACCTTTTACAGTGTACTGCATTGGTAGTCTGGTGGTGAAGTTGTGAAAGGGATACCCAGTAGCAATATCCATGTATACATGTACCATTCACATGGTGGTACAAAGACACTGCACCTTATCACAATGGAGTGCTCAAATTTGTATCCTTGTGGAGACACGCACACAATAGGGAACAAAACATTGTAAAGGTCTCCACAGGGCAATTTCTAAAGATGAATAGGTCTCCACAAGGTTTTCACGAAATAGATACATGATTTTACTCAAAAACAAGGAATTTCCAAGGTGGGTTGATCTGTCGCAAATGGAAGAGTTTTAGAAAAGGGATATAAGGTCCGAATTTCAGCCAAGAAAATTAATTCTGGTTAAAATAAGAGCATTTTGAAACTTCACTTTCAAAATTGGAAACTTTACTACACGAGAACAAAGAAATGTCTCCACAAGGATACAAATTTGAGAGTGCTTGCTTATGTACATGTGTAAGAATTGCCAACTTGGAGTTGTGTGATTCGGCAAATATTGTAACAAATGGTATGCAAAGATACACAATGAAAAACTGCACAATATAACTTTTCATGACATCATGTTCTGTTGTCATCAGAGATAAAAAAGCGCGCAAATATGGGCATGTAAAGTGACACTCAAAATGTAATATACACGAACATGCAATATACATACATGTTTTACCTTGTTGGGATTACAAAACACATCATCCCAAGATTCTGTAGACCACTTAAATCAACTCCAACTTAATAAAAACTCTTTCTCAAGATCCCTGGCTTTGCACGGAACTACGGTGTACAATGCAGACCTCTAAAGCCTATCTGCATGTATTAAACATCAGTCCTATTGCTACTTAAACTATCATACCCCTTCAAACACCTGCGCGCATACACCTCCTTATAATATGTACCGGTCCAAAGTCTATTTGCTTCAATGACTCATTATGGCGCAGCACAGTGCTATGTACACAGTATTTGTTACAGACAAATGAACAGTTTCACCAGAAATCAATGTTGTAATCAATATCATTATCTATCATGATCATCTGAAGAAGGTAACAATAGAGCAAAAATCGGCACAAATTTATGTAAGTAGCCATAACAACTGACTGAAGCCTTTGTTTATGGTATAAATAAATGGAATGTACAACATTTGGTAATTTTTTGTTATCTTTCGGCCATAAATTGGGATATTTGTCTAACCCACCCCCTGGCAAGTTTACAGTCAGTAACTTTGTACTAGTGCAATTTTGGATATTTCACCGACCGTCCAATCCATTCTGTATGGTCTAATGAACTCAGTGAACATGTACAGTGTATCTGTGCTATAATATGGCGGCAATAGAGAATATGAAATGACATGCCATTCAACATGCCTCGTTCTAACATAAACATGCTTCGGGTCCTTTTACACATTGAAAATTACTTGCATCATCTCCATACCATATGCGTAAACAAGCGAGGGCGCACTCACCCTGTGCTTCACTCGCAACGACACTTGCTGCTTCGCAAATTTATGTGCTAAGCGAAAATCTGCGGAGAACCAGTTACAAGCAGACACTGCACAACATTTTGACTGGTAATCGCTCTTAGTCTTACTCTTAGCAACTTTCCATGCTCAGCACTGAGCAGACCATGGAATAGGCTCTTAGTGAGAAGGCTAAAAAATGCATACATTTACCTGTGCTTGTGGTGAACGTCACATTGTTTATTTCTTCCGCCATCAACATTTTGATAATAAAAATCCAAGTCAGGGAAAACTGGCATATGGAACTATTACTACATGATGAGTGCTTGCAAATTACAGACTATCGTGTGAATTAACGAGCTAAGATATACGTTATTTATACATCTGTGTTTGGATTTGCAACGCCAATAAACTTTGCCCTATGAGTGGTGCAGATGGTAAACAATAATACAAAAAATACAAAGATAACGATAAGGAAAGTTTATATAAGGCCATGCGCACAGTACATGTACACTCTGATTGTCTGAAAGATTAGTTTGTAATATAAATAAAGCCGAGTACAAAAAATAAGTAGTTTCTCCAACTTTCTTGTCTAGCCTTTTTATAAAAATGATGGATGATGGCAGATGGATAAATTCTTCCATTTTCTTGACCAAAGGAGCCATCACCCTTTCTACATAACTACAATTGACCTATTGCCGTTTGCGAGTTAGCCACGCCCCCTTGACAACCCTATGGAATTGTTGTGCACTAAGTTTTGTTTGTCTCAGATTCAGCGCGTTCCGCATCTATTTGTATATCATGTATTTGGACAATATTTCACAAGCTGCATTGACGGGATTCTGACGCGATTCTACCGCGATAGGTCAATTTTGTTGGAAACAAATTAAAAGATTATATCTTGACAATTTACGTGCAACATATAATTGCAAACGTATGAACTTTAAAAAAATGGAGGCGCGTGGGAAATAAGGAAACGGGCAAGAAGAGAAACTGGTTTATTTTTTTAAACGGCCTAGGGGAATGTGTATGATGTCACCAATGCTTATAACTGCAGGCTATAATGAACAGGATAGAATATGGTATGTGCACTACCACAAGAGGGCGCTAGGAATGATGATATTCAACAAGTAAATGCTTTCAGATACATGTTTAGATAGAGCATACCTTCTTTCCTAATTGCAATCAACTTGTTTGACCTTTATGTCTGGGCTTCCTGAACTTTTCAAGGATCCCACTCAGGAAAACAAACACAAAATCTGGGCAGCTTATTAATTAGTGCATTTTAGTGAATCCTAAATGACCTTGTCAAATGATCTGGGAGGGTAGGGGTTAACCCTCCTGCTGTCTGAACAGTCACAGATAGTCAAACAAAAATCTATCCTCTTCCCCGACCATGCCTTTTACACAGGCTAGTCACCAACAGTCAGATCATACTTCAAGCAAGCACTGTAACTAGTCAAATTCAGTCAACAGACAAAAGTGGGCACAGCTAGCTTATCAATCACCTACAGTCAAAGCATAGCTGTAGTGCTGTACCAAGTTACATAATCAGTCACAGTCAGTCAATCCTATGTACCGGTAGGCTGGGAGCTCTTAACTGTTAAAAACAGTCATTGGAATGATTTTGACTGAAATAACATGTGTGTTTGTATAGGAGGAACTTACAATGTAATTAATATTGACGGATTATGTTTGATTCAACAGAGTCTCCTCAGAAAACACAAACGTATGCACAAAATTACATTTCTAAACATTCATGTATGATTGTTCATTGCAACAAAACCATTCTCAAATTAATGCAATTGTTTTTTTTATAATCATGCCACATGCTACATGTACATGAAACTTGCATTCAACATATAACATTCAAGACTTAGCATGCTAAACATTCTAATGTCATGATTTTCTGCAACATGAGCCAAATGTACAAACTTACCTAACTGAATGAGTAGAGCTTTTGGCCCTACGCATCAACACAAAGAGGGCACATCCGTGCGTTTAACAGAAGATGAAAAGAAATTCGTTTGCAAATGTCTTCACTCGGCAGTCGTCCACAGAACAGTGCACACCACGTGGGGAAAGGGTGGGAGTGGTAGAAATATTGGACAGGATGGGAGTAAAAGAAAAAGTGGAAAAGGTGAATTAAAACGGTGCATGCAATGATTTAACCACTACCAGTGACAAATCCACACATATATGTTACAGGATTATTTGTTACTTTGTCTAAAGAGGAAACTTAGCGCAGATGGCAATCTTGTAAATACTTGTGATTAGATTTTCTTTTCGCTTAGTAGCACACCCACGATGCACGGGACAAAACTGTGACTCAGATAAACGTCCCTTTGAGAGACGTGTATATGAAAAGGTTGGGACTTTCACCACCTTTCTACAAGTACAGTAAGTTTGGATCTGGTGTTCACGTCATGCTCAGACAGCAAAGAAATGGGATTTTCAGAGCCTGCTTAATTTTGTCCTTTTTCCACAAGCTGGATATTTTCAAGGGATTTCTTTCAGCATTATAGAAACATTAAGTGGTGGACAGCCGTGTAGTCAGGCAGAAACACATGGAAAAGTAAGGTATCTGATAAAGTAGTTGTTTCTACGAAAGTTTATACATTGTGTAATTACAAAGTGTTATTCTTGTTAGACATTTTAAGTGCTACCTTACTTTTCCATTATAGAATCCAAATAGTACTCTCCACAGTATTTTGTTGTTGGGTGGGGGGGGGGGAGGGGGGATGTATTGCAAGTGAAAGTATTGCAGATCCTGTGGGATTTCTTCAGGTTTAATTTGCAAAAGCAATGGCTTGTCTAACCGCCCCAAAAAGTTCACTTAACATCCAATGTTATCTTTTTTTATGCTTAGCTTGGACTTGAAATGTTACAAAGATGTGGAGTTTGAGTGAGAAAAAAAATCTAAGTTTAGACAGACCACAGCATTTCCTCATGCATGCATGAAAACTGTTCAAAATAAACCCGATTTGCCACTGATTAAATGAAATTCGTGCAAAGTTGAAACTTAAAGAAACTGGTAAGGGTGTAAATGAAAAGAACAAAAGAGAAAAAAAATCACAAGTTTTTAATATTATATACCATACACAAGTCATGAACTTACACAACAATCACTGTACATCCATTAACAATTTTAACTTAAAAATGGGGAAACACTGAGGGAAAACACTGCAAATCAAAGGTGATTTTATTGTTAAATACTACATGTATTGTTAAAGTTGTCAGAACAGAAGATAGCTTAGAAGAAAAAAAGGTGCAATTGTTAATGTTTGTGATACAGAAATAAGTTGTCAAAAGAGATAAATTTTGAAACTTACTTAGTGCCAATATTTAAGTTACATGTTGTGAAGTGGTAAGAGAAAATGTAAAAAATAAACTTATTGTGCTCATGTGTGTAGGAAAACTTTTACTGATGGGCTCTGTCGCGTGTCGACGCTCAGGTTTGGTGGTAACAAAAAGCTGCTATGACATGTAGATTGAGCACAGAAGATGTACATGTACACTCTGTGCCACATGTCGTGAACAAGCGGTAGTCTATGGAATAACTGCTTTAATTTGTACACAAGAGTTTATGATATTATTATTAGCGCAGATTCAGCAACTAAATGAGGCAGTGTATATTTAGCCGGAGTCGGCTAAATTTAAGTAAACAATATTTTGCCGGCTACGCCAAATAAAGAGAAAGACAAAATCCACAAACAATGCGTAACAGTGAATCTGTAAATTTGTACACTAAACTTTATTTAGGCTAACTTTTGACGGAAAAGAAGGCAACCAGATCAAATATAAAGGATTCCAGGATTCCTACCTCCATGGTAATTTGGTTACACAACAAGCATTGACAAGTGCACAGTTTTGTACAAAATAATGACATTGACACAGTTACCACGCTAACCCGGATCCCATCTCTCGATTGATGAGTCACTAACACATGAACGTCAGGGAATCCAACACATTAAAAAAAAATGAAACTCGTTTTCAATTTCATGATCAATTTCATTTGTAAAGACGAATTCTCGAAAGAAATAAAGGCACCTACCAGACATTAACATTTTCACTGGAAATCATTGATTGGTATACACTAAAATCGTGGCTCTTGACACCTCTTTCATCCACCAAAAATGAGTGAAATGAGTTAGATAAAATGTTTGACTTCTAAGCGCCGATGCACGTACTGTATGTAGGCGTGTGTGTAACCACTCAAGCGTGTATGGTCTGATTCATGTAAAATTAACGGTGCACATTAATAGCGCCCTCTACAGCGTGGCGCTTTCGCTCACTACCCAATTGAAGACATGTACCAAAGTACGGATATAGGGGTTAAAGGAGATGCGCGATAAGAGCGTTGAAAATTGCCTTCTTTTAGAGAATGCCGGTGATAGTTTAGACTTGACTCAAGTCGGAATTGCTTTAAGTCGGTATCTTAATTTAAAAAAAAAAAGTAGCAAAAATCACTTAGTTTACGTCTTTCCAGATGCCCGACAAGGTACACTTCAGCGCGCGTTCCACTTCAGTGCCGTATAACAATGCGCACACACTGTATGTACATTGTACAACATGCGTATTACACGTACATGTCACTGCATGTGTGTGCATGTATTTCAGAGCATGTGCATACATGTGGTGCAAAAGTTAGCAATTCCGACTTGATCAACCTGCCATCAGCTTGAAAATAACATGTACATGTACGTTTTTAACATGATGGTCCGGATTCGACGCATGAGGGCGCGCGTTATGTACTGTAAGTATGCGATATGCGGTGTGAGTGGATTTACTATATAGGCACAGACCGAGCGCAACCCAGACTTGGCCAAGTCTACATCCGGAATTGAAAAGGTTATGAACGAATTTTGAAAAGAAACTTAAATTGAACAATTAAATTAAAATTATAATGTTTTCCTAATCCCATTTACTGCTGAAACAAAACGAAAACAAACAAACAAACAAACAAAACACCCCAACACCCCAACAAACAAACAAATAAACGGAAAAAGGGGAAAAAGCAATTACGAAAATCACCTATAATGTTGTTTATTAAATTTCAGTCTACCCAAGGCAATGTTCCTTATTGTTTCATCGTTCTTTTTCATTTTTCTTTACCGTCATAATTATATATATATTTTTAATTTCGAGATAACTGTGAGTTACTAAAATACAGTTTGTCAACAGGGCGGGCAGTAGGAGGGCCTCTTGTCCTCGTACTGCTGAGATTTTGTTTTAAATTTGGTGCATAATATCGATCGGTACTTGATGGGTCTACTTTTTTGTTGTTGCAATTAATATACTTTAAAAAAAAGTTTGCAACTTTGCTTTATGATTTTATACTCCACAATTGTGCATTATTTTAATCGTTTATACTTATATGTAATGCTTTTAGTGCTTTTGATCGTTTTTCATATTGACCTTGCGATTACAAAACAATAATTGTGTAGGCCTAACACAAAAGACACATTTCACATGGTTATTATTTCCTTTAAAGCTTGTGCATTCTTATTCAGGTGGGATTTCAATTTGGGTATTTTAGGAAGAGCAGCAGAGGGCGCTATTAACGTTCAATTTTTTTTTTTATGACATTTATCAAATTACAGCTTTGTTCCAGCTCTATTTTTCCCCTTGCCTTTGGTATCCGTCTCTGGCCCGATATTCATTTACAAACCCTCACGCTCCAAATAAAGTGAAAATATCATGCATACTTTTACCTTGTTTAATCTGGAAACTCCCAAGGCAGTTAGCCAGGGATAAAAAAAAATCGTGTACCTTGCACCCGAAGCCAAATCAGAAACGAATCCTAAGTTTAGTACACTTCCATGTGAAGATGGTTGCCGTAGAGGACGCTATTGATGTGCACCGTTAATTTCAGTCTAAAGCCACAGCTGGTGACAAAGCCGATGTTTGATAAACACGCCGTAAAAAAAAAAATCCGTGAGGACTAGCCATAGAGGGCGCTATTGATATGTACCGTTAACTTCAGTTCGAAGCCTCGGCTGGTGGCAAAGCCGAGGTTTCGTAAACCTTACTGAAAATCAGTGAGACTTGTCACCGTGGAGGGCGCTATGTATATGCACCGTTAATTTTCACATTTAGAGCCAAAGCTTGTGAAAAAAGACGAGGTTTGGTAAACATCCCGTAAAAATATAGCCTGTGAGGAATGTTTCCATAGAGGGCGCCAGTTATGTGCACTGTTTAGCCGGCCGTCTGTAATGTCTGAGTACAATTTGTACTTTTTTTTGTAGTGTGTTGATGTTTTTTGATCAGTTTTCGGTTTGATCGGAATTGGGCCACTGTCATCATTTGGTAAGACTAACTTGGGAAGAAATGTTGCAACCCGACGCCACCTAGGGCTTAGGCCTTAGCCAGTCAATGAGTCATGCCAGTCATTGCAAAAATGATGATATTGATGAATCTGGGACTGAGTGAGAAACATTTTCAATTTTGTCAGGAAATACTTCAAATGTTTTCTCGACTCTCCATAGACTTTGTACACAACAGCTGAAATGGCGTCAGGTTGCAACAATTTGTCCAATTGTAATTTGTAGTGGGGGTGGGAAAGGGGGGGGGGGGGGGGAATACAGATTACAATGCCACCCTTTCCCACCATGAGGAATCGATACTAGGAAGCCCCTAGTACCATGGCCAAGCATGTCATTGCAGGAAGGATAATTTTTTGGGTCATTTTTTTGGTTAAGGGTTGGTGATGGCTACATTTGTGCTTGTGGAATCATGTATCATTCCCCCCCCCCCTTGAAAAGTGGCAGGGGATGGGTACGGCAGGTCGGAGAAGTAAATCCCCCCCCAACTCAACCCAACCGCCCATTTGCCGCTTCACAATTCCTTTGTTACTTGTTGGGTAAAGGTCAATAATTATATGATAAGTAAGCCCCACTTGATTTTTTTAATCGTCTTAATTACAAAATACAATTCTACTTCACATCCTGCAGTCATACAGGTCCAGTCATAATGAGTAGCAACAGCAGTAAGACAAAGAATGTGAGCAAGGCTAAAAGTCGACCATCTGCCACGGCGCGACGTCGCTCACCGGCAAGTAGTCGACCTGGTAGCAGGCCAGGTAGTAGGCTTGGTGGTAATCGTGGTGGAAATGGCAGTAGGTATGTGTGGCAACGTTTAAATTAAGCCCCTCTTTTTTCCCTAAATATCCTTCAAATAGTTGCCCAGCAAAAAGCTACACATGTTTTGTATATTCATTTCACAATTTTGTGCTGCACAAAGTTTTCATTAAAAAAGGAGTTCGAACAAATTTTTAAGATAATAGTAAACAAACTTCATAAGAAATATTTCAAAAGATATCCAAGATATAAGTTTGTATATAAATAAACTTGTCACAGAAACGTTGTGCACATTAAACCCTAAAGAAAAGTTAGAATGGGCTAGCTGGCAGTACCAATCTTTCGAAATCCATTAAAACAAGATGTCAAATTAAAAAAATCTGGAGTTACTGTCAAGATTTTCCAAGCATTTTTCATATTTGTAAGTGAAATGTCCGTGAAACTATGTATCAATAGGTCTGGGACGCCGAAACCGAAAGGCAGCAACAGCGGCCGATCGACGCCCAGCAGTAACAGGCCTGCAGGAGCTGGGACAAGAGTGAACCCAGCAATGCAACGCAGGGAGGAGGGTTTACCAGAACTGGAGAATCACTTCATTCTTAGAATGCCTCAGGTAAGATGGCTGGTGGTTAGAAATGGTGAGTTTGAAATCAAAATTGCAAAGTTAAACAGTGCAGAATATCTTGAATAATATCTCAAAAGTATGGTGGCATTACCGGGGGAAGGGGTGGCAGTGGGTACTGGCCCCTCCAATGAAGGCTACTCCTTCCCCCACCTTGTGCCCAACGTACCCTGGCTCAAACTTTGGAGAGAGAAAAAAAGGCTTCGTCGCCTTTAACTTTAAAGTTGTCCCTTCCAGAATGTGTCATCCCAGATTGTCCCCTGTTATGCTTTTGCCAAAATACTAGCCTTTATTTTTGATTTTTTTACAAATTTTTCGCTGTTTTGTTTTTCGTAGAGTGCTGCGGGTGACCTAAAGAAGATTGTGAATACAGGCAGCCAAATCTTGAAGGACAAATTGGCCATTGAAATCATGGGTGAGTTAAGTTGTAAAATATCGAAGTTTTATCAATTTAAGCTGTAGAAAGGATGACTTCAGGGTCTCTTCAACAACCACAAAACTGTCAATTTAATGAAAAAAAAGCATCTTCATCTGTTCTCTAGAATGTTAGAGATTCTCTGTTTACAAATGTGTGCTTTTTCAAATTCAGGAGGTTGTGTTAATAACCATTGTTACTCTTTTTTCTCGTTGCAGGTGACATGCGCCATGGAACAGTCAAGTTTAATGATAATGTCTTCTCTGCCAAAGTATGTGAAAATAGGGCTATTTTCTAAGCTAAATATTAGTCATATTATGTCAACTTTCACAAGTTGCATATCGTTTCATGAAGTAAAGAGCTGATTTGTTCAGTGATAATTATTTGTTTGTGGCTCACTAACCAAACCCTCTATAAAAGACAGAAATCAAAGGTGTGATTATTTCTTTTTCTCACTTTTCAGTTGATGGACTTGCCCTGTACAGTCGAATCTCACAAGACCATAGACAAGAAAACGTTTTGGAAGACGGCAGACATTTGTCAGGTATGACCACTTACTTTTCTCTTTCTTTGACGTTATTTTAGCAACAATGTACAACAGATTTTGGAATATTCAAGTGATTTATAATCTTTGGTTAAACTCTGCTAGTGTAACTCTTACTGAAGTGCCTCCCTTTCACCTAGTAATGTAGTTGAGTCAATCATAACTTGTCCATCACAAGTCATCCAGTCCCAAGTAAAGTCACAAGCTATTCAAACAGACTGACAAAAGCGTTGCTTTGTCATTGTTTTTCGCCTGTTACTTGTGACTGCACTTGTGAAATGACTTGTGACTAATTGTGACCGGACTTGTGATGGACTTGTGATTGACTTGTGACGGACATGTGATGGACTTGTGATTGACTTGTGATGGACTTGGGATGGACTTGTGATGGACTTGTGATGGACTTGTGATGGACATGTGATCGACTTGTGATGGACATGTGATGGACTTGGGATGGACTTGTGATGGACATGTGATGGACTTGTGATGGACTTGTGATGGACTTGTGATGGACATGTGATGGACTTGTGATGGACTTGTGATGGACATGTGATGGACTTGGGATGGACATGTGATGGACATGTGATGGACATGTGATGGACATGTGATGGACATGTGATTGACTTGTGATGGACTTGTGATGGACATGTGATTGACTTGTGATGGACTTGTGATGGACTTGTGATTGACTTGTGATTGACTTGTGATGGACTTGTAATGGACATGTGATTTACATGTGATGGACATGTGATTGACTTGTGATTGACATGTGATTTACATGTGATTGACTTGTGATTGACTTGTGATGGACTTGTGATTGACTGGACTAACACTGCCTCATTGCATTTTGCATCAGATGCTGGTGTGTAGCACAGAGGAGCAAGCAATTGAGACAGAACAGAAAGAGAAAGAACAGGAAGAGAGAGGTTTGAAGAGAACAGAACGAGTGGATAAGAAATTCATCCACAACCATGGAAGTGAGTACTTTGGAAAGGTTCGGTTTATGGCTATGGATATCCACTGTAAGGCCAAAAAAAAATATTCGGTCTCTGGTCAGACCAAAGTTCCGGAATTGACGCGGGGACGCGGCTTTTTTTTTTTTTTGGCTTTTTTTTTTTTTCTTTAAGCTTGGATTGCTATTTGGTGTCCTCGTGTACATTGGCGTCCTCCATAATTTGCCTTGGTGCTCTCGATCATTTGCCTTGGTGCAATTTCCCATTCCTTGTGCTCTTTGTTAAAAAAAATTGAGGAGGTGCGGCAATAGAGGGCGCTGTTGGAGCTACCGCGGAACATCTTGGGAAAAAAAAGATTGACGCGCATGATTAAAATCGACGCGCGCGCTGACCAGAGACCGACTTATTTTTTTTTTTGGCCTAACGTGTATGTGTCAAAACTGAGCCATAGCTTAAAAAAGGGGTAATTCAGACATGCTTCACAGCAATGCTTAGCTGCACTGTAGAGGCCCTAGGACTCTTTGGTCGACAAACTTCATTTCAAGGACACACTTCCATTTCACGGAGAGTGTGCAAACTTGTAAACGTCACCATAAACAGCGCCACCTAGTGTCAAATTCTGTCCAGTCCCCAGACTATTCGCCCCATCCACCCCTGCCTTTATTGGAAGATGTCTGAACTATCTAGGCAATAAAATCTTTTAAAAAATCTTTAGCCCCCTTGTGGTTCTGTAGAAGTTTATGAAGATGACACCTCAATCAAATTTGTCTAGCCATGCCCTTCTCTATTGTCTGCGTATAAAAGAGTTAATCGCGCTAAATTTCACTGAATTTGTGGACGTTTTTCTATGTGCATTGCAGTCACACCCTCATTGAAGAATGTCCGAAAGAGAAGATTTAGAAAGACGGCCAAGAAAAAGGTATGAACTGCTTATAAGCATCTTCAATCTTTTAAATATTTCTATGCGTAGACTTTCCCTGATGCTCCACTCTTTATATTGAAAGACAAATTTGTCTGTGTACATGGCCTGCAATTTTTGAATATAACAATTCCATTGTATTTAAAGCTATAGTCCATCATTTGCAGCTATCCGAAAAGTAACTGGCGTAATTATTGTTGAAAAACATACTTGGTTGAAAGATAGTAAGGGGACTAAGCTCCCTGTGAAATTATTCTTTCTGGCAAGCTGTCATTTTGAAGTAATCAACGAAAGAAGGCATTTCCAACGGTGCTTCTTAAGACGCACCGTAGGAAATTTAAATTAGTAGTTCGTTTTGTTATTTGGCGAAGCGTGCGCAAGCATTGGCACGACGCACACGCACGCGGGGTTGCTATAATTCGTCGGATCAGTGCGCGACATCGCGTAGCTGCAATCGGCTCAGTGAGAACGTGTCTCGGACGCTGAATTCAGGCCCAATTCAAAACATGATTCAGCAACTTTTGATTTGAAATTGAGATCCTAGAATGCTGTTTTTCTCGGAGTATACAGCTGAAGCTGGGCTGAAACTTCATCAGGTTAGTTGTTCAGTACCCTTCTTTAGATTTTGAGGACTTTTGTTGCTTCAAACGAACAAAATGCACAAGTTACAAATGATGGACTATATCTTGAAGATCTTAGCTTTCAACCTCAATCTCAAGCTAGGACATTGCATTAATTGTGTTGGTTTGCTATGGCAGTATATTGAAGCCCCTGATGTAGAGGAAGAGGTCAAGAGGCTACTGCGCATGGACAGCACCGCCATCAAGATTCGTATCCTCTCTAATATAATTCAGTAATTTTCTACAAAGAGAAATGAAACCATACCCAACTCATGGATGGTTTGTGCTCAAATACCGCAAGGAATTGATCATGTGTACACATTTTATTTGACTAGGTGGTTTTTTAAAAAAAGTTTTGGTTGTAACTGTTTGATGAGTTTGATAGAGCTGACATATTAGGCCAAAAAAAAAAAGTCTCCGGTTTCTGGTATGCGCGCGCGTCACCGTAGCCATGCGCGTCGGCAAAATGAAAAAGTTTTTTTTTCAATGAAAGATGATGTCTCAAAACCGCCAAACTCACTGGTTTGACTGGAATCCTGCTGCTGCACAATTTTAACGTGTTTTTAGATTGGGTTATGGTCGAGAATAATCTTTATGTGGCCTCTCTGGACTCCCATATATTTGCACTAAGTTTAGTCGGGCACCATTTGCTGTCATCAGCCGACATTTGAAGCAAAAAAATCTGGTAAAAAAAAAAAAAAGCCGCGTCGCCGCACCACTTTTTGGGCAAGCTCCATACCAGAAACCGGAGACTTTTTTTTTTGGCCTTAGGTTCCATGGAAACCAAAGATTTTGTTCAAAGTTGTCTTTCAACAGAATATATATTAACATGGGATTCAATTTTGATTTGAGTAAAAATTAATTTAAGATTAAGTTCCTGAATGATGGCCATTTGCTGCTAACCAGGATGGGAGGTTTTAGCAGAGGAAGATGTCAAAGATGAGAATCGAAACGAAAACATGCCAGGTGTATCCCATGGCTCCGGTGAGTTCTTAATTAAAAAATAAACGAATTAATAAATAAATTAAAAAAATCATGTTCTACTTCAGTATTTCCAGTTGGTTTTGAAATTAAAGGCCTCTGTGATTCTTGAATAAGAGAAGACAAAGCTGGAGTGCAGGCAAGGGTTAGAAATGTCTCTCTCCCCCTCCCAATTATCATTAACGTCCCCTTGATGATATCTTTATCTCTTGGTTATCCTTTCCTAGCCGAGGGAGATGACTTGACCCGCATCTTTGGGGATGTGAGCAGCTCCGAGGACGATGATGAAGACATCAACATCTTAGACATGGACGAAGACACCAGGGACTCGGGGATGCTGGGGGAGGAGCCAGGAGAAATGGAGGAGGAGTTAGAGGAGATGGAAGACGAAGATTCCAAGACGGGAATGGAGGAGAGCGAGCAGCCAAGTAAGTCACCGGAGACTTCCAAGATGTTTCGTTGATAATTTGCACATTTCCAGAAAATGTGGTTAGATCATTTTGGTCCAAACTTACAGCTTCCCCATGTTGTACCAATCTAGAGCTCCTGTGATTTTTTTTTACAAAATACATTTATTCTTCATGTATTTCTGCTCAATATCAGTATAAGGATAAGCAAAAAAATGGATTAGAGTGAGATTTGAACCCATGTCGGCTAGAATACAATACCAGTGTTCAACCAATTAGAGCTATCAAAGCACTATGTCGGCAGTCCCTATACTTTTTCAAGTTCTACATTCATGAACGCTTGCCAGAAGCCATTTTTTTCCTGACAGTTTCATTGATATTTTTTTGTACTGGAATCATTTCAGATGAGTTTGTGAATCGCCTGGATGAGTTGAGGAAGGAGTTGGTGGAGTTGGAGGAGAAGCAACGAGCCTTGGAGGAGTCCATCGGCACGGTGGATAACATGCTACTCAAGGTAAGCAACTCATTGCAATAAAAAAAAACCTGGGGTAAATTTCATACTTTACTAATTTGCTGAAAATCAATTCTTGACTCTTGTGATTTTCATTATTTGTTGAGGGATATTTTGCTAGGACTTCATGAGCTGAACGTCTCAATTCTGTAATTTTTTTCCCATTTTTATTACAGGATCGGTTCCAGTCACAGCTCGACAGTGTCCTAGAGGATGTCAAGATTCGACAAAAGGAGGTATGAAGCAGGATAGCTCTATACATCGATACCAAATTGCACAATGTCTAAATTTGTCGTGAATAAGTGGCCTGTATTTTCAGAGGTTATGAATTCCATTCGCTCTAATCAGTCTAGGCGTCCCTTTGAAATATTCCAATCGAAATGTGTGCGTCTACTAGTTATACCCTTTAATCTTAACTTTCCCAGGAACTTTATAATCCCCTAGGTTTTAGAGAATTTTGCAGGATTGAGGAAGGCAGAGCCCCGTCACTTTTAATTTACATAAAGTCTGATGCCCCCTCCTTGGAGGAACGGTTGCCACTTTGAAATTTTATTGGCATTTTTTTTCTTTTGCAGGTTGAGACGTTGGAAGTTCTAATTGGTGATGGCTGAAGCGTTATCACAAACTCAGTGAACTGTTTGTCAAGACATACTTTACACTTTCTTATAATTTATTGCTCGCCTGGTGGACAGCTCGACAGTTAGGCCACGACATTAAGACCAGTTATGGGAAAGCATGGAGAAAAAGTTTTCTGGTATTAAACTGCAAATCGCATGCAAGTTGTACCATTAAAACATAGGATTTTTCCCCTTTGTTTTTAATAAGCACTCATTCCCCGAATAAGGAAAAATATTGGGAAGGGGTAACAAAAATACTGAGCTAAAGAATCGCATGTTACAGGAAATGTTGTGAGAGTCATTTTTATTCACATTTCTACAAACACCAAATGGATTCTTACTACATGTACAAGTCTAAAATAATGAAATATAAGGAAACTTAAAACTCTGCGCAAATAACCCAGCATGATTTGTGCTTCCCAAGAAAAGACATCCAAATATAACAGAATATTAAGATTGTGTCTAATCAATGATCTCAGAATCGGACAAAGTGTCGCTGATCTGCACATTTACCAGTGTGTGATTCCACATTTTAAACTGTCTTAGGCAGCATAAACAATCCCTCTGGAAACACATTACATGTGATTCCTGAAATCGTCTGCATTTCCCAGAGTAGTCATTCTGTATTTGTCATCATCGTGCACATTTAACTTCTGAACAAGCAGTAGTATGCACAACATTTATGCTTACATTTTGTTGTGCAGGAATTCTTATATGTAAGACATTCCATGACAAGTGGAAATAAATACTTGGTAGTTATTAAAAAGAAGTTTACAAAGTCCTTGTCTGGTGATGTTTGCTATTTGCAGTATCTATCAGCTTTCATCTTCTCTCTCCTGTCGAAAAGAAACAGAAACAAATGGAAAATTTGTCACTATTTGAAGACCTTTTGGAAAGAAACCATCTTATTTCTAAAGCTACAATGAGGCGCTTGAGAAATGACTTTTTCAGTCGCAATGCTGTGAATTTCTCTGGAAAAAACTTTTAGTCTATACTTCTCAAGATGGAGATATTAGTATTACAAAATTCAGCGAGACAGGAGTTTCCCAAAGGTGAATGAAACTTGGAGTAGAGCACTTCATTATTCCTTTAAAGCTGGAGAAAGAGACAAGATGCCCAGAAATAAGGTTCAAGAAAAAGGGCTCCAAATTGCACTTGAATTAAAAAAAAGTGACCACCATTTTGAATTTCACTGTTCACTCTTTACCCACCTGTCCAATAATGTTTCGTGGAGTTTGCCTGTTACTCTTGCTTGCTTGAGGTTGTATCTGTCCGACTCATTCACCCGCAGCTTGTGGTCCTGAAAACTCTGGTATTTTTTCCTGCCAAATAAGAGGAAAAAAAGAGCAAACAAGGTTTTAGATGTTAATCTTAGATGTAAAAATACTGAAGGCTTTCATTCCACTTTTTCCAATGAAGTACGACTTCACCACTTCTGAGTCCTAACCCTGCTGAATCCAACAGGATCCAACTATATCACATACCCGATGGAGCCTGTTGGATTGACCCCTTGTGTACATTCCTCATGCAAAATGTTGGATTCAGCAGGCAACTGAACCGCATTATAACGCATTGTTGGACTCTGTTGGATTCAGCAGACACCTGAAAATGAGGCACAGTGGATTGAGCAGGAAAGTCCGGTTGGACTCTGTTGGATTTAGCAGGGTAGTCCTGAGCAAGTACTAGGGGGTTAGGGTTAAATTAAGGCATCTTTTTCTTTTTACAAGGAACTTACACATAGCTGACTTCACACGTCTCAATGTCGCCTTTGTCCTCGGATGGTCTGTTGTCTTTCTTTTTCTTGACGAGCGGTGCACAGGAACGGATCTATGAAAGACCGAAGAAATATAGTAGAAAAAAGTATACGTAACATGACATTTGATGAATACAATGGCAGAATATTGAGCCTTCAGGAAAACCTTTCTTAAAAAAAAATATTTTCATTCTCTCCATTTTTCTTTTAGTTTTTGGCCCATTTTCAAGGCTGCTGTAAATATCCAAAGTAATGGTTCATTAAAGGTCTCCTAAATTGACTTAAGCCGCTTCCGTAGTACTAGGCTACGGCTCACAATTACGCATGTCCCTATGGAAGCAGCTAAAGCCACTTCTCATAAGTGTGTGTTATTGCAAGCCACAGCAGAGTCATTCAAACACAGCCTTACCTTGATCATCTCTGCTGGCCCTGCTGTGGTGCTGGATGCTACAATGTCATCATGCTCGTTACAACACAAGAAACAATTGTTACACCCCATCAAAGCCATCTTGCCCTGCACAGTAAACAAAAATACACAAGGTCTTGTAAACAATAACAAACGCATTTGTTCACTGAAGCTTTTTGTACATTTCACAAACTTCTTAAGAAAAAGAACTCGCTTTCTTCATGAGTTACTAAAAGGTGCTAACACTTGTTGACGGATTCCCGACCCATCCGTACTTTCAAAATAAATATCAACATGTTGACTAGCAAAGATTTCTGAAATGTAAGAGAATGAACAGTGTGTATGAACCAGTGGAATCAAATCTGCCTCAGTCACCTTCTTCAGTACGCTCTAATGTTCTCTATTCAGTTAGCAACCACATGACTCCCCCCCCCCCCCCCAAAAAAATTGAAATACTGAATTACATCCTGAAAAATTGGTTCCCACTGCTCCCTTAGCCCGATGGCGTCTGATTGACCTACGACTCTCCTGTCATAGTCCACAGATATGTACTTCTCAAAACCAGTCTTCAGGGCAATCTTTGTGTCGGAGACAGGGATTGCTGTCAGCTGCTCTGGTGGGGCCGGCCCTTCTTGAGCTGAGGGTTTGAAATCACAAAAATGTCATTGAAATCACAACTTGATAAGTATATTAAACACCACAAAATGCACCAATGCAGAAAACTGGATGTGGAGTACTGACTTTTGCTGTTAACGTTCATGTAGACTCATTTTAAGCATTTCTACACAGTTTTGTGACATAATGATGTCAGTAATGTCTGTTGTCGCACTTGTTTTTGGTAAGTTTTCAGTCATGTCAGTCATCAGTGATTTCTTTTGAGATGGAGCCAAGTACATCACCTAAATGACAAGAGCTGATATTTTCACTTACAATTTCTGTGAGGTGCTCCAAGCGTGAACGTGCCGGTATCCTGCGCAAACATAAACGCATTAGGTGCCATCTCGATGACAATGTCACCGGTGATCTCTTCAAAGTTTCTGACAGTCCACCAACCACCTGCAAACATAACAATGTGCATGATATTGGCAATGATAAATATATAGTCGTGTTCCCTAACGTGGCGCACTTCGAAGCTTACCCAACTTTCCTCGTGTAGTGCTGCCAAACCTCTTTGTTGATAAACCTCAAATTCATGCAGTGAAATGCTGGTACTTTTACCTTATTAATGTTTGCTATTTAACCTCTGTGAACAATTTCAGTTTCATAAAATTTAATCCGAAATGCAAAAACGGTCGCGTCCGGAAATTGGGCACAAATTAGCGGAGTGTTCCCTAACGTGGCGCACTTGAATAAATCTCAGAAAATTCCAAATTAACATTTAAGAATTTCTGTAAACTTGATAAATTCTGATAAATCATTACTATCTTTACTTACAAACCCAGCCAGATGTTTGTCAGAAAATTATTTTCTTATTTTTCGGGGCATTTTCAAAGGGTTCACTTTGCACTTGAAAATAAAATCGGAAAATCACGCCAAAATAATTTTTTCTTTTAACTTTGTAACGGGTAAATGAACTCGCGATTTATGAACGGGAGTGTTTAGAACTTGATGAAATTTCACTTTCTGTGAAATTTCAGTTAAAACTTTTGCTCTAGCTAGGCGCTACAGGCGAAAAATAAAAGTGCGCCACGTTAGGGGCCGCGCCACGTTAGGGTACATCAACAATACAATACATGCAGGCCTACCGCCACTTTAAATTATGTGCAATTGAGTTCAGTTTAACTTTAAAGACACAACATTTATCTGTTATTTGTCTCACCATGGGCCTCTGCATCTGGTAATCGCTCATCTTTCTCTTCTTCTCGCTTTCTCTTCTTTTTCTTGTGTTTTGAACTGCAGAAAAGGCACACAACCATGACAACTTCATGAACAAATGAAAATCAGGAAATTGAAAACACCAGAATCAATGAATCAGTATCATCATGATCACAACTAGCTTGAGTAACTCCAGCTTAACAAGCTCATCAGGAATTGTGAGTTCCTGATGAGCTTGTTAAGCTGAGCTTGTTAAGCTGGAGTTACTCAAGCTAGATCACGACACAACTTTTTAATTCTCGCAGTCGCACCAGAAAAATAACGCAACTAATTTATCAATATTCTTGAAATCTTGTACCTTTTGTGACCTGAAGTGTCGCCTTTTAGCTTTAGCTTCCCTCCCTTCACAGAACTGTACTCGGCCATTTCAGGGTTTTAATTATTTTATCCTTGACCACAACAATATATTTGCGATATTATCAGTGTAACTTGTTAGAGTTTTTGTGCAGTTTATAATTATAGCTAGACGTAGACGATCGAGGGAATATCGAGGACCAGTAAATGTGAAGAGCGCCCGCTTTATGTTGTTGATGATTACTTCTCGTAACCTTTGAACCTAATGCCACGTGATCTTTACGAGACTTGTCAAAATTGCCACACTTCATCACACACACGCCTTCTGTCACCTGTTATGATCTCGCGTGATTTACTAACAAGATCAATATGGCAGCGCCCATGTTACGACGGCGAGCAGACGAGATGAAAATGTGACATTTTCGAGGTTTAGACTGGGATCCACGTACCTGTGAGTAAAGGTCAGTGATAGTAGATGTGCTTATCTTGAGTTTGTCATATAATCTACAGATACATGGGATTTTTATGGTAAGAATCGACGTCAAAGTTTCAGCTTGTGCCGAGTCATTTTGGTATTATGCTATGCAGAAAGTTTGTTGACCTCAAGATAAGGTCATCAATATAAACATAATGTAGGTCATGTGTTGTGTTTGACCATGGGGCTATGGTTTCACTTTTATTTCCCTATTCTACATGTTCACTTTTCAATTGTAATTAGAAAGAAGAAGACCTCATACTAGCATGACTAGGCTAGTGTCCTGTTAATTCATGTCAGTAAGTGCAAAGTGATTAATGCAACACTTTTAAACTTTGTAATTGTATTGTTTTCTACCTTTTGCATTGTTTTTGTTTCACATTGTTTTGAATAGGCCTATGTTACGTAGCAAAAACTAGCATCAAGTCTCAAAGAATGCACTTTCTCAACTTTTCACTTGTTTCAACTTAATGCTGTTAATTCATATGTATTTGTTTAAATCATAATTAATGCATTTTCGGTCATGATTGTTATTTTATCTTGGTGTTTTTTTTTGTGGTTTTGCGAAGGAAACTTGTTAGTCTGTTTAAATCGTGACTTACACATTATTGTGTATGCATTAAAGATTAGTCACGTTGATGTGGCAAACTTTGACATATTTTGAAAATTATATATATTTGAAACAATCTACAACATCGAAAATTAAAGAAGGGGAGTTTCAGCCATAAAAATATAAAAGTTAAAAAGCTTCGCTAAAATAGTAGGAAAACAATTTCCATTGGGAGAATCTGCTGCATGTACAAGCCCATTTTGATAACGTCAAGGTATGGCTGTACAATCTACATTTATTTTGTGCCACATTTCTACATGCACATAGTGAAGGCATTACACAGATTTCGATTTATGATTCGCTTGTGAATTATCTATCTTCTCCCTGGCAGAATTAATGAAATGTTGGGCAGCTTGAGAATTCAACGACAAACGAAGCATCCACACATTTTGTATATATAATGCTGTGGAAAACCAGTACAGGCCAAGCAGCTTTGATTTTTGTTAAAGTGCTGGAGCCATAGCATGACGTAAGCAATCAGTCCTAATCTGTTTGCTGCCCTCATCGAAGCAATTTTCCATTCTGTGCAGCCTGGCTTTAGAGAGAATGTACAACATTTGCTTTTGCTGCCATTTTCAGAAATGAATGGATTTGGAGGATTAGTATGTTATAGAAAATATTGTTGTACTGACTTATTTCACGTTTTGGGCTGGTAGATGCTGGAAAAACCAAGACAATCAATCATGTTCTTGTAGTCTGGTTCCCTGACCCCATTTACGATGAATCAGAACAATATATAGACGTTGGGGAATTGTAAGGTCAGAGAATCAGTCTAGCAGGTTTGAACTCCTTCACAGGTGTGTGAATAATTGCAAAGAACATGCCGAATAACTAAATTTGAAAATTAGGAGCAGTTTTTGAAAAAAAAGCCAGTTTTCTCCAACGCTGGTCGGCCGACCATCGTTGGAAAAATACAGTTTTTCTTGAAAATGTCAGCACACCAGGAGCTACAATTTTCCAAAATTAGTCAATGTTTGCCATATTAATGTGACTGATCTTTAACGTAAAATGTGTTATAGTTGACAAGTCAGTTGTTGAATTTCATGGAATATGTTGGAGAAGAATGTTGTGTGTCACTGTCACTGTCTGATTTTCTTAAATACATGGGAGCTTTTAAATTGGATAGACCCTGTGATCTTATCTTTATAAAAATAATACTAACTGGTATTTACAAAACACCTTTGCTAAAGGATTCAAAGCGCTGTAAACAAATTAACAGAATTGGGAACAAATGAAATCAAAACAAATTTAGGAGTCCCCTAAACTGTTCAATAGATGATGAATTGCAGATGGTGATGAGTTCCATGTTCAGGGCCCATGTGTTTATGTCAATGTGTAAGTTTGAGCTGATGAAGCAATTTTATGTATGAACATTTCAAGTACATCATGAAACCAGCTAATTACATAAACGTTTTTCTTCTTTTCACAGATTGCAAGATCTGGTTGCCGATAACCACTCTGTCTCTTCCATCTCACTCAACTCTAAACCAATCGCAAGCCATGTTTCATCCATTGTAACAGAGTGTCTCACCAACCAATCAGACACCATGTTCTTTGTGGTGTTTGTCTCGGTGATCTTTGGAGCATTCTGCATGCTGTTGATGCAGATGTTCCTGGTGTTCCTGTATTATAAGAACCAGCAGGTCCAGCCCATTCCGCAGCGGGCCCAGTATGAGAAAGCCAAGATGCCTGAGGTAAAGTTGAAGGGAATATACATCATTTGCTTTTTCTGTAATTTTCAGAAATGGATGGAATTGGGGGGTTGGAAATATATAGCAAATATAGTTACACTGACTTTTTTGAGGTTTTGGGTTGGAAAATGCTATAAAAACCAAGAAAAACAATCATTTTCCTGTAGTCTGGTTCCCTGACTCCATATAAGAAGAAACAGAGCAGTTTACATACATTGGGGAATTGTAAGGTCAGGGAACCAGTCTAGCTGGCTTGTACCCGTTCAAAGATGTGTAATCGATTGCAAACAAGTGCGATGGTCAATTGGGGCCAGTATTTGAAAAAAAGCCAGTTTTTTCCAACGCTGGATGGCCGACCAGCGTTGGAAATTGATACAAAAATACCCCTTTTCTTGAAAATGACAGTATACCAGGTGCCACGATTTTACAGGATGCTTTACACTGTCATTCACTAACAGTCCAGCAAGGTATTTCAAAATGATTTGGTAGTTTTATTTTTTGATGTTTGCAAATGTTGTATTTTCCCTTTAATCAAAAAAACAAACAAAAAATTGGCATTTTAATGTAACAGGGTTCAATCAGGGGGAAAAAAGTAGACCAAAAGGTTAATATGATCTAGAAATTTGCTAGACCACAAAGAACTACATGTAGCAAGACCAGTGTTTAAAAATAAACTGCTTCGGAACACAGACTAAAGTGAGAAAGTAGTAGATGTGTGTGCCTCTTGGACTTTATATGGGCAATTCCACGGTTACTCACGTTACATTTTCGTAACGTGAGTAACCGATTTTGTGCATCTTGTTTATCATACATAACACGTTTTTCTGGATGTCATCTTTGGTGCTTTGGTAGGTCTAGGTCTACTCTATCTACCATGGGGATAACAGTTATTAAACCTTTTCAGAAAGGTAATTACAGCCCAAGGAAACTCAAAAGTACATCAAAAATGTAATGTGAGAAGCCGTGGAATTGCCCATATGCTGTGTGGTACTTTATCAGCAGTATCAGTAGAAAATTGAGTGGTAAAAAAACTTCACAAGAGCATTCATTCTGATATTGGAAACTATGGAAATAACAAAAATAAGCGGTTTACTGGGTATTTCAGGCCCTAGAGATTTATCACAAATTATGAAACGTGAGTTGTTAGACATGCAATCACTACACTGGAAGTGCTTATCTGAATGCAAACCATACACATTTGTCTATGTGCATATCCACTATGCTCACTTGATAATTATTAGTTTGTGTTGTATTCAAGTAACGAGATGCATTCTCATTGCATCAGAAGAAGAAATTAACATTAAAAATGCGTTTGTGTGGTTTTTTTTCTGCCAGGATTTGGACATCTCTTCCTTACTTCACAAGACAGAATCATGCAGTGCTCTGAATGTCCTGATAGCCTTCCTCTTCCAGGAGCTCAAAGACGCAGCGTTTGTCCGACGATGGGTCGTCAGGAAGATGAACGTAGAGTTCGAGGAGCTTCTGACTGCAAAAACGGCCGGAAAAATCCTGGAGCAGATTAACGTAAGTCAAGAATAGGGCCCAATAGCATCACTGTGTTGACAGTAAGCAATAATTACAGTCTAACTGTCGGCACAAAAAAACTGCAAATGGTTGGTGTAGTTAACAGGTTTGCAAGGAATTTTTGGCTTGTGTGAATGCATAGATCCTGTAACTAAGGCTTCTATGCTAACAGGGTTAACACAAAATTTCTATGCAAGGGTATGGGCTCCGTGCTCAAGTACCCACTCTACGGTAGGAAAAAGAGTGCTGGGTGAGACCACTAGGTATCCGCTCCGTTCACAAGTACCCCCTCACCGGCAAAGAAAGTACAGTTGGGGGTGACCGACTGACGCCATCTTGCCTGACTGCAATTTTGTCCCGACGCGCTGCCGTACCACTGTGTACAAATCCCCTGGTGTACGTGCCTCACACACAAGGAACGGTGCGCGTCAACCAGCTAAATGTCCCATCCATGGGATGTCGTTGCTAGGTAAAAGGGCACCCTCTTTCGTTGGCGCACGGAGCTCATATTCGAACACATTGCCGATGACGCCTGACACTTACGCGAAGACGCCATTGCTTTGTGCACATTCAGAATAGAATGAGTTGTGCGTACTTCGCGCTTTATGCGCACAAACCAGTACACCAATGCGGTGTGTCCAGTCCACGGGGTTCTCGAAAGTGGTAAGAACGCCCTCTCTTGTTGGAGCCAGAGCCCCTAAGCGCAGAATGGTGACCATAAGCACGAAATTTCGAAATCGGGTCCTGATGTTTACGTTAACCTTGTGTGGCACCCGTTTGATTTCTGCTGGGGGAACTGCACCTATGTTGGTTTGGCTTTTAGTGTCTTCCTGGTTGCAGCTCATTCTTCCTAATAAACAAGCATTTTCTGCATTTTCTGCAATTGATATGTCCTTCCTTATTTTCTCTCAATTCAAAGCTGGAACCCAAGGAAATAAACAGTGCTAAAGTACTGCTGATTTGTATTTCATGATTAAATTAGTGATTGGAAAGCATTGATTGAAATGATTTTGAATGAAATTCAAAGTTTCCTTGAACATTTCTTGAATTTATTCTTTATCTGTGACATCACCTTTTGATGAGGAATATTTTTTTAGTTGCAGAACATTTTTCATTACAAAGAAAACCAACATTTTTATATCAAAAACTTTTAATTTTACTTTCTAACACAACAAACAGAAAAATTATTTTATGAAAAAAAAAAAAATAAAGAACAATTTCAAACAAGTTCAGATTTATAGTAAGCCTGTCAGTAGAGCAGAAAAAATAAGCTAAATCCCTGTCCACATATGTCTAGACCGATCACTTAAAAAATGGGACACTCCGTCATTTTACTCGCATGATTCAAATTACCCATGGGATAAAAGCTTGACCTAAAATTGCACGGTTATTAAAAGTCCCCCAAAAAACATTCATTGGGCTGGACATATTCCCTGGATCCTGTTCATATGATCCTGTTCTATCTCCTAATGGAACTGCCCTTTATAAATATAAATTGACCTTTCCGTACATTTTTTAAAGTCACAATTTTTTACAAGTTGTTTTAAATTAAAAAGAATTTTTCAAAATATTGAAATAGAAATGATTCATTCAGATGTACATGTACATGTAGTGGTAAACATGTATCTAGGTTTTTTTTTATAATTAAGTACTTAACTTAACAAAAATGTAGATTTTGTGCACCAATGTAGAAGTTGTGCAACCCTCATTCATAAAAAAAAGTGGGGATAAAGGTTTTAAACTAACAGTTGCATGTCTATTACCACAAGTATATTTATATATATATATCTCAACTGAATTGAAAAGATTAATTTCTGCCTTCTTTGCATTTCAAAGAGTATTTTATTCATGGACCAATAAAAAGGAACTCAATTATGCAACCAGCTGGATAATTGCTGTAGCAGCTGTCATTGCAAATTGCATTCAAAGTAATAATATGTACCATGTACATTGTGCACGTACACAAGCACACATGTGTTTTATGTCTTTATTATAAGATAATACTGGCTAAGATGCAAGATATGTTAAAAAGTTATCAGTTTGAACAATAATTAAAACTGGAGTAATATTTAATCATGATGTTTAAGTTTTTTTAAGTTCTTCTAGCTTATTTCTCTCTTCTTCTTCTTCTTTTTAAGTAAAGATGCATCAAAATATATCTTTTGTAGGTTTATTCATTATTAAGTTATAACTTTCTTATCAGACTGTTACAATACCTATTTTGTATTCATCAGCACAGGTTGATATTTGATAAATTCCAAAGGTTACAACCAATACATTGAAGTAATAACATTCAAAATATAGAAAATTTAAATGGCATAAATTGCAAAAAAAATATTACTAAAATCAAGGCAAGGCAATAAAGGCATAATTCATAACACAAACCACCGACAGTAATGTGGGCAGCAAATATGTTGAATTGATAATGCTGTATATACCTAACCAAATTATTGAGTGAAAATTGAAATGGTTGACCAAGTATGTTCTACTGTATCTGTGCCATTTTATCATGCTTGAATGGGTGTAGTGTGAAACACCACACTGCCTACAGATGCCTCGTCAGTACAGCTCCCCGGTTGGAGCGTAATGTTGTCATGATTGGGAGATGAGATCCCATCCATAGCAGGTGTTGGATCAGATGAGATGTCCGTTCTCTTCCTCTGAATTCTCTTCCCCTATTTCCTTTTTTGCCTTGTGAGGTCCTATCTAACAAGGTCTATATTTAGACGTTGCCAAGAATTGATTTGGGATTATAAAAAGGGTATATGTATGTCAAGACACTTAAAATAATTGTGTATGTTCATGTACTTGTAAACTAGTACATAATCCTTTTAAGTAAATGTCAGTGTATCCATTTATAAATGGTTCGTGTTGTTTGGATGTGCACATGTGTATTTTGCATAGGATGTTTCAAGTGGAAACTCTTTAGTTGTAGGTTTTCGTAAAGGAAACATTGGCCATGCCTTTGGAGTTACATACTCTACGTCCCTCCTTGCCAAATTCATGCTTCAACTGGATCAAAGTGCACATCCATTTAACATACCTAAGCCTGCATTATTATTAACAGGATCTGTTCAATTTTAAGCCATTGAAATACTAGCAAAAGGTACTTCAGTGTTTTGTTTTTTTTTGGTGGGAAATTGGAAGCTTATTGGAAGGCTGTGCTGTGAGTGTCGGCACTTCCTGTAGGATAATCACCTCAATTGAATTTGATGTCTCGTTGGATTGCTAACGACATTGCCACGTTAGATCTAACCTTTACAGCTGAGACCATAATTGTTCAGGCTTCGCCTGTGGACCTTGACAGAAATGTTAATGTTGCTCCATCCTCTGCACTCGTACATTTCAGTCTCTTTCAATATGTCCTTCAATTCTCAATGAAAGAAGATTGATGCTGCTGTAAATTGACGATTGTAGTAAAAAGCACATTTATACCTGTATCATGTGTGTATATAAAAATGCATATGACTCACAAAAAGACAGTGAGCGGTCATTAAATATATGTGATTTCATTTTTCTTTTTGCCAAGTCTTTCAAAGCCTGTGTAAAGTGCAAAATTAATTTAACATTTCAATGAAGAGCACTGAATTACATTTTGCTCATTAATTGCAAATGAAAACAGAGGAATCGAAATACAAAAATATGATACATACACGTATACATGTACATACATGCACATGTACATTGACATCCACAGTGATAAAAGTTCAATGGGAAACATTATACACGGATTTGTGAACTAGATCAGCACAGGTGAAAAAATCCTTCATTGGCATGTTGCCATTTTGAAGATGATCAAACAATTTTTCCCATGAAAGGAATAACGAGCACAATGAACAGATGAAGAAATAGGAATGATTTTGTGGACATTGTACCCGAGTACCTTTGGTTTTGATATAAATCATTTGATCAAAGTTCGCTGATGAATGCAAACAGGCAATTTACCATTGTTAAACAATCCCAAAGCAGGGAAACATTGGGGTGAAAAAAAAAAAATTTTGAAGTGGAATTTTAACCTACCATCTCCAAAATAGTTGTCCGATGCAAAATTACCATTTTGTAGTTTAATGTTACTGTAATTTTGTCTTTGGGTGTGATCCCTGGCCACATGGTATGTGCAGGTTTATGGCTTCTGACTAGAACCCCTGATCAAAGACATTGACAAATTTGGGAACCACCACCATAGGGCTGGATAGCTCAGTTGGTAGAGCACCGGAACGGCAATCCAGAGGTGGCAGGTTCAATGCCCGCTTTATCCGTCAATTTCTTTGGTCAACCCAATGTCATTCTAAATTTAAAAAGTGTTTTGTTTGCTTTAAAGACTCTAGGACTATGAAATCATTTTTTTTTTTTTTTTAAATATTCTGTATTTCATTTCCTTACAGGTTCAAGATTATTGTCTCGGAACATCCTTTCCAACAATCAAGTCTGTCACATTGATGAAATGTCTGCAAGATGACCCCAGTGAAGTACCTGATGTAAATTTGATTTTTTTTTGTCCCCTGCAATTTTTGCATTCCTGCTCAAGATTTGTTTAAAACTTGAATAAATAGGTAATAAAAATGTGCAAGGGCCTTCCTTGGCTCATAATGCTACCCATTAAGGGTAGTAACTCTGTATCTATATCTTGTTTTTCCCATTTTCATGGGATCCTCTACTTTTTTAAAAGTAGAAGGCATTTCTTCACATCTGCGGGCGCCGTTGTATTATTGATTCAGGTACTATCCTCACACCTCCGGCTTTCATCTTTACAAATATGGGCCTATTTTTAGTACATTGTACCAATGTATGCATTGTGTTTGCTTATTGACCAGTTGCCATGCACTGAATGACCAGTGACACCAAAAAAAAAAAAAAAAAATTGACCTCGGCGAAACGAAAGCAAAATTCAGAAGTTTTTTGTATATATGTGTGCTCAAAACAGATTTGAGTGTGTGGCACTGCATTGCATGAAAATTGTGCCGTAGATGGCCATTCATGCAGAAATTGCCAAAACAATTGCTGCTGATGGACAAAAACACTGTTGAAATAATATGGAAAACAATGGAAGTGCTAGAATTTGGAAAGACGAATGCATTTCATATATTTAATTCGACACAATTTATAGGTCTTTTTTTTTCAACTGGAAAGAAGAACACGATACATTTGATGTTCAAAATTTTGATTTGTTGATCATGATGAAACTGACTAGTCTCTCCGACATTTTTTTATGTACTCACAGGAGATTGACATTGCAGCTGACTTGGAATACAGTGGGGGTTTCAGAGTTTCCGTCGATGTTGACTTGGTCTTTGGGACCACGGCCTACGTTTCCATAACTGTCACCAAACTTAAGGGACGACTCAGGCTACAATTTAGTAGAAATCCGTTTACACACTGGTCCATGTCTTTCTATGATGTAAGTCGATACACATGCCACATTTCATTTTGATTGTACATGTACGTATCCACCATCATCTCAAGATATAAAGAGCAACTCTATAACAAAGTGCAGCTTTCAAAACAGGCATTTTCTAACATCTTGAGTCTCCTTTCACCTTGTCCTTGTACTCATGAGGGCTATTTTGTGTTTCTGTTTTTCAGGAGCCTGAGGTTGAGTTTGAAGTGGAGAGTCACTTCGAAGGTCGCTCGGTGCCAAAACTAGGATCTCTTATTGTTGGTCAGGTATGGCAATAAAACACAGAAGCATTGCCAATTAGTTAATAAGACTAACTAGACCAACTCCAGATAATACAAACTCATCAAATTATGGCTAACATCAATTGGGACAAACTCCAATTGGGACAAACTCCAATCAGGACAAACTCCAATCGGGCAAACTCCAACTGGGACAAACTCTGATCGGGCAAAGTCTTATGCTCTGTGTATCTTTTGTTTCTTTTCTTGTTAAAAAGTTTGCTTTGAGGCGTTAGTAACAAAATACTGAATAGAAGTATTTCTTTTTACTTTCAATTTTGTAGTCACAGATGACCCTGCACCCGATTTCATCAAACTCTTCGTAACTTACGATGCATCGCAGCTGCGACGCATCCTGCGATCCATTTCACAAAACACGTCCTAAGTGCGACGCGTCGTAGGTGTATTTATAGCACAACTCGATGACTGTTTTATGTATTTAGTCAGCGTACCGTAAATAGTGGTCTGATATTCAACAAAGAGTCGTCGGATCTCAGCTCGAAATTTGTTAAAGCGTAAAACAAAATGGCGGTCGTGCGATGCAATTTTGAAGGAAAACAAGCTCTCAGTGGACTGTATAGCTACTTTGAAATTTCAACTGCAATTTTCCAGTCTAATTCATAATTATTCAATGAATTTTCTATTTACAAATTTACACACATTGCCTCGGTATTATAATCTCGTTTATGTAATGTTTATGGTATTAAACTAGCTAAGAAAGGGACTCTTCTTATTTTGCGATGACCACTAGACACGTCGTAACTTGCGACGTGTTTTAAGCCATTGTCAAGGAACTTACGACGCGTTCAACACATCGCAACTTTCGTGAAATGGATGATACGACATGTCGCTAGTTTCGACGTGTTACACGTGGTCCCTCGAGTTGCGACGCGTCGCAGCGCTTCGTGAAATCGGTGCGTAATGGATTACTTCTGAAATAATTAAGTCTCAATTATGTATCTTTCTTATTTTTCCAGCTTCGTAAAACCTTGAGAAAGAAACACACCTTGCCGAACTACAAAATGCGTTACCAGCCTTTCTTCGTCAAGCCTGCCCCTCCACACAGCAGCGCTGATGTCTACGTTCATGATGGCAAGATCACTACCGGCAAGCTAGCGGTGACGGTGGTGGAGTGCAGTCGGCTGTCGGTGTCTCCTGCACAGAAAGGACTCTCTGAAATATACTGCACCTTATCAGTCAGTGAGTATTGACTCCATTTAAGATCTGTAGAGGGCGCCCTTGGCTTCTTTATGACGTCCATTGAATGAAATGGAGTGTACACAGTTTTCATATGAATTTGCTCAAACCTGTAGCATCATTGTACCCGAGTATGGGCACTATGTGAAAATGGTGCGCAGTTGTTCTTCAGAAATAGCTGTTTATTAATTTTTTACCAGTAAGGGTATATTTACGCACAGATTCAATTGTTCAACTGGTATGAATTGGAGTTACATGACTCAAACTTAAAGCCCTTGTTATCTAGTCAAGACGTTCTAGTTAAGTCAGATTCTCCATCTATAATTGTCATAAAAAAGATGAACAAGGGCAATTTGACTCTTAGTTCATAAATACCTAAGACAGTTTACCCATTCCCATTGGTCAAGAGCCCGTCACGTGGCCGGACTTACACAGATGATAAAGACATGGCTGGCTGGTCTTAAACACTTTCCTGTGTTACATGAAATTTGGACTCCTATACAATCCAGTGCTTTTTACCGTGTTATTGGTTGAACGTTCACAATACTCATGTAGGCATGCGCAATACTACCAGTGAGTCAGTATTTCATAGTCCTAAATTCACAACGCACTCACCACAGCTGCATCTGCGTGTCACCAATATCCATACAAGGAGTTGTTTACATCTTACTTGCAGCTGGACACTCCATTATATAGCGAGAAGGGTGTTTCGAAAAACAGAAAGTAAAATTGTTGAACAAAATTGTTGGAAATTTTTATTTGTTTGACTTGTTTTGACTTTTGGACCGAAAAGGTATTTATGAATGGGAATAAATATGTGCTTGGTCGGTATTAAACACTATAAACATAGTATTTAACACCTCCCAAGCACATTCCCTTAATAACACATCATTTTATGGTAAATGTTTTTACACAAAAATTCTTCTTTAACCTTCAACAGATCCAGAGCCATGGAACCAGGAAGACATTGTCCGTCGGTTCCCAGGCGAGACATTCGAGGTAGATCTGCCGAAAGGTGGTCCCCGCGTGGGTCTGAAATTCACCACAGGGTGCAGGGAGTCAGACGTCGTCATCGCATCCATTAATAGAGATTCACCGGCCGGACAGACGGAATTAAAGAAAGTATGTTCTGGTTTATTTTGTTCAGTACAAGCCTTTGGGATGTTCATAACAAAGACCATAAAACTTACGGACTTAATTTTAGAACCAGTCATGACTAAGAATTTAAGAGGATGAGACTTAAAGGGAATGTACATCATTGGGTTTTGCTGTAATTTTCGGAAATGAACTATATGAGGGGTAGATCAAATATTGTTACACTGACATATTTAAAGTTTTGTGTTCGAAAATGCTGAAAAACCAAGAAAAACAAAAATGTTCAAGTAGTCTGGTTTCCTGACTCCACTAAAGTTGAAATGGATCAATTTATAGATGCCGGAAAATTGTAAGGTGAGGGAACCAGTCTAGCTGGCCTGCACCCGCTCATGTACATGTAACCAACAGCAAACAAAATTTGGACTGAAAAAAAAAGGTAAATTTGGAGCAGTAGTTGAAAAATAGCTAGGTTTTTCCAACGGTGGTCAGCCGACCACCATTGGAAATGTATACAAAAATACCACTTTTCTTGAAAATGACTTCACACCTGGTGCCGTTATTTTACAGGATGCTTTACACTGTCATTTACCAACATCCTAGTAAGGTATTTCGTAAAAACTGGGTAGTTTTATTTTTCGATGTTGCAAATGTTGTATATTCCCTTTAACCAAACCTTGTTTTCTCAGAGTATATTCTTGACCATTACTTGTGTGTCTTTATTGTGTTTGAAATAGGGGCTCACGTTTAGTCTACTTTTATATATTGGCTCCTCGATTGACTTGTTTTGTAGGGTGATCTTCTACAAGCTGTGGACGGCATCAGGGTGACTAATGCTAAGCATGCTGCTAAGCTCATCAAACAGACCAAAGATAGGTATGACTCTGTTTATCTTTGAGTCAGGTCTCTATACTCTATAAAATATTTGGCAATTATAAGACATAAAGACAGGCAAGACTTTCAAAGCTTCCAAGATTGCATCAATTGCCATGAGCTCAGAGAGTTTTCTCTTCCCTGTAGATATATATGGATAGACTGACAATTAAGGGCTGGAAAGCTTAGTTGGTAGAGCGCCTCTTTGATGTTGAAGGTTCTAATCATGCTACCATTCATTTCTTTGTTTAACATGATATTAATACTCTTGTCATGTTTTCGCACTTCAGGTGTATACTAAAAGTGCAGCGACCAGCTCACCCAATAGTAACTCAGACGGATGGTCAGACGATGACGGATGGTTCAGGTAAAAACATTGAAATCGTTGACGTGCAACTTGACGATAACGACTACGAAGATTTCATCAACGTCAAAATGATGCAGACACTCGGCGTGAGCGCCGATGAAGTAGATCTGATAGCGCAGACTACCAGTGCGCCTGGTAAACTGCAAGTCCCTGCCACGGACTCCCCGGTGCTCCGTCGACGCACTGGTAACCTGGACTCGACTGAGGGTGACGCTCCGGTGCGCAGGTTGTCGTCAAGTCTGGACTACTCCACTTTGAGGAATCTCTCAACTACCATGGATCGGGAGAACCGACTGCAGAGCATCAAGATGCTATTTAAGGAATCCATGCAGGCTAAACCTGGTGACAAGAAACGAAAGAAGACCGTCAAGAACCCCACGATAGCCAGCCTGCAAGCTGGGGGCGACACAGACACCCAAGAAATTGACCCAGACAGGGTCAGTCTGTCCAGCCTAACATCACTGGTAGACGAGCCTGATATGGCTGGTAGTCCCAACACGGGATCAACGGTTACCGGTTCCACGGTGTCCATTGCTGGAGGGGACCAGGCAGCTGTCTCCGAACCTGCAAACTCAGAGTTCTCTGGTTATGATGACCTATATGAGACTTCACTGGTTCCGGCATATGATGTGAGTGTTGCAAAGTTGTTTCCAAAAGATCTATCTTTTTTTTTCAGTATTGTGTTTTGCTGGTCAGCAACATAATACTCTCCACGTGCATTAATGTTAACACATCTTGCCATGAAATATGCTTTAGGTTTGCACATTTTTGGCTAACTATCAAGCCAAAGGATGTTAAATCTTCAAAATACACCAAGAGGTTTTGGATGGTTTTGCAGGACTTAAGAAGGCACAACCAAGCCATAACTACTTTACGTGGGGCTTAATTGCCCTTGGAAAAAGGACAAGGAATGACTTCAATTTTCCTCCCTTGGATGATTCTGAAGCATTCAGGAAATTTCCAGGCAAAAAGCACCTGGGGTGTTATGGTTAATGTGTTTGTGATATAATCTCTTTTGATTAATAGGAACCTACGTGGGACGAAACCTTCAACTTTGAAGTGGACGAGTTTGATCGCTATCTCAACGTCTGCGTCTGGAATCGCATTCCTCTCTCGTCCGGCAGTAAAGACATTCTGATTGGCTATACCTGCGTACCGCTCATGGACGTAGCATTGCAGTGTCTCAACACAAAGGCTGGGGAGCACCTCCTTGTTAGTAACTTGCACCCTCCAGAACAGAGGGCAGGGGCCACGTAAGTGTCTCAAATGGACATTTACAAGAGTCTTTTGACAATATCCTGCTTGAAAACTGACTAGGCATTCAATGGGCAATTCCACGGTTACTCACGTTACAATTTTTGATGTACTTTTGAGTTTCTCACGTTACGAAAATGTAACGTGAGTAACCGATTTTGTGCGTCTTGTTTATCATACATATTAAACACATTTTTCTGTATGTCATCTTTGGTGCTTAGGTACATGTAGGTCTAGGTCTACTCTATCTACCATGGGGATAACAGTTATTAAACCTTTTCAGTAAGGTAAGTACAGCCCAGGGAAACTCAAAAGTACATCAAAAATGTAACGTGAGTAACCGTGGAATTGCCCCAATGCTCGTACTTGTTTTAAAGTTCTTACTTGATTCAAATATTCTAAATAATTTAGTTCAACTATGGAATGCTAGTTTGATATCGGTGGGCAAAATTAATTTCATAAATAAAGTGCATATTTCTTGTCCCCACCAGCCGCCTGCCAGGCCAGTCCCATCTCTACCAGCACTCGGGCTTCGAGACTCGGCTCTGCTATGGAGACGTTGCCCTCTTCTTTCAGCACACACCGTCGGGTGAGCAACCTCCAACCAAGGAAGAGCTTGAGATGACTGAGTCCCTGCTGAAGGAGCTACAGAGCAAACATAAGGCAGTGGCTGAGGAGAGATGGAAGACGCTGAATAAGGTCAAAGGTCACAAGCACACGCGACCTGATGAACTCAAGTAAGAACTCCAATATTTATGTAGTTTGCATCTTTTTGAACCGTGTTTCATAGTCTGATGGGAAGGGGTTCGAATTCAGCTGTTGGCCATATGTTGTGTCCTTGGGCAAGCCACTTTACTCCAGTTGCCTTTTCCCACCCAGGAGTATCTATGGGTACCGACATTAGCTGGGGAGTAACGTGCGATGGATTGGGTTCCTGCTAAGTGACAAAGTTTGAAGGATTCAGGAAGTTTTCTGGCCAAATAACCAAAGATTCCAACTGGAATGAGTAATCACGCATGCTCTTATATAGACATTTTTTTTTTTTCTTTCACAGTTTGTTCCCAGGACTACAGCACAGGTTTGTGGGAACTCATTTCACTGTGCCAACTAGATGTGATTTCTGCTCCAAAAAGGTGAGGGAAATGGAATAAAATATTACCCCTTTCCATTTTTATGGAACATTTTAGTACAAATAATTTTCTTGAAAACTATTTTGGTCCCAACTTAACCAGTATAGCAAATATGCTTCCAATAAACAACCGTTGTGTTTTTTTTGTCGACAGGTGTGGACTAAATACGCCCTGAAATGCCAAGTATGCCAGCTCATATGCCACAAGAAATGCTCTGAGAAAACGCAAGCACAAATTCCATGTGACAGGTATTTTCCTCAAATTTTCAAGTTATTGTTATAGTCGATATATTAATTACTACATTGTAGTTGTCGTGACCGTTGCTGTTGGCTTTTAGTGTTTTGACACTGTTGCTTATTACTTTGCTGTATTTTTTAGGAGTTTCTAACCGAGATCCATTTAAAGTCTCTGGACATTGTTATTTTAGGTGATACATGTGTACTGAGTCCATAGTAATAATAATAATAATATAATATCGGAGTCTTAAATAGCGCACGTATCTACCAGCAATTAGGTACTCAAGGCGCTTGAAATTATGTGTATTATTAAAGAAAGGTAAATAGAGTTTATGAGAAATATGAGACCCATTATCTAGCACCTTATAAGGGTTTATAAGGTGCTGCGGCGCATATTGCAGCCACTGCCAGAAACACCGGGGCAAACCCCTTCTCTTAGCGATAAGTGTTACTGGGTTCTTTAACGTGCATTACACAACACACGGGACCTACGGCTTTACGTCCCATCCGAAGGACGAAGCAATAATGGTAAAGTGCCTTGCTCAAGAGCGCAAGCACCATGTTCTCACGGTCAGGATTTGAACCCATGTACCACGGCACACGAGTCGAACACTGTAACCATTGGACCACAGCACCCCACATAGTATGTGGACATGCATTTGAGATCATTTGATGTCAAATTAACATGAACAAGTTTATTTGTATGTACAGCATGCTGATTTCAATTTTGATAGGAAATTTGTGTTTCACTAATGAATATATGGTTGAATAATTTCACCATTATAATTAAAAGCAGAGTTTCAAGCTTATTTAAATACTACTTTTAATGCAGTTCCACATTTTTTTTTTCCAATGGAAAAACATAAAACCTTATTCAGAACTGTCTCCAAAAATGGTCAGGATACTGCCTCCGGACTTGAAGACAACGTCTTCTAGTTTGTCAATAGCGCCCCCTAGCAATGGTTGGTTGTAGAGAATCTTTGGCATGGCATGGCATCAAGGAATTCCACTCCATTCTCGATACTCCATTTTCCAGGCATTAATGTGAAATTTTACCTTTCGGATACAATCTGATCTCAACTTGTGTCATCTTTGGGACAGAGGGTTGTTTCTGGGGTTATCTGGCATGTTAAGGTGGCCTTTGGTCCGTGTAAGACATCTGAAAGTAGTTGGAGCTTTTTGATGTCATAAGTTCATCTCTTTCAAATTGAAACGTTGCATGTAAACAATGCATTGCGTATCTCTATCAAAATAAGCACAGAATCACATTGTGCACTCTTTTTGCGCAGAAGGGACCTACATCTGTGTGCTTGAATAATAGAAAATGGAGCCCTTAGCGAATGGAAATTGACTGCGATATTTTAAATGCTATGGTGACACTATATGCATGGAACTCCATTTTTTGTGACTGGATGTTTTTTTCTCTTGTACGGCTGATTTGCAGTTTCAAATCTAGTTGCTCTATTCTGGTTGATCATAAATCAAAGGTCACCCAGCCTTTTCTGTTGCCACTTTGTGATTGGCTGGTGTGATTGACCTTTGACCTCACGCGGTGGATTTTCATTGGTCAGTTGGTTGTTGATGTCACTTTGGAGATCTGACTTTCTGCATCCTGATTGGTTGGCTGACATTTGACCTCATAGTTTAATTGATGGAGCCACTCTTTCAATGTAGGCTTTGTTTTGGCACGTACACTGCATACCAGTTTGCATAATGGTTAGATGCACTGCAGGGTGAAATGACTTGCACCAATTTCTATTCTCCCAATTTCTTTCTTAATCTTTGTAAATGCACAAGCAAAGAAGGATGAATATTTAAAATAAAACTTATATCTCCTAATACGAGAAAAGAAATCATTGTTTCAGTATAATGGGTCAAGAACTAATGCTAGAATAATCCTATGAGATATTCAAGTAAAACATATTGTTTCTAGATTTACAGAAATTTTTTATTGAAAAGTATTCATACTTTAAACATGAAACAGTAGCTGAATACTTACCGTAAACAAGAGATGCATTAAGAAAAACTTTAACCCTTATACTGAAAAATGTATCTTGCAATGCGGAATGATAATTGTTTGTTTTGATTTCTGAGATTGTTTTTTCTATTAATTTATAATGCTTTGTTCACACTTACAAATTTACAAATTACAAATTTATAATTTGCGTAACTCATTTCCCCCCGTAGAACCAAAGTCTGGCGAAAACCTGACCAGTCTTCCCCATCCAAGGACCAACAACTGAACGTCAAGGTGGTTGCGGACCCTTCCGCCTCCCCACAAACCACTCCCACAATGCAACGTCGCAGCGGGGTATCCCCTCAACCCTCCCCTGTCCCTTCCCCGGATCCCTCCCCCCGCGAGTCCTCTGCATCGTCTGACGAGGATGAAGAAGACGAGGTCAACGTGGCGGTCCGCGGGCTGAACCGACTGAAACGAGACCTCCGTGAGCTGGCCCGGGCTGAAGGCAATAGGGTGGACGACACAGATGCTGTGTTTATGACTGCCGCTAGAGAGGTAAGAATCGGGAGGCGGAGCTTCTAAGATGGAAGGGGCGGAACCGGAAATCACATGAGAGAAGGACTGATTTGCATGTCTGCATTCTGTAGCCACAATCTTTCCAGACGTTGGGATGGGATACTGAGAGGGCTCATTAATCTATCTGCTCTGTTCACAAGTACCCCCTCACCGGCAAAGAAAGTACAGTTGGGGGTGACCGACTGACTCCATCTTGCCTGACTGCAATTTTGCTGCAACGCGCGGCCGTACTATGTACCACTGCGTGTACATAGTACAAATTCCCTGGTGTACGTGCGTCGCACACGCCCATGGGACGTCTTTTGTTGGCGCAAAGGGCCCATTCAGGGAGGGGTGTTCTTCCCCCTTACCACCCCTTTTGTTGGATTTTTTTATTGAACAATCAAGGTATTTTTTTATAGTGAAGTTCTCCCACATTCGGTTTTTTTTCCAGCTTGGTCGTGAGTTGTTCATTGAGCTTCCCAACAATGAAAGGAAGGAAAAGCTGGAAACAATGGTAATTACAGAATCTCAGCATTTTTTTTATTTATTTATGATATTTCTTTACCCAGGGTATGCCCAAACAGTTTAAAACTGGTTTCCATTGGGGCCCTGCATACACTACAAATGACTACACACGTGTACAAATACAATACAATACATTACAAATACAATACAGCACAATGAAATAAAATAAAATCATATGGGATTACTGCATGATTGCAGCGCAACTATTATAAATATTGTACAACTACTACAAAGAAACATGTCCAGTTTGAAACGACATCGCTAATAGACTTTCTTAAAGGCCTAAGGTGAAGTAAGTGAACACGAAGAATTTGGACATTTTCAGTTGACGGTAGTCCTTTCTGCCTTGAATTAGCCCTAATCCCCCTAGGCCTTTTTGGATAGGAACCGTCATCAATCCTGCAAAATCCTCCAATTGCCACCATGCAATAATTGGATACATAGTCTCAATCCTCCAAAATCATCCGTTAGTTCTTGAATTTATTCAGTGGAGGGGTGGCCACTGCCTCAATCCTTACAAAATCCTCCAACTCACTTTTACACATTGTTGTAGCAGTGCGGATGATATCCAGAAACGGTACGGATGACATCTAGTATAATCTTGGCATTATTTATGAATGGCTAAGCATGAACAATGCAAGGTATAGCTTAAGACCTTGACACCATGCATCCTTTAAAATCAACTGGCACTATAATGGAATACAGGCTCAGTCCTCTAAAATCCTCCAAAACCGCCTGGTAGATTTTGGAGGATTGAGGGTTAGAGTTAAAGGGAATATGTACAACATTGGCTTTTGCTGCAATTTTCAGAAATAAGTGCATTTGGAGGATTAATATGTTTTAGCAAGTATTGTTAAACTGACTTGCTTCACGTTTTTGGCTTGTAAGTGCTGGTAAAACCAAGAAAATCAATTATATTCTTGTAGTCTGGTTCCCTGACCCCACTTAACATGCTTAAGATGAAATGGAGCAATTTATAGACTTTGGGGAATTGTATGGCCAGAGTATCAATTTAGCTGGCTTGTACCCGTTCATAGGTGTGTAATCAATTGCAAAGAAAATGTGGAATAACTAAATATAAGAAATATGGAGTAGGTTTTGAAAATAGCCAGTTGTCTCCAGCGCTGGTGGGCCGACCAGCGTTGGAAAAATACAGTTTTTCTTGAAAATGTCAGCACACCAGGAGCCACGATTTTACAGGATGCTTTAGACTGTCATTCCCTAACAATCCAGTAAGGTATTTTGTGATAATTGGATCATTTCGTTTTTTGATGTTTGCAAATGTTGTATCTTCTCTTTAATCCCTGTAAACCACTCCTGAATGACGTTTCGAATTGCACCAACAGGTAAACAAGCTACAGAGGGAGATTGACGCCGAAGTGGAGCGGCAGTTGCAACTGACCCAGGACATCCAAACTGATCAGCACCGACCGCAGCAGCGACTAGGCACTCAACAGCAGCACCAGCAGCAGCAACAGCAGCAGCGACGTCAGCGGCGACGTACAGGCAACATGTGCCGCAGCGAGGAGCGCATGCAGATGCTGGCTACACTGATGCTGCACTACTGCGCCGGCATACAGCACTGTAATGAGACGTTACATACTGCGGAGGAACTGGATAACAAAGTCAATGAAAATGGTAACGTTGATCCTCAGCCCTAGGTCTCACAACAAATTCCAACCCATGTCATATTGTGGGTGTGTAGTGTTAGTATTTTGCTGGTAACACTCAGTCCGTTCAAGCACCTCATAAATCTGGCCACTTAAATAGAACGGGAAAAATATTTGCAGCAGCATTGTATGTAATCCGGGTGATTCACAATGCAGTGCGCCACCAAGAGTTTGCCATTGAGAGTCAACTTTTCAAGTTTACGGTCGACAAAATATGGCCCATTTGAATGAGTGTCGGTAGACAACTTTAGCTATTATGTTATAGATAGGGGCATAGCGTTCTGCCGCCTTACAAAAAATCACCATATTGATAAAAAGAAAAGAAAGGGGGCAAACAGATATTCGAATCATATGCTTACGAAACAATTGACCGGAAAACGAACAATTTCAAATGTCCTGCGCTGCGAATTTGTCGAACATCTCCCACAATGCACGGGGAAAAATGAACTCTCCGTGGCAAACTATTGGTGGCGCTCTGCATTGTGAATCGCCCGAGTTGGCGACAAGCTGTCACATGGTAACATAGCTTTAAATGTACTGCATAACGCATTAAATTGGTTTAGGCTATAATTGTTATAAAAAAACTAAACACAGAAGAGACATGTGCCAATACTTTCAAAAATTCAGCATTCCTAATTCTTTTAATTCAAAACATTTGGGGAAACTTCTTACTCCCTTGTCAAGTTTTGTAGAACAAGGACAACTGATCGTATTGAGATTGGCACCTGTGAACTTTTGAAATAGTAACTGAGCTGTCATTCCCTATGTTAGCCATCTGCAGGCTCCTCAATGCAAACTTATCAAGATCCCATCAATATCTCAAAGGTCATCAATTAACAGCCAACAACAACAGAGTTTTAACCATAGAGCTATATTAAATTACTAGAGCGCTAACTCCTCATTCTGCGCGCGAGACACTTTGAAGCCGTCCTGGGCGCAGACATTTTGAATTCATGTGCGTGTTTATAGAACATAATGAAATTAGATGGATTGAATATTGAAAGTGTACTCTACATGCAACGCATAAGTAGAACACACGCAAACAACTTAAGTGCACCATTGACGGTTCAAAAAAACGTGACGGCAAAAAGCATCTACAGCGAAGTTGTTTGCGTAGAGCAAAATGACACGTTCATTTGCTGATCGTGTGCTTCGGTTTTGGGCGTATTGGCTTCGATAACGCACCGGTATGGAATACAAACGTAGATATGCAAATAGCCGTACAAAAGCCGTACAAAATTTCTAAGTCTCCATAGGTTTATGCACAAACATGGATGCGCCCAGCAGGCATTACTTTATACATGAAGTTAGCGCTCTAGTAATTTAATATAGCTCTATGTTTTAACCCATCAGTAGACTCTAAAGTGGCTGAAATTAATTTATTATAATTAGCATTCCAAAATTTATCTTTACAACATCATGCTCATTTATTGAAGTAGTATACACATGTATATACCAAACTAACTAGACCTAACTCCCCGAGATTACAAAAAAAAATCCATCAGGATTTGGAGAATTGTGTAAAATTTGAAAGGTAACCCAGCCACTGTCACTGTTCATGAGACATAAAAGGTAGAATGGACCATTTGCTATAAGTGTGTGATGTCGCACACTGAATCAACTGCGCGCACGTATGCGTCGTGTCAATGCTTGCACACATTCACGGATTCGCCGAGCTAAAAACAGAAATTTCCAAAAATGTGTCATTTGCCACATCTTTGGAAATGACCTTTCGATGTTATCTTCAAAATGACAGCATGCCAGAAGGAATAATTTCACAGGGAGTTTAGTGTCATTACTATCTTTAAACCAAATACGTTTTTTAACAACCATTTGGTCGGTTGCACAGGGATGTGGCAAATGACACATTTTTGGAAATCTACAAATAGCAAATGGTCCATTCTACTTTTAAGTCTCATGTACAGTGACAGTGGTCGGTTGCTTTTTGGATAGCTGCGAATGGCCCACTCTACCTTTAATGCCCCTTGAAAGTCTTAATACAAAACAAACACACCATTTGTTTTCTAGGTAGTTGTAAAATATGGAGAGCATCTCAGTCATTGTCACACCAGTATTTATTAATTAAACACGTAGTTGTGAACTTGTGAAGCAAAACACACTCGAAAAAAAAAAAAACTGTTGAAGAAACACCTTGCTGTGTGAAATCTCAAATTGTTATCTCAGTGAATCATGTAGTTACTTTACCTTATTTGTATCAGTATTATTATTATTATTATGTACATTAGAAAGCAGCTCAGAAATACCTGCAGCTATGTGTAGAACAATTTCCTTGAAATGTGAAACAGATTATTTTAATAATACTAGCATCGGTGCACGTGAAAAGGTCGCAATTTAGCTACCGTGTCACAAAAAGAGTTATTATTTTATGTGTAGATTTAACATTTTGTGTATAACAGCAATGCGAAATTTCTATGTATTTATGGGTTGATATACATGTATCTTTATATTCATAATGGTATTATGTAACACAGAAAAGTACTTATTTTAATTTCCATTTTTAGTTCCAATGGCTGCAAGATGGGTGTACATTTCAGTGTTCAGTTTTACTGAAGTGGTGTACAATGTAATGTCTACATTTTATTGGCTTGATTTTCACAGATTGATTGAAATGTATGTAGGTCGATTTATTGCCCTGAACATTATTCTCTTATTACTAAATACCATCATGAAATCAAATAGTTAAATTTTGCATCTTGAAATTGTAAGTACAGAGCAGTTAATTGTAGCCCAGCTTGGTATTTTAGATCAGTAATGTAGAAAGTCAGTACTGTAGCCTTTTTTTTCTTCGAAAAGTCTAATATAAAAGCTATAAGTATTTGAACTTGTAGCTTAAATTGTCTTTCAAACAAAAGCTGCCTGTTTTTCCATACAGGGAAATGTACATTTAATTGTATGTAAGGTTGCTAAACTGGGCAAATGTACTTGATTGCAAAAAAAAAAAGATGGAAAGAGATCATTCCAAAGCTATTGATGCTATTAATATACATAAGCTATACATGTATTTGAAAGAGGCAAACTCAGCATTATTGTGGTACATAAACTTGTAACTTTCAGCATGAAAACAATGTCTGGTTAAGTATATTTTAAAAGGAAATTTGAAGCTCAAATAACAGGGGAGTCAGGTTGGCGTAGTGGTACTTTCCTCGCCTTCCACCGCTGTGACCCGGGTTCGAATCCCGCCTGGGCCAATATGTGGATTGGGTTTTCAGTCCCTACCTGATTCCGTGGGTTTTCCCCAGAATATTCTTCTGGGCTTTTCCTCCCACCTCTAAAACTGTAACTTCTTCTCATTGTCTTCTCTCCACGGGTTGCTTGGGAGCTATAGTGCCTGGGGCACTTTTGAGGAATCCTTGGTTTCATTACCAGAAATGATTAATCATAATAATAATTAATAATAATAATAACAATGTATTTATCAGTATTGCAGCCTGAAGCGGAAATCAGCAGGAATGAAATACTTCAGTAAGAATATCACAAGGCTTGTATGAAGGGTTAATGTCGGAAACGGCGGTTAACTACCCTGAAAGGCCTGTTCATAGTGATGCATCGTTTTAACAGCATCTTCGAAAATGTCCACACTTTGTGACGATTTATCTTTTTAACCCTTAAAAATCCGGGAAGTACAGCAACTGGATAATTAAGGTAATGAAATTATAGTGACTTGTGGAAAATGGGGGGGGGGGGGGATATTGTTATAGTGTATCTTTACACTTTCAATCTCGGAGAGAATTGAAAGTACATTATAATGTAACTTTCCTACAATTTTTCTTTTCCACGAGACGTATTAAACATTGTGTTTATTGTGCTTTAGAAAAGGTCATCAGATTTTGCACATTAATGGCTAGAAGCCACATCGCTGTCATTTGCAATGTACCTTTGTCTCAAAGTTATAGCATTCCGTAATTCTAAAAAAAAAAATCGCAAAATCACGTACTCATAATCAAATGCTAATATTAATGTGCAATAAGTTGATTGCGTTTGATCTTTTAATAAATATTGTCATCACAATACTTAAGGTATAAACTGTAAAGTACTGAATATTTTTTTGCTTGATTTTATGAGATATTTTATATTCGTGTGTCAATAAAGATGTATACCTTTGAAATTAAATTGCCAATAAATATTGTATGATCAATTTTCTGCTTGTTTTCTTTGTTTTGACTTTTGGGCGCTCATTCGTGAAAAGCAGTCTTCCGACTCTAAATGACGTCATAATACAGAACCGTGCCATTATGCAAATCATGGTTCATCAAGGATATGCGCATTGTTTCGTAGGACAACTTGTCGCGTTGAAGTCCATTGTTGTTTTGCGCGCGCCTTTACGCGGTGCGCAACTCACAACAAACCTTCAGATTTTGCCTTTCTGCTGTTCTTCGAACATCGTATTGCGATTACCTCTTGCGAATTTAGCGATTTCATCGATATTCTTCGACGTTTTAAGACATCAAACGATCTGGTTCAAGATGGATGATACACCATCGGTAAGTTTTGCCCAGATTTTTTTTGTTTTTATATTTTTCATTTTAAAGAAAGTATATTTGTAAAGAAAGAAGTCTTAAAGAAAAAGTAGAAATCATTTATGCAAACTTGCTAAACTTTTTCGATGCACATTTTACCTGCTTCCTTTCTGCAAAGCTAGCAAACAAAAGGAACACTTAGTAATTCTCTTTTTAGTACAAAATAAATATGCTGTGAAGTGATCCTTAAGAATGTAAATTAAAGTGTCGTATGTCGAAAACATACGATCTGTTTTCGGTCCGTAGATCGTGTATAATTTCCATTCTGCGGGTTGCAATAGATTAGTACTTCGCGCAATAAAAACAAACGCACTGGATGACGTCAACAATAATTACATTGTTGCATTGTGACGTCAAGCGCTTCCATAACACTTTCATTTGCCTGCTTACGAAAAGTTATGAGCCTTTCTCCAACTTCTAAAACAAAAGACCCCAAAATCCCCCCCCCCCCTTAAAAAAATGTGTAGAGGAAAAACATACACCTTAGCGAAATTTTATCGTCCCGGTATTTTGACATATTCCACAGATATTAACCGATTATTATCGGCGGATGACTGCCTGGATCTGTAGGCACGTCCCATCCGCTAAGTCAGGGGTCTCACACACCAAGGTGCAGGTTAGTCCCTTAGTGAATCATAAATAATGAAAGAAACTTCGATACAGTATGAATTAATAGAAAATATTGGAGAGAAGAAATTCATATTAATAAAAAACATTGCTGTTACCTGATTTAAAATAATGCAAACCATCATACCCATTTCCAAAATTCTCTGATTGAATATGTCCTCTTCAATATTTCCTCATAACTTTTACTAGACAAGTCCACGAGGTCGTTTATGTATTACTTCTGTTTTGATTTGTATTCCGTTCTCTTGGAAGGTGCTATCTAGCACGCACTGCGTCCCACCTAGGGCTGACTTCAACTGCCCGTCCCCCTCCAAGTTGTGTGACACATTGGCCAGCCAAATAAGATCACACCGAAGGCCTGGAAAACACCCTGAGAATGAAAACCGCGCCCAAGACGCGAAACTGGTAAGCAAATTCAAATGTTCAATCTATTTTTGAAACCTTGAATTATGTTATTAAACCATTATTTTGACAAATCTCTGCCTGCATATCATAATAAGCCTGTTGATGGCAAGGGCGGATCCAGGGGGGGGGGGCCAAAGGGGGCCATGGCCCCCCCCCCAAAACGAAACCAATTTTTTTTTTTTTAATGTGACATCGCAATAAAGGCAGGCAATGAGTACACCACCATCTTTTCCTCCAAAAAAATTGGTTAAAGTGGTCAGAAATTGCCTCAGATCGCACCACAGAGCATCTAGAATCCAAAAAATTTTCGGGGCCCTCACGGGCCCCGAACCCCACGCCGTAATTTTGGAGACCCACTTATTTGGGGGGGACCAAATTTTTTTTGGGCCCCCCCAAAATTGTGTTCTGGATCCGCCCTTGGTTGATGGTCAAGATTTAAAAAAAAAAAATTGCCTATTATTGTGCAGGTGTGCTCGGGCCAAGACCACCGAGCGAGTAAAACCGTTATTGGAGACGGAGCCACGACGGAAGACGCCTTCCAATCTGACCATAGTGGTCATCTAGCAAGAACACACTCATCAACTTCCAAGGTAGGAATTTTAATTTAAAAACACACGGAAATGTACACTTTGGTTTCTGGTTTGGATGCTTCATCTATTCAGAATAATTATCATAAATCCTAGCCATAATTCTCAGTACCCTGATTGGAAATTGCTGTCCTATTCAAATCCCTTTACTCACAATTGGGTTCCAGAGAGAGCAATTTTGTTGTTAGTTTTATGGTTTTGCGTTTTTACCATTTTTTTTTAAAGGTTAATGAGATTGCTGGAAACTTCAGCGGCCATACCCGAGACAATCACGGCACAGTTGAAGGAGAAGACCCGCCTACTGGCTGCCTCTGCCTGCCAGTCCTTTCACTCCAAAGGTGGAGAAACCGCAGGCGGGCAAAAGTGGCACCCTTTAACCCACGATCACCCTCCATCAAACCTGCCACGACATCACCGAGTAGTTGCGAAGACACTCGAGTGCAGCCCCTGACAACCGAGGTGTCTGTGTTCGATCTTGAGGATGAAAACGGCCAAGAAAGTCCAGGCCTTGGTCTGCCAACTCGGCAGATGATGCAGGAAGACATGGACGAATGGCGTCAGAGGAGGAGAAGCGAGATACTTCTCGGAAATGAAGAAGATGATATGAAAGGTATTTCGAGAGAAAGCCTTTCTCTCCCATCAAGACCAAAGACATCGAAGGGCCGGGAAGGAGAGAGTGACAGGAATGATCAGCGCTCGGAGAGAGGTGCAAGGTCAAGTACAGAGGTCAATACTGAGACCAACGAGTTTGGTGCGGGGAAGCAGGCTGGAAAGCTTGAGTTCGTTGGATCGGGAAAAAGTAGACATTCGGACGAGTGTGACTCCGATGAAGTCTTATACTACTGGAAAAATCTGGATGTGAAAGACAACGATGAAGATGAAGATGGAAATAGAAGTTGCGTCGCTTTGGCACAAAGTGACGAAGTCACAACAGACGGTGACACCAAGTGGGAGAATTCACTGTCGAGGATGTCATCACTGAAAGAGGTCCCTCCAAGACCGAAGACGTCACGAGGATTGAGACCAGAAAATGGACAAGAGGACCGATCCTCGGTGATGGAGAGATCATTGGAAGAGGTCATCAGTACATTGTTCAGAGAGGAGGACGGAGTGAGAGATTTTACAAGAGACGACGTGGTCCTTGACAAGACCCATGAATCAGACAGTGGAATTCAGAAAAGCAGGTCACCCTTGGAGGAGACACATGACTCTTGCGAGGTATTGAGCGTATGGAGAAATCCTGATGAGATGGAACACAAAGATGAAGAAATAGGTCATGACGTCTCACCAAGCAAAGATGGTGAATGTGACAGAGGGGAAAAAACTAAAGAATCATCTCCTCCTGGACATGACGAAGTTTCACATTTGACTTGTGAGAACCAGAAGGAACTGATATCTCCAAAGTCTTCAGAGCATTCCATGGATGCGGATGGTGTGATGATGACACGCGAAGAAGAGCTTCAGTTTGAACGACAACAGCGAGAACAATGGCAGCTAGCTGCTTTAGGTGAATGGGCTACCGTGTGCCAAGACTATGACGAAGACGAGTATTTATCAGAGTGCTACCTGAGAATGGATGAATTCCAGAAAGAGCAGGCCATGATGAAGGAATGGAAGGCCATTTCTGAGCGTTACCATTCCGTTGGTGTCATCCAGGACCTGCAGAACATGCAGACACTCTGCAAGTGCACCATCAACCAGAGCGAGAGAGCTCTGAGGCAGTTTGCCCGGATCTGCCGCGGGCCCGTGCCCCTCTCCAAGTCGGGACAAACCAAAGCCGAGGCCATCGCCCCACTCTCAAGAATGGTCCAGAAACAGACCAGGAGGATCTCCGAAAATATCTCCACCACCTTCATGGAGTTCTACCAAATATTCGAGGAGCTGGACGTCTTGAGGGAGAGACAGGATCGAGTGGAGGAGTTCTTACTGAACGATCTGAAGATTAGGGACGCAGAAGTAGCATTGTCTCAGTCAAGTTCTCGGTGTTCAACCATCACGCCCAGGCAAGTCTCCAGTCGGCTCCAACAGAGGGAGATTGACCAGGACCTAGTGGACAGATACATGGAGAAGTACCGGGTGAGGTCCACGGATCTGTTCGAGGTCATGCCGACCATTTGCGAGAATGAAGTCTTCCATCTGGAAGAGTGTCAAGAACTTGATGAATCAGAGGTTGATTTTCCTGAGTACAGTGGGATGGATGACGTCTGCCTTGATGAAAATGACGTCAGAGAGAATGATGCAGCAGAGGATGAAAGCTCAGATTCCAATTTTGTGAAGAGCGCAGGAGAAAAAGAAGAAAGGAATGTAGATGGGGCCGTCACAGAAGGATGATGATGATGAAGAAGTTGGTGGAGTGAAGTTGAAGAGTTGAGGAAAAAGAACGCGAAAGGATACAGTTTGCCTTCAAGATCAAATCCAGGAGAGAAATGGTTACTTCTGCTACTTCTATTGAAGTTTTGTGAAATAGATAGTGATTGGATTTAGATCTATTCTTTTTCCGTCTTATACTCCGTTTTGAGTACGCCACTGTATGGATTTACTTTCAGATCGCTTGCCTCTTTTTATTTTGAAGGTGAGATTCAAAATACAAGTATAATATATGTACATCCATTACAGACCAATGACGGGATTTATCAAAGACAAAGGAGAATTTGACAGAAGAAAACATGATAAAAACAACAAACAACCCAACAAACAAACTAGACACAAAAACAAACAAAACATAACTAGTTTAGAATTTTTTTTAAATCATCAGTTAACACATAGAAATATGAACTGTTCATGATTGAATCACAAAATCATTGGTTGCTCTAGCTGAAATAAAAAAATACATGTAGTCTTTCACATCGGGCTTTCCCATGTAGCTTATCGAACTTAAATAAGCCCCCAATCAGAATTACTAATCGAGGGGACCAACTACAAGAGAGAAACCAGTGACATAAAATATCACGTTTGGTCCTGAAGGGGAACCGTTCCCATCATGATAAAGGGTATATATTTCAAAAGAAAAAAAAATCAAGTTCTTATGTTGGCAGGATTGCAGAAAACTATTAGCGTCAGTATTTCTCGAAATTCAATACAGAGCCTCATAATTACATTTTTTTTGCATGTTGACAATTTTGACTTTGGGCGGCTAGCTGCTGTTATGTGATTTCATTTTGTAAAGGTTGATGCTTTCACATTGTGATATTTTATCGTCAATCAAATTCATTCAAAAATGTTATAGGAAATTTAACTTTGGTTATTCAAAGCTGATATTTGCCGAAGGTATTTATTCGATTAACTAGATCACTGAGTGTACTATGTTTGGGGAAACTATAAGTACGTCAGTGTAGGGCAAATCAAATATTGAAATCGTGTCCTTAATTCATCTTCCAGTGAAATGTGCCGTAATACGCAAAACTAAATCATAGCATTTTGAAAAATTGGACCGTCGGTCATGCACTATGCCACGCCCTTGACGGTATTAACAATTTTGTTATGTAGCAAGTTTCGATAATTTGCGCAATAAAAAAAAATGCTGCATATTTAAATTTTAGACAATTATGACCAAAAAAACCCTTTGAAACCAGCACCAAAATATATTATTGCGGGATAGATGATTTTAAAAGGCACATACATCGCAATTGAGAATTGTCAGTATGCATTTTTTTAAACAAAAAAAGATAAACATGTAAAGTGTGTAAGCACTATACTTCGAAAATGTTGAATATGCCATGTTACATGTAGTAATATTTTTTTTAACTGTCTTTGAATCAATAGAATAAAACAAACCCACAAAAATCAACGGAGTACGTAAATCAGGCTTTATATTGTGATTTTTTCTTCTTATAATTATGGATTTAACTTGTTTTTCTGCAAATCATTCTGACTTTGGCAAATTATTAATAATTACTTGGTCCATTTATGGAAACTGAAGTTTCCAGTACGGGGATGGAGTGCACGCCACTTTTCGTCCGGAAAAGCTTAAGTCGTTGAGGATTTCAAGCGAAACAAATTAAAAGAGTTGGGAGGAAGGAACAGTAACACATAAAGTTGGGCTGTTATAATTATTAAAAAAAAGAAGAAGAAGCTTCGGCTACTACTAGGGAACCACTCCCGCAACCGCGTGCACTTGATGTTAAACATGTTTTGATTACATGTACAATTTGAGTTGATCCCTGAAATGTGCACTGTGGACATTCGTTACACACGATAGCGTTTGCGCAGATACATGTAAATACTACCGAGTACTGTGTGGATTTACTACGTGAACAGGACAGACATAAATTTCCAAACGACGAAATCTGCCGATCCGCCCAACGGTCCTAGCGCCCTCATTTGATAGAGGTGGCGGTCCAACGATAGTGATACGATGCGCATAATTGGTCAATCAAAAACACAAGTTTAATGAAAGTATGAACAATATCTGAACTGTGAATCACAATAAAGTTCTGTTATGTGTCATATAGTCTAGGTTTAATAAAATTTAAAACTTAAATGAAGAATTATCGTTATATATTCAAATGATTGTTTTTAATCCATAAAATCGTGAACTATATTTCAACCAATGAGGGCGGTTGTTGCAAATTACGGCCTTAGTTAACGCTGTTGGCGCCATTGTGTTTCGAAAAGCTGAATTTTGTAGTTTTACGTCCAAAACATCTTGGAATCTCAGCCTGCAGGCAAACCCACTATAAGCTGAATACCTTGGAAGGTAGCACTTAGTACTGCGGGGATAAATCGGAGGTGAGTATTTCTGTGAAATTATGTGGAGAAGTTGAATTTAGTGTGTGTAGTTGTATTGCCCGGAGAATGTCACTGGTCACCGTTCGTTTGCAGATCAGAGCGAACGAACACAACCGATCGCCACCGTGTACAAGTGCATTCATTCGGTCCAGATCCATGCGACATGTCTGATTTGCTCGGCAAGTAGTGTCGTGTTCAGGAGTTCAGCTCAGGCGATCGCAAGCGGTGGTAGTATGCGTATCCGAGGCGGAATAACACTGGCATGGCTGGGAAAGAATGTCATTTTCTGATGCCTCTCTGGTCATGCTGGTGGTGGTTGTGCACAAAGTGAGAAGGCTAATGCCATCCGCAGTGGCTATTCTTACGGCAGCCGTAACGCATTTCCCATTTTCTATCGTTACGGTAGACTGCAACTTTTATAAAAACAGGAGAAGAAAATATAAAATTAGAAGGAAAAAAGTGAATTGGAACGTTATGAAATTCGGACTTTATTTCCCTTTTAAAAAAAATCCTCCAAAGTAGCAATGCCAAACACAATTTTCATATTGAAGTGAACTATATCACACTACCCCTCATTTTGAAGCTTATGATGTCCTCTATCTCATGAGATGTCGGTTTTTAAAAAAAAATGTAACGTATTCTAATTAGCACTAATTAATTATGCGTATACGCATATACCGTCTCCTGATATTTCACCGTGCTGCTAATGTATCAATATTGGTATCAATTTTAATATTCTCTCTGATTTTTATGTGTATAAATTGTACCATTACAGTGCCAGAAGGTATAACTACTGAATGCCCATTTATACATGGTAAATTTGCATATTATCTTAATTAGCCAACATCCACGTATGTTAATTACCTATAGTTGAGTTCGACAACTGTGTGGGGAAATATTGGGCAACATGTACATGTAGTTAATTTTAAAAAATCTTGTTTTGTTTTGATTTGCTGAAAACCAAAAAAGCTGCATGAATTACTAATGGTTTATATCACATTTCTGATTACATTTGTTCATAATTAAAATGTAATTAGCATATTTGCATATCCTTACCTTATTAAAGTCTGTAGGCCCCCTAATACACAAATCGTCCAATGTACATCTTAGTACCCTAAGGTAAATTGTAACTTTTAGAAATAAAAAGTTTGAAATTATTTACAACAAATATTATAAGGGTACTACTAGTACCAATATATTGTATGGTTTCATTATTTTCTGGTCAAATACATGTATAACCCACAAAATATATGATTACGAGATTGACATGTCAATGGTCATGATGGCCAAAAAAAATACAGGGAGGTTGGTCATTCCACCAAATTTCCATGAAAACTAGTAGGACACAAACTATTTTTTAAATAAATATAAATTATAATTTATTATTTATTTGTAATGTTAGCTCATCATTTATTCTATTCCATACATACCACAACAACAAAAAAACATTTAAAAGTATACTTTTGGTATTCTACAAGTTCACTAAAAAAATATTAAATTACCCGCCAATGCACTGCGCGTATGCGCCAATACCGGCCGCGCGCACGCGCATTACATGACAAAAAATCCCATTTTACCAAAAAGCGCAGCTTGTCGCAGCAAACAATCCCGTTATAATTTCAAAGATTACACTCCAATAATCATTTCTAGAGCTTTAATTTCACCGCGAACCCTCTCCATTTAAACAAAATCGACAGTTTATTCACTTTTTTTGACAAGATTTGTCGTAAATCTGTACGATTTTTAGCGATTTAAAATCGTTCTCGGTGACCAAGATCGTCTGTAGACACTGTCAATGTAGGTTTCCATGTTACGTGCATGATCGTAGCGTATATTACCCATAATACCCCCCAATCTCGCGAGAAAACGCCTTTTTGGTGACGACATCCGACGTCTGAAAAAAATTCAAAATGGCCGCCAACGAAAATTTTTACCCCGGAAATTACTCGGATGTAAATGTAACATACATCACTAAAATATAATTTTACATGAAAAATAACAACATAAAGGTAAAACCTATTCATTATTCTTTTGTTATCGACAGAAAAAAAATTATTATAATTATTTATTTGACGGATGTTGATCGATGTTTGAGCGATTATTTGTACACAGTAACAATAGGAAGCCAAGATGGCGGCACCCATTTGACATCGCTATCCAAAGCCTCAGGTTAGAAAAGGAAAAAAATTCGAGTGCAAAACTAGTGAGATGCGAACCCGCAACCTCACGGTGCAAAATCCTACCCTCTATCGACTGAGCTGTCGCACTGCTCGCTAAAACGTGGGGAAACAAATAATTATATAGGCCTACCTGCGTGCGTATCAAAAAAGTATCGTAGAGGGCGCTAAACAATGGCTGCCGTAACCACTTCGAATGCCATCAGGCCATAATGATAATGGAAATTAGTTGTGAACAATTTCTAGCAATATTTAACACTGTCAATCATTCAGTGTCAATCGTCGACCATCATGACCGTTTTCTCTGTCATGTCACTTTGTCAGTCCTCAATTCGTTTTTTTTTAAAGAATGAAGGCTTCTCAACTCTGATTCCACTTCATAAAAACTACAAACACCAATCACATGACAATTGTTCAAATAGCTAGGCAACCCTTTGGAAAAAATGTTGCAACCTGATGCCACTTCAGCGGTTGTGTGTACAGTCAAGACAATTTTCTATGTAGGGCCTAGCCTATTTCCTATTATTACAAAATTGAAAATGTTTCTCAGTCTCAGATTCATGTCTTATCGTCATTTTTGCAATGACTGACCTTCATTGAGATTATGAAAAAAAAAAGTGGTGTCAGGTTGCAACATTGTTTCCAACCCTATTTATATGAACTCTGACTCTGAGAAACATTGTTATAATTACATTGACATGATTGACATTTGTAAATTGACATCAGATTTTTGGATAAAATATTGTTTGGAGGTTGGAGTGGGATTTAGTTGACCATGTTACTTGTTAGGCCAATCAACATTGATTTTTAGGTTTTCATCTCTCAAGATTGAACAAAATTGGCCGGGAGGGGAATTTATATTTTATTGTTATAAATTCCACTTCTTCACATTCAAAGTGAATTGAGGGGACAACGTCAGATGAAAGAAGACACAACAAACATGAAAACTACATGTGTACTTCATATTAAGTACCAGTCAACTGTTTAATGACCTACATGTAGGTTTTGTGGCTAGAATTTAGAAAGGGTAAACTAATGAACCTCACAGTTTATAGCAGACTTCATGTTGGAATTACAGTTGACTGAGTGTTCAAACAAACAATGCAACAATTGGCCTACCCTTGCCAGCTAGATGTCAAACTTTAAAAACTTTACGACCACGATTATACTGTACAACACGCGCTCACTGTATGGTACCTAGAGCGTTGTCGTATTAATTCCACATCGACTTGTCAGGGTTCCCGACTATACGATGACGTATTGCTTTAGCATAATAAATTTTGTATGGTGCCTAGAGCATTGTCGTATCAATGCCACATCGACTCGTCATGGTTCCCGACTTCAATAATGCATAAGGTAGCACTATGAATTCGCACAATGTGCTCAGTATGTCGTGCACAATGTTTGCGTGCAAATCAGTTCAACCGTACCTATGGATTTGGTGAGAAACTTGTCTGGAAAATACATCTTTTCGATGAAAACCTAAAAATCAATGTTGAGTGGCCACAGACTAATGTAGAGCAGGCCCCTGGCCCTGGTGACAGCACAAATTCAAATATGAAAAAGGCATTGGATACTTCCTAACGCTAATTTTCCTTGAGTGCACTCTAGTCTGAGAACCCATATCATAAGTTTCGGTGGAATCACTGCAAGACACTTAGGTTCTAGGCCTCTTCTTTTCCCTTCTATCCCAACTATAAATATGAAGAAGAAAAACAGTAGATGAAAAATGGCATAGGTGGATTCGAACCAGGGATCTTTCGATCCATAGGTAATCTCACTATCCACTAGACTACTGTGGCAGCTCGATGACAGCTGTTTCTTTAGATGCTTGAATGTACCGCCACCGTAACGTATTATTTGTTGACTAAGTAGTAACAATAACATTCAGGACGTCCTTTTTCTTTTCTCATGAATATACATAACTTTCCCATCAAAACAGCAAATCACAGGGCACTCACGGCAAAATAGCGTTAGTAAATGTCAACAATTTTAAACAGATCTATCACACAAGCAATAAGCAAAAGGGTGCATAACGCATGGTCAGGATGAAATTCCATCATAAGTTCCCAAGTGTACATTGTACACAGTTGTGACACCGGGGGGATCGGTGTCGAAATGGGAATTAGGAACGGCTGAAGCAAATTCTCTGTTATCTCTGTTGTTTTATTTCTGTAAAGTGAAGAGAAGAGTAAATCTAATGTTGTCTCTTCAAATACAGAAGATGGAGTGCTTAAATAAATATTTACATGACAAATTATAAAAAAATATCTAAAAGTAAAATATGTCTCCATGGACGATTTAGCCAAGTAATTGAAAGCAAATGCTAAACAATAATTACTAAAGTGAAATATGAAAGGGATGGCTAAAGCATGACAAGTAAAAATCATTTAAACCAAAGTGGCGATTCCCGCCAAAAGATCGGCAATAGCCGCCAACTTGCGGCTACGTCCGTTTTAGGACTAATTACAAAACGATACTTCAAACACACACAGTCTCTTGCAAAAAACTACAAGAATATTACTACAACTCCCGTTTAGGACTATATCATTAAGGATTAAGCTAGATTGTAAGTCTAAGAATAAGGAATAAGTCGTAACAATCTATACCACAAGTCCAAGAAAACGAAGTATTGCTAACCACTATAAAAATGCACTATAAATCGTAGAAAAGGCTTAATAAAATATAAATGAACACGTAAGATATGAGTAGATGAGTAAATGAAGTTTAAGCTAGAAGTAATGAATTATAAGAAAATAAAGAACTGTTTACCTGTAAAGTGAAGAGAAGAGTAAATCTAATGTTGTCTTCAAATACAGAAGATGGAGTGCGGTGGGCCGTTTGCCGGGCCGGGAAGAGTGTATTGTTACATAATTTAAATAATAATCAAAGAGGCGTAAGGATATAGTGCATAAGAAATAGTCAGGAAAATAAACAAGGGGGGGGGGGTATATTTTAAACCGTCACACAGTGATGGGCACTGTTCACCTTAAAGAGCTGAACCATGTTTTTTGGGGGTTTTTTAATTGAAAAACACTGTTTAAAGTCTTGTGCAGCTTGAAATTTCATCATTTTTTGGTTTCTTCCCAATTGCATGGATACTTTTTAAAATATATCGGAAGTGTGCAGTGAGTGTATGCTGGTTGTTATATTCTGGGACATTTTCTGTTACGAACAGGGATTTGTGCAAACTGCAAACTGTCCGACAACGCAACGTAACGTCTTCCGTCTGTAAAAGGTCTATGCCTGGAACCCAGCATTTGATTTTTGGCATTGTTTGTTATTTCAGGTGAATGACCCAGCATGTCAAAGGGCAGAGGGCATCACAGTGTTTTGCCCAAGATCATATATCCGCAGGGGCTGAAAGAAATCTCTACAGATCTGCCGAAAGATGAGCTCATCCGAAGACTCAAGGTAGGCAGCATTATCTTTGTTGGGAATTGCATGTAACTAAATTATCAGCAAGCTCAGCTGACAACTCTTAGGCCATCAGCCTGGGGGTTTGGTCTTCATCAAATCAGGGCATAAATGGTTATAGTGCGCATGCGCAAGGTATACCGCCCCTAGAGTGGTAACAAGCGTTTTGATGGACATTTTGAAAAAAGGGTGATAACACCCAAAAAGCTGTCACCGCTGCAATGCTATCACATAATTGTCCAACTCTGGAGATGTTTACCTTGCCAAAAATCGCTATGACAATTATTCCCCTCATTTGATACCGGTTGCCAAAATTTTGGACCGAGGCTGATGGCCTATCTAGTCAATGTTGAAAATATAATAATTTAGAGTTATGAATGTCAAGTAAGAGCTAATGCATACTAGAGTTGCAGTGTGTTAAACTTTTGTGGATACACTTTGCATACGCTTGCTGTGATGTCACAAATTCCCATTCACTTTCACACACGAGCCCAATGTTAACTAGCCTTCAGTTGTGACATATGGAGAAGTTTCTTATAGATGTTTTTTCAAAAAGGATTTGAAAACAATTTTATTCAGACAGGCTGTTTTTTTTTCTTAGTGTCATAATCTTTTGATTTCACTGTGGCTGGACCATAAAGCTATATTAAATTACTAGAGCGCTAACTCGCCATTCTGCGCGTGGAGACGCTTTGAAACCGTCCTGGGCGCAGACATTTTGAATTCATGTGTGTGTTTGTAGAACATAATGAAATTAGATGGATTGACTTTTGAAAGTGTACTCTACATGCAACGCGCAAGTAGAACACACGCAAACAACTTAAGCGCGCCATTGACGGTTCAAAGAAACGTGATGGCAAAAAGCATCTGCAGCGAATACGCGCACGCGTTGCGCTATTTGCGTAGAGCAAAATGACACGCTCATTTGCTGATCGTGCATTTCGGTTTGGGGCGTATTGGCTTTGATAACGCACCGGTATGGAATACAAAAGCAGATATGCAAATAGCCGTACAAAAGCTGTACAAAATGTCTAGGTTTCCATAGGTTTGTGCACAAACATTGGTGCACCCAGCAGGCATTACTTTGTACACAAAGTTAGCGCTGTAGTAATTTAATATAGCTCTATGGGCTGGACGCATGTCACGTGTTAACATTTTTCTATTTATTTTTTTTAAAGTTATTTGATTTAGTTATTTCATTTTTTTTGTTGGGAGAGGGGTGGAATGCCTAGATTTGTCATGGACCAAATAAAAGTTGAGATTCCCTTCAATCTCTTTCAGGTCTTGGCCCGCTCCTTCCAAGACATGGAACAGGAAGAGGAAGCCACACAATATGAGCCATTAGCTCTGTACCTGGTCAACGGTGGCTTCTTCAAGCATCCCAATAAAGATGTCAGGTTGCTGGTGGCATGCTGTATCGCTGATATCTTCCGTGTCTTTGCGCCGGAGGCCCCCTATCGCACTGGGGAACAATTACGGGTAGGGTATTTGTTCAATCCCATCGCTTACAACAAAAGCATTTAGAGAGCATTTTTATTTCACCATAGTATATCTCGTGGGCCACTTCTTTCAGGCACAGGACTCGGTCATAACAACAAAGCTGAGACCCTTAAATCTCTCCTTTCCTTCAAACGTTTTCTCTGAAACTGCGTTTCGGGAAACTGGCTTGTAGTAACAAGGGTGCTTGTAGACGTACTACAAGTTGTCACTGTTTTCACGAAGGGGCGAATTTCATGAAAATCGTCTGTTTTTCGAAATTTGGTTTTTGGTCAAACTGAATAAATATATCAATATCTACAACCTGGTGAGGCTATACTTTCAAAATCTTAATTAACCTGATTAATGAATGGGCGAATTTGCCAAAAGTGCCGTTTTGCGTTTTCACGAAGGGGCGAATTAATAAATTTTCAGTAAAAAAATACATTGTAATACAATAGCGCGTATATCACAAAGGGGCGAATTCCATGCGCGTGCAATAAAACGTTTTCACGAAGGGGCAAATTTCAAGGCGCATGCGCAGTGGGGCAGAATCTGCGCTTGCTGTACAAAAAATGCTTTGACTCCGACCGCAGAAGGGCGAAATCTGCGCATAGTCACTTTAGCGTTTTCACGAAGGGGCGAATTTGCTAATTGGTCTTTTTTCCCGTTTTCACGAACAGCCACTTCTCTTGATTAATTCTGCAAACCTAATCACCTATTTTTCTTAAAGTTTGCTACATTTAGGAAGATTAGAATCTCTTCTTTCCTCTGATACCTAAATCTCGCATATTTTATGCATCTTTAAGTTTCAAATTGTCAAATGAAAAAAGGACCAACTTTAAACGCGATTATCTCGAATGTTTGTTCAGACAGTGAAATACTAAATTCGCCTCTTCGTGAAAACGGTGACGAAGTACACATTTTGAACATACCGCAACTTGCATGCTGTAAACAACATAAATCCAAACCACCTTGCTTGCTCTGATGTGCTAATTGCATTTTTGCACTCTCGCTGCACAATGTTTGTTTTTGTACGCATTGCTGCCCCGTAACGAAGCGTACGGTACATATGCAATCGATGTTGTTCACAGTCTGAGCAGGTAGGAAAAGTGTAGCTTTGATGTTACCAGTCTAGTATTTCCATTTTCTTGTAGTTGTGTTATTTGCCAACAATTGGTTTCCTTCTGCAGGTGATCTTCCAGTTTCTGAACAAGCAGCTGTGGGGTCTGGAGAATGTTGATGGCCCGTCCTGGAAGCGTTACTTCTACCTGCTGGAGAACCTAGCCATGGTCAAATCCTTCAATATCTGCATGGAGCTGGAAGACTGCAATGAGATCTTCGTAGAACTCTTCAATGTCTTCTTCAGCATCACAGGGTGAGTCAGGAACTTTTTTCACTCAAAACTTCCTACACATTTGACTGTTAGTATTGCAATGCAATGACTCAATGCTGCTATACTGAGGAACTGAAATTGATAATTTACTAATCTGGGCAAAATTTCAGATGGCTTGTTTTACCTTCTGAAACATCAAAGCTGTTGGATTATTAACCCTAACTCCGTAGGCCTTTTTGCTAGGATGTAGCCTCAATCCTGCAAATTCCTCCATTCTTTCTTGAATATGGTCCGTGGAGGGGTGACCACTGCCTGAATCCTGGAAAATCCTGTGGCAGTGACTGTCAATATGTTGAGGCTTGGCCTGTGACATCCTGGAGCACTATTGGGAATTTCAAGCATAATCCAGGCCTATATTTATGCATGGCTGAGCAAAAACAGCACAAGACCTTGACAAAGTGCATCCTACGAAATCAGTAATGTAATTTTGCCATGTAACCTCAATCCTCCAAATTCCTCCACTTTGGCAAAGAGGATTTTGAAGGATTCAGGGCGGTTAGGGTTAAAAAAGCCATACTAGGTGTGCATTGATAGGACTTCAGTTCCTGAGTAGCAGGGAAAGAAATTGAGTTGAGTTGTAAACCCAAATCCATGGGTAGAAACAGTTCATCTTCCACAATCAACCACTGTGCAGTAAAACCCAGGGCCAGATTTCCGAGAAGAAGTAAGCTCCATTTAAAATTTTAATTCCTGGGCTCTATCTCAAAATATCCTCCAAATCATTCAGTTTGATTTTGGAGGAACCGGGAAGGATATGGGGTGAGTTTCATTCAGGCAGTGATTTCACACTGTATAGCAAACATTTGTAATGTTTGTAATTGCCCTAATCACCACTTCCCTGGTGTTATTAATGTAATGATTTCTGCTTCCCTTCAGTGAGCAGCACACTCCCAAGGTGCGTACCTTCATGCTAGACGTCATGTGCCCTCTGATCAGCGAGAACGATGCCGTACCCCCGGACCTCCTGGAGATAATCTTGTCCAATCTCCTGGAGACCAAGAAGGCTGAGAACCCACACGCCTTCCAGATGGCTAAGGAGCTGATCAAACGGACGGCTACAAGCATCGAACCATCCATCCAAGCAGTGAGTGAAAGATACTAACAGGACTAGATTTTTGGGGCAAGGATAAGTTTGGATTTGCCTACATTCAGATGAAATTTGGCACTATGGATAAGCAGATAGCATATTAGCTTAGTAAAAACAGGGTACCAAATACCAGCCAAAATATCATGCAAAGTCTGCTGCTTGTGACTGGTATCCGGCTGATTTCCGCTTAGCACATACATTTACTAAGTACCATTTTATGCAACCTGCTCCATGAAATGATGAACAGCGCCCTCTATTTTTACAGCACAACGCCCAAACAGTTAACAAAGCATTGTCACTCTGATAATGCTGTAGAAGTGTTAACTGCATCTTTTTACATCATTGTCAAGCTTACCCATTGATATGATGATGTGGTTCTTGCTTCCCAAGTTCTTCAACAACATCCTGATCCTTGGCAAGACGTCAGAGACGGAGCTGGCCAGCCACTGCTACTCCCTGATCTACCAACTCAACACAGTCTCCAGCACCCTGCTACTCTCTGTCCTACCCCAGCTGGAATTCAAACTCAAGGTGTGTCCACAGTACTCTCTCACTCTCAAAAGAAGTCCTTGCGAATCATTTGAGGTTTCTCATGTTTGATTTCTCAATATGAAATAATCACGAAGTAAGATAAAATCTTTATATTCAGTTCAGGAGACTCTATGTCAGAATCTATTAGAAATGATTCAATGGGAATCAAGATTGCCCTTTAAAAAAAAGAAGAAAAAAAGGAATCAACCCTCCGAGATTTGATTTCAAAAACGTTAACGAAGATGTTAGGTTTTGGAGAGGAATCATACCTTTAATATTCTTTGTAGTTGCTTTATAAAACAACTTAACGTCCATTAATATTTTAGAAAGCTCAAAAGTCTTAAAAAGTATCAGTTGATAAAAGTCATTGTTGAATTTCTCTCTGCTTCTAGAGTAATGATGAGAGGGAACGTCTGGCAGTTACCAAGCTCCTAGGCCAGATGTTCTCCAACAAGGATTCGGACCTTGCATCTCAGAATAAAGCCCTGTGGAATTGCTTCCTTGGAAGGTAATTTTCAAGCTTGCCGAAGTATTTTAAGACACAAATTTGGTAGTGTAAAGTGTATAAACTATTTGGGTTATTTAATATTAAATTGAATAGTTCAGGGGTGTGAAATCTCAGCTTTAAAGCTGATTTCAGGTTTTTTTGTGTTGGATTTCAGCTTTTTTTCAGCTTTTTCCCTCACTTGCTGTGTACAAAAGTATAGGAGATTTCCAAAGTTCAGCTTTTTTACACCTTTTCCAGCTGTTTTCAGCTATTTTTATCAGTGGTCACTCACACCCATGATAGTTATTATAAAAACGTCCACCCATTTGTCCTGCAGATTCAGTGACATCAGCACCAGCATACGCTCAGAGTGTGTCCAGTTTGTCCAGGAGTTTATCACGCATCACTCCTACCTCATCAATGATCTCATAGGTAACTAGCAGACTGCGGCTGAATGTAATGGCTGCGGCTGACGATAACACACGTGTCTATGGGGAGTGGCTGCAGCCGCTTCCATAGGCGCATGTGTAATGACAAGCCGTAGCCAAGTGATTCGTACGCAGCCACACACCGACTGCTTGTCATTCGTATTAAAGCTGTAGTCCATCATTTGCAGCTATCCAAAAAGTAACTGGCGTAATTATTGTTGAAAAACATACTTGGCTGAACGATAGTAAGAGGACTTAACTCCCTGTGAAATTATTCTTTCTGGCATGCTCTCATTTTGAAGAAATCAACGAAAGAAGGCCTTTCCAACAGTGCTTCTTAAGACGCACCGTTGGAAATTCCCGTTAGTGGCTCGTTTTTTTTATTCAGCGAAGCGCGCACAAGCGTTGACACGACGCACACGCACGCGCGCCATCTATAATTCGTCGGATCAGTGCGCGACATCGCGTAGCTGCATTCGGCTCAGTAAGAACGTGTCTCGGACGCTGAATTCAGGCCCAATTCAAAACATGATTCAGCAGCTTTTGATTTGAAATCGAGATCCTAGAATGCTGTTTTTCTCGAAATATACAGCTGAAGCTGAGCTGAAACTTCATCAGGTTAGTTGTTCAGCACCCTTCTTCAGATTTTGAGTAGGTGTGTTGCTTCAAACGAACAAAATGCACAAATTACAAATGATGGACTATACCTTTAACCTTCTCTTCAACATTTTCAAGGTTACTTGTCCACATAAGTAACACAGGGATGATTTAGCCTCGACCTCACTCAACGTTATGAATAATTCACGACTTTATGAATAAATCATGATGACTGAATGATTCATAATCCTATGAATAATTCATGCCTCTTGACTATTCAGAGAAGCTGCAGGCTCGAGTGCATGACACGGATGAAGGGGTGCGTCAGGAGGTGGTGGCAGCGATAGCCAGCGCCGCTAAGAGAGACATCACCAACATCAGTGATGAGATGCTGACCCTCATTAGAGACCGCACCCTGGACAAAAAGGTCAGGATCATAAGAATTTAAATTCTGTCCAAACGAAGAGATTATTTCCAAAATGTGATATATCCATTTGGAAAAAAAATTGAAAAATTTGCATGGTTATGAAACATCTGGAACATACACAGTATAAGAGCTGTTTCTAATCTGCATAATGGACTTTGGGAAGCTAGGAGAGGTCAGGATTCTAAAAGATAAACAAAATGGTGTTTTATTGCATTTTGGAAACAAAGTCTCAAAATAATGATTATTTTCACATATATTTTTGTATGCAATGGAATAGTCTCATCATCATGGCTTGCCAGGATATTTTTACCAATTTAAATCCAATAATGATAATAATATGATAATATCAGGTTCTTATATAGCGCTTTTAACTAAGATCAAAGCGCTTTACATTATTATTACCCCTAATCATTGGGCCAATTAAACATTCCATATACCATCTCAGCTCCCTGGGGCGTATACAGCTCGATGCAGCCTGTTAGGCGCAAGGAAGCTAATTCGATCACAATAACCATCACTGCCCTCATAGGTACCCATTTACTCCTGGGTGGAGAGAAGCAATGAGTGACAAAGTGCCTTGCCCAAGGGCACACGCACCATGACCCTACCAGGACTCGAACCCACAACCTGCAGCTTTACCCGCAGACCACGAATCAGTGCCCTTAACCACAAGGCCACAGCACTCCACAATAAACATGTTTTACAATGGTTGGTTTATTCTTATTTTTGTTTTAGTGGAAGATTCGTAAGGAGGCTATCCTAGGCCTGGCTCATATCTACAAGAAATGGCACAACAGCGACGATCTGTCAATGCAAGAACGCAAACGCTTGTCCTGGATCAAAGACAAAGTGCTCCACATGTACTATCAACCCATCATTGAAGACAGGTGATCATATGCAAAGATGGTTTCATTCGCTTACAGGATGATATCAGTTTTGTTCAAAAATGTATATTCAGTTTCCCTAAGCACTTGTTAAGGAACTTTCCTAAACACACAACTGCAATTGTCACTTAAGCCGTTTGCAATCCTGTTTTGATTTTGGACAAATGATAACACCCTGTTTTTTCTCATCATTTACTGCAGACCACAAGTGAAAAACTTGGACGCCACATTTTTTCATTCACTGCAGATTTAGACGCACTTTTCCCAATCTTTTAACAACCCTGAAAACCTAAAATACTCTCCTCATAGACACTGCGCAAGCAGTCAATGTAAATCAAATGAGGTTTTGCCCTTCACCGACGTATAAACACTGTATACTCAGTGTGTTACCTGATGCAAAATTCCATCTTATGAGTAAATATGTAAGTTGGTAACCGTTTCCCTGTTTATGCAGGTTGCTTGTGGAGAGAGTCTTCACCATGACACTGGTTCCCTACACCCTGGAGGTCAAGCAGCGTATGAAGGCACTTCTGCACCTGTTTGCCACAGTGGATCATCATGCTGTCAAGTAAGCTCATTTCGCTGTTCGCACTTTGTACTATATGTCGTCACCGGTTTCACGAAGGGACGGGCATGTGGATTTTGAAGAAAAAACGTTTTCGAGATAATAAGTTTCTCCGTTTTTAAAACTGCAAAAACTACTACTTTGCAACAACTTTATGCAATAAGAAAACCATGACGTACTTCTTTGATAGGTAAACTTTAATTTGAACCCACTAATTATAATTAATTAAGTGGTTAATAAGCCAAAATTAATTAATAAAGATGCCCGTCCCTTCGTGAAATCGAAAATCTCACTGTTCCACATTTACGCCCTTCTTGTTTAATGTGCTTTTCCATAGGGAAGGGCGCGCATGTTCGATTACGCGCGTGCAGCTGAGAATGTAACAAAGATGCCCGTCCCTTTGTGAAATCGAAAATCTCCTGTTGACCTACTTTTACGCCTCTCCGTGCAATACGTTTTGTACGTGTTCAAGGGGCAGGCATGTTCGCATCTCTTCGTGAAATCGTAAAATGCAATTATCGAGATGCCTGCCCCTGGCGTCATTAATGTTATTCAGGAATTAATGATGTTTTGCTTACGGAAACATGTCAAAATGCGTGAGTACCATGTTTTAAAGCAAAATAGTGGAAAAAAACTCGAAATCGAAAAAATTGTCAATTTTGACATGCCCGTACCTTCGTGAAACTGGTGACGATGTGTCAGACAGTGAATGCACGCTGTCAAGTATGCTCATTTCTTAATCATGGAGTAGAGTTGGATTTTTAGTTAGCCTTTCGACGACAATAAATGAAAATGGATTGAATCATTTCAAATTTTGTTTTGTACAGAGCTCTGATTGAGATGATGAAGAACCAACACGTCGTAAGGACCTACGTCCGAGAGCTGATGGAGACTTACAAGAAGGACAAGGAAGAGAGAGCTAAACTCATCCATCCAAAGCTGGTTGCCATCTCAAGTAAGCAGCAAGAAAATACTAAAATTCTTTTTGAAATAATAAAGCCCTACTCAGATACTGTTGCTATTTCGGTATGACGTAATTTGGCGTAAATCCAACGTTTTGTTTTGCATTGAACCAATGAAATATCCTAAGAAATGGTTACTCAGTTTTGCGAAATACCAAACAGCAAATGTCTTGGAATTTTTGCGTCGGGGTGATGTAAATCAAATTAGGTTTTGCCCTTCACCAACATATTAAACACTGTATACTCAGTGTGTTACCTCCGGAGCTAACGGGATGGGTTGGCTGGTTCGAATCTGATGTACATAGCAGTTGGTACCGCATTAACTATTCATAAGATGGAATTTTTGCGTCGGGGTAATGTAAATCAAATTAGGTTTTGCCTTTCACCGACGTATTAAACACTGTATACTCAGTGTGTCACCTCCCGAGTGAAAGTTGAAAAAAAACACTCGGGTGGGACTCGAACCCACGACCTCCTGCTTTCTAGTGCAGATCCCGTTAGCTCAGTGGTCGAGTGGTAAGACATCTGTCTTCTCTTTATTTTGACAATTCTTAGAGCAACTGCCAGAGCCCAACAAAGCCATCGATCATCTCAAGAAACTGACCTCCCTCCTTGAGGAGGACCTGAAGGCTAGAGCAGCCATGGAGAAGGTCGTTGACCCCAAGGTGACCTGCAAACGGGCCAAGCAGTCGGTCGTAAGTATCATGCCCCTCAGTTTCGTTATCCAGTGACTTTTCTGAGTCTGACAAGAATACAGAAATATAACTTGCTACAGGTGGAATTAGGTCTAGGAAATGAGTTTAGTCTGAGTACACAAGGCACGTTTTATAATGATTGGTAATCTAAATATTTGGACCAAGTGATATTTGAAGAACAAGGGCATTTTCTCAGGGAGATTTTCATAGGGACATTTTCATATACATGTCAAGAATGAAGCTTTTAAAATTTCATCGTTTTGCAGCATCATATATCAGGCATGCAACTTTTCCTCGGATCCGCTGATTTCCTCGTTTTTATTTCTCAGGAATGCCATTACAAATTGAAAAACACTGTACAAAGTCTTGTGTGGAATTTCCTCGTTTTTTCTAAATTCCCAGTTGCATGCCTGATATATGAAACCTTTCTCTTTCATTTTTTATTGTTATTTGTTGCAGCAAATTTTACTTCTTCATTTACATAAAACTATGGCTGCATTGAGAAATGTATTTACCTGGACAATTACGAAAGTTGCTTCAAAAGCAGTTGTCTGCCCTTACATTACAAGATACATGCTAAATAATCGCAAGAAGATTCACAATTTTTAATGGAACTTTATTTTATTAAAAAAAACCCTCAAGACTTCAAATGTCAACATTTTACAAATGCAACGATTGTCTTTCTTTTTGACAGAGTGAAGTATTGAAGAAGTTTGGCAACCCCAGCCAGTCCACGCCGACCTTTGACGCCCTCAAGACATTGATGGAGAGAATCGCTCCGTTGGTCATCGACGCAAACGCCATCAAGGAACTCATCGGCATCGTCTCGGATCACGTCGAGGGCATCGCCGATCCCTTCGAGGAGCGAGCTGAAGAAAGCACAGAAGTCCGAGGCCTGAAACTCCTTCAGGTTAGCGACAAGAAATTCCCTTTTTTTAATATCTCGTTTTTGTTAAGTGTACCAAATTGCCTCACCTCTTCAGGGTTTATCTCAAGCAGTGCAGGCATTCATATAAAAAATTATAGTCTGAAGGAAAATGTAATAAGATAAAGGAAACAAAGAGGAGTATAAGAGGAGTAAAAGGCCAAAAAAAAAACGTCTCCGGTTTCTGGTATGGAGCTTGCCTCAAAAGTGGTGCGGCGACGTGGCTTTTTTTTTTTTTTTTTACCTGGTTTTTTTTTTTTTTTTGGCTTCAAATGTCGGCTGATGACTGCAAATGGTGCCCGACTAAACTTAGTGCAAATATATGGGAGTCCAGAGAGGCCACATAAAGCTTATTCTCGATCATAACCCCATCTAAAAACACGTTAAAATTGTGCAGCAGCAGGATTCCAGTCAAACCAGTGAGTTTGGCGGTTTTGAGACATCATCTTGTAATGAAAAAAAACCTTTTTCATTTTGCCGACGTGCATGGCTACGGCAACGCGCGCGCATACCAGAAACCGGAGACTTTTTTTTTTCGGCCTAAGGTAATTTTGTAGAAAGCCTATACCTTCAAACTGCACTTTGCGATCATGATCTCAATCTCAGCACACTGGCTTTCCTACTCAAGATATAAAGTGGCCAGTTGCATTCATCACACTCGGGTACTTTGCTGATAGTGGTATCGACAATGTATTTTTTTGGAGTCCCTAAACAGTTGCACAAATTATGAATAATGTAGTAGATGTCAGAAACTATCATTGCACTGTTCTGAAGTTTGGAGCATTCCGATTTTTCTTTTAGACTCTAGCCCCTGTATTCCCAAGTGCCTTCCGGAGCGATGACAGCTTTAATCAGCTCATCTCCATGCTGAAGAACGAAGACGATACCGTCTCAGACGTAGCGCTCCAAATCTTCATCAATACCGGGGAGCATCTGAAGGAAGAGTTCCCAAATGTTGCGTCGTAAGTCATTCTCATAAATTGCTCCATGACAGAGCCCAAGATTGTTTGATCTCAAGACTTTCCTCACTGTGTTTTGTTCATAGGAACAAATGCATCTCAAGATAGTTTTACTAGGAACTGAATCCTTCAACATCCTCCACTGTGCATGAATTAATAGTATTTTTTCAAAATCCTCCATAACTCTACAAAATATTTGGATTGATTTTAACGGTTCTGGGAGGTATACGCTCTGTTCACAAGTACCCCCTCACCGACAAAGAAAGTACAGTTGGGGGTGACCGACCGTCGCCATCTTGACTGACTGCAATTTTGCTGCGACGCACGGCCGTACCACTTTGTGTACATAGTACAAATCCCCTGGTGTATGTGCGTCACACACAATGAACGGTGCACGTCAACCAGCTAAATGTCCCGCCCATGGGACGTCGTTGCTAGGTAAAAGGGCACCCTCTTTGTTAGCGCACGGAGCCCATATGGTCGCATTTTATTTCCGATCCGCTTTTGTTTTTCTCCTTAGGTGCCTCTTACCCATTCTGATCAGCAAGGCAAAGACTGGTATCCCGTCCCAAGCAAAGCACGCCATCCGATGCATCAACGTGGTGCTAGGCAAGAATAAACTCCCTGTGTTCCAACAACTGTATGAAGTAAGTACAGTGAACTCTTGTCAAGTCAAATCTCAAGGGAATGGATAAAATATTTGAGATGTCCAGAGTTTGAGCTAAGCAAATTTCCCGATTTTTTTCTGCAGTCATGTCCATGAATGGCTTTTTGTGATTCGCTGTACCCGGCTACGAAATGTTCACGCTATTTTGGGTATTCATGTACGTACATGTAATATGCTATTCTCTTGACAGATTCCGAGTAATACTTCGAGATAAACAGATTCAAGTTTCAATTTGAATTATCAGGATTTTACTGTATTATAACAATAAAGATCTTGAAGCAGGCTTTCTTTCTTCATCTGACTAAAATCTTTTGTTTTCTAAAAGATGTAAATCTGTAATGAAAAAGTTGGTGTTTAAAGCTATAGTCCATCATTTGTAATTAGTGCATTTTGTTCGTTTGAAGCAACAAAAGTGTTCAAAATCTAATGAAGGATACTGAGCAACTAACCTGATGAAGTTTCAGCTAAGCTTCAGCTGTACATTCCGAGATAAGCAGCATTCTAAGATCTCAATTTCAAATCAATAGTTACTGAATCATGTTTTGAATTGTTTTGTAATTGCAGCTATACGCGGCGTCGCGCACTGATCCGACGAATTATAACAACCGCGCGCGCGTGTGCGTCGTTCCAATACTTGTGCGCGCTGCGCTGAATAACAAAACGAACTACTAATTTAAATTTTCCTACGGTGCTTCTTAAGAATCACCGTTGGAAATGCCTTCTTTCGTTGATTACTTCAAAATGACAGCTTCCCAGAAAGAATAATTTCACAGGGAGTTTAGTTCCCTTACTATCTTTCAACCAAGTTTGTTTTTAACAGTAATTACGCCAGTTACTTTTCGGATGGCTGCAAATGATGGACTATAGCTTTAATTGCATTCCTTCTTCCATTGTTTTTTAGAGTCTCCAGAAGTGCTTAAACTTGGACCATGAGCACCATCTGACGGCATTGGCAGCAGTGGGAGAGATGGCTAGACTGGCTCCGGAGATCTGCAGTAGTATGAAACCTGCCATAGCTAACAGTATCGTCAAGGGGCTACTGATGCTAGACCAGACGGAAGGAAGTCATCTTAGAGGCATCTGGTGCCATGACAACCAGGTTGCCGAGGAAACCCTGGCCAAGGTGGGCATGCTTAGAACTGCGTTACGTTTGGCAAAGCCATTATTGCGGTGAAAAATTGCATAATGCCTTGTACGTATTTAAGGTTATAAAATAATAATTCCAATTTCATTTTGCCTCAGGTGTGTTAGGAAAGGATTAGCATACAGATTTAACAGGCGTGCAACTTTTCCTCGGATCTGTTGATTTCCTCGTTTTTTACTTTTCTTGAATGCTATTTCCAAGTTGAAAAACACTGTACAAAGTCTTGTGCAGTTTGAAATTTCCTCGGTTTTTTTTTCTTCGAAATTCCCAGTGGCATGCCTGATATAAGAGTAATAAGAAATATTTACCATTTTCATAAGCCTTTGATGACTTTCTGCTGGATTGAGCCATATTTCATTGTCTGACTTTTTTAACACGAATCTGTTTTTTGTGTGTGTGTGGATCTTGTCCAGATTGCAGCAATGAAGCTGCTTGTCCATTGGTTGGAGGGACTGCGTAGTACCCAGGATACCTCACCATGCATGTCTACCATCAGACTACTCATGACTATGATCAAGAACGAGGGGGACCTCATGGAGAGAAAAGTCATCAGGTAAGGAGCTACACGACTAATAACTCAATGGTGACGATGTAGCCACATGATCGGACCAATAATATTACAAAAACAAATATGCATTTTCAAGACTGCGCAGAGATCGTAAACAATTTGTGACCGGCTCCACAAAAAAGGGTATTATGTCGCACTGAGCATTATTGTGGAATTGCCCGCTCAACATTGAAACGGTGAAAACTTTGTCAAAATGTGATTTTCATTTTGTGTCATGAATGAAATCTTTAATACCTACAGTTTCAGGTTTTATTCACAGAAATGTTGATTTTTGTGAACAAAGTGGAAAAAACAACCATTTTGTGTGCATCGTTCTGTTGTGCTACACTGTACATCAAAGCCAGCTATTTCAAAGCCTGTTTTCTCAGTTGTGTAATTTGAACTCCAAGGAAGTAATTAATATGCAAACACGTCATATCTCCAGAACGGGAGGGGCTATGGAGCTCAATTATATACCAAATGAAAGCTTACATTAAGGGCTTTCCAACCATGTATATATAACTCGATTTCACTTTTTTGCGACATAACCCTTTTTTATGGTTTTATTTTTTTTCCCACCTGATCACATTAGAATTTGTCAAATTATTTAATTTACCATGCATCCGATCCAATATTTTTTATAAAAGATGTATGAATTTGGTATTAATGCAGTGTTTTTGTCATTGAAAACAGCATTTTGTTTCAACTTTCAGAAGCTCTTGCTTACCGTACTGGTATGTTCTCTAAGTGTATTTCTTGCAATTTCTTTGAACCATTAATATGTCCGTATTTCTCTTTCTGTAGTCCTGCAGACATGTCTCGTTTGAGGCTAGCAGCAGCCTGCTCCATGCTGAAGATTGCCCAGGTCCCTGGCTATCATGAGCTGGTCTCCACTGAGAATTTCCAAATCCTAGCTCTCATGATCAATGTAAGTAACCCAAAACTTACAACTCACTAAAGGATGTCTCGGACAGTTTTTTCTGCACATGAGTACATGACATTCAGAACATTACCGTCCATTTATTTGTTGTTAAAGTACTGTTTATTTATTGGAAGGTTTTCTTTACCCAAACCACATTTCCCAAATCCATCCGCTGAACTATTTTCTATTGTTTGGCACAAGTTCACGCACCGGGGCCTAATTTCATGATTCTGCTTACTGTAAACGAAAAAATCCTGCTTACTCTAGCAGAAAATACTGTGCTTACGGTAAGCGTATTTCATGGGTTAGCAAGGAAGTTTGGCTTATGCGCATGCGCACATGCAGTAACTAAGGATTCTGTGCATACTCGGTTAGCACAGAGTTTGTCTGCTAGTCCTGATAGCTCAGAATGGTGAGAGTAAACTTGGAGTTCTTTGCCATGACATTTTGCCCTGATACAAAATAACATCTTATCTCGTTGCTTCAATTTCAAGAATAAAATTTGCATAAGGGCAATTCCACGGTTACTCACTTTTAATTTTTGATGTACTTTTGAGTTTCCTTGGGCTGTAATTACCTTAATGAAAAGGTTTAATAACTGTTATCCCCATGGTAAATAAAGTAGACCTAGACCTACCTAAGCACCAAAGTTGACATCCAGAAAAATGTGTTATGTATGATAAACAAGACGCACAAAATCGGTTACTCACGTTACGAAAATGTAACATGAGTAACCTTGGAATTGCCCATAACAAGAAAGTGAAGAAGGCATCTCCACCAAATTTTGTTTAAACCACTATCATATGTGACTTTTCATCAATCCTTCCAGGATGAATGTTACCAGGTGCGTGAACGTTTTGCCCGCAAGCTCAACAAGGGTCTAAGCTGCCTGCGTCTACCTCTCAGCTACATGTCCATCTTCAGTCTCTGCGTCAAGGATCCAGTCAAGGAGAGCAGGGCTGACGCCAAGCAGTACCTGAGCAAGAATATCCAGAATAGGAGGGAGTATCTCAAACAACACACCGTGGAAAATGGTAGGACTCTCCTTGATTTATGCAAAAGTCCCCCTAATTGTACTCTCAACCATTACAAAACCTCAAGAGGCATTCTCTAAGGTCCTGTCTGGATGGTTTGCTGGGGCAATTGCGTACTTTTGGATGTGCATGCCAGACACTTTAATGAGCTGCTGTTGGAAAATGAATGTGATACATCACTAATAATATGACATCTAATGACTAGAAAACAATTACAGACCAAATTAAGGTTCCACCATCTTAACGACCTTGTACATGCACATCATGTGATCGGACGTACGGTGGGTTTTACAGAATTGCCTCTTGGTTAACATATTTCATGGGTTGGTAAGGGTGTTTAATTTGTGTGCAATCATGTATCCTATAAAAGAGATTTCTGTGTTAACATAGTTTCTCAGTGGGCACCATGAGTAGAGAATAGCAATCGGGGGCATAGGATTCCCTGATCATCAGAACCAATAAATGGGACCCTATAGTTTCAATGCTTAAACTCAGGAAGCCCTCCGTAGTTCTGTTGGGCCACAGTCGTTGTATTCATCTTTGGCAGTAGCTAAAGAATTGTTGGTCAGATTAGCCAGATTTATAGTTTGGAACTTTCCATTTCAGTTGCGGCTGAATTCTTTTCTATTGATGTCCGTTTGCCAAAGTGAAATTTCTGTCAAATTTGATTAGTTTTTATTTGTTATATCTGTTCCTGCAGCTCATCTACTAACCCTTCTTCCAGAGTATGTCATCCCGTACACAATCCATCTCTTAGCTCATGATCCCGACTTCAGTAATCTCAAGGACTTGGAGGGATTGCGAGACACTAAAGAGTGAGTAATAAATGAGCTGGATCCGTAAAATCCAAACGAAGAAGCTTTGGTAAATTTCGTTGAAACTACAGACTTGAGGTGTTCTTACTGTGATTCGCTAAGCTTGTTAGTACAATTTGTGTGTAAATTTCGTGAGTTTGATTTGTTTCCTGCTGTTTGGGACAGGTGCCTGTGGTTTATCCTGGAGCCGTTGGTCAGCAAGAGTGATCATTGTAACTTCCTGAGGAAACTGGTTGAAACCATCAAACAGATGAAAGACGCCCAGAACCCCGACGATAGGGGAGTCAACAAGGTGAGACATCAACAAGAACTTTGCTTAACTATAGTCCTTCAAGTTACTTCAAAATCCACCAATTTTTGCAGAATTGAGGAAGGTAGAGCCCAGCCACCATTACCTTTCATGGGGCATGTTCGCCTGTGAAAGTTGAATTACATAGTGTCTGCCATTTGTCTTATGGGTTGATTTTATTGGTTGAAGGATTTGAAGAATTTTCTTAATTAAATTGCTGAAGGCAGGTTGTGGGTACTGTCTTGGGATGGGAGCGAGAAAATGCGCAATAGGTAACCATTGACTAAAGATGAGATCCTGCGTTGAAGATATAGTCCATCATTTGTAATTTGTGCATTTTGTTTGTTTGGAGCAACAAAAGTGCTCAAAATCTAAAGAAGGGTACTGAACAACTAACCTGATGAAGTTTCAGCTCAGCTTCAGCTGTATATTCCGAGAAAAACAGCATTCTAGGATCTCAATTTCAAATCAAAAGTTGCTGAATCATATTTTAAATTGGGTCTGAATTCAGTGTCCGAGACACGTTCTCACTGAGCCGATTGCAGCTACGCGATGTCGTGCACTGATCCGACAAATTATAGCAACCGCGCGTTTGGTGCGTCGTGCCAATGCTTGCACGCGCTTCGCCGAATAACAAAACGAACTACTAATTTAAATTTCCTACGGTGCGTCTTAACAGGCACCGGTGGAAAGGCCTTCTTTCGTTGATTACTTCAAAATGACAGCTTGCCAGAAAGAATAATTTCACAGGGAGTTTAGTCCCCTTACTATCTTTCAACCAAGTATGTTTTTCAACAATAATTACGCCAGTTACTTTTCGGATAGCTGCAAATGATGGACTCTGGCTTTAATCGCCATTAACATTTAAGGCTTCAGTCTTAAAAGAATTCCTTTACCTTTTACATCAATATTATATTCTGATTCAATTCTCCCATCATCCTGGTCCAGAAACTCTACGCCGTCTGCGACATCGCCCTGGGTCTTCTGTTGAGCAAGACGACAGCCTTCGCCCAGAAGGAGCACCCAGTCAAACCTCTCCTCCCCAAGCAGCTCTTTACCAAACCCAGGAAACCTCTCACGAACACGGAGAGTGTACTGCCTAAGAAGATGCAAGAAGAGTTCACCGCGGATAAGAAGGTTGGTTTGAATTACAATGCATTCTGTGTGTAACTACGCCCTCCGTGGCAATAATGCGAAGCATAAATGTTATTGAAGGACACTTGTTCACCATTGCTGCCAATGGACACACGCGTGTTGTTCTCATGTAGCGACTTTGCACAATTGTTCACATTCAGTTGAACATTATCCACACATACTCTGTGACGTATGTGTGTATGGTTTGAACTGTGCCTGAATGCGATGTTTCCTTAATTGAGTCATGAATAGGGCCAAAAAAAAGCTACGTCACCGTAGCCATGAATGCCGGCAAAATGAAAAAGTTTTTTTTCAATGTAAGATGATGTCTCAAAACCGCCAAACTCTCTGGTTTGACCGGAATCCTGCTGCTGCACAATTTTAACGTATTTTTAGATGGGGTTACGATCGAGTATAAGCTTTAGTGTGGCCTCTCTGGGCTCCCATACATTTTGCACTAAATTTAGTCGGGAACTATTTGCAGTCAACAGCCGACATTTGAAGAAAAAAATGGTAAAAAAAAGAAAAGAAGCCGCGTCGCCGCACCACTTTTGGGGCAAGCTCCATACCAGAAACCGGTATCTCAATTATTTTCATCTACTTAAATGAAATGACTGTTATCAGATAAATATCTTTCCTTTCAGTACCCTATTTCCTTGTTGTAATGTTAGTCTCATGTGCTGTTTTCATTTTGCTCAACAGAAGAAAAATCCAACTGACAAACTCCTAGAGACCCCGCCCCCGAAAGGTGCCAAAGCTGGCAAGAAAGCCCAGAAGACAGACCCGACGACACCCACGAGTCCTGCCTCACCAGCCCCGCCCACACCCAAGGCACCCAGGGGTGATGAGAACAAACCAAATATGGTCAGCAGTCGGCGGTCATCAAGAACGGACTCCAGAAGCAACAGTGAAGCAAAGCAAAATGACAATAAAAGGTGCAAAATAATTGATTGCAATATTCTGAATATTCAATTTTTACATATTTTTCACGTTGACATCCCCAAATCTAAAAAGTTCAGCATGTCCTGCATATCTGATTTGCTTTTCAGCCTTAACTAAACCGTTTGCAGCGACTACAAAACATCAGTGCCAGACTAATCTCTCTCACTAGTAAACATTCTCACATCACTCCTTTATCAGCAGATCTCCACTGGCTTCCAGTATCATACAGAATCAAATACAAACTTAGCCTATTCGTTTACCAAATCCTCCACAACAATGCGCCGGAGTATCTCATCGACCTCATCCACCTGTTCTCAACAGCAAGCACCGGACTCCGCTCCAGTGAGCTCATGATGCTTCATGAGCCCAGGACCTCCACTCTTTGGGGTGACAGATCCTTTGCTGCAGCGTCAACCCGAGTGTGGAACCAACTCCCTCTGGCTATCAAATCATCTCCATCCATCACAACATTTAAGACAAATATAAAATCTCACCTGTACAAACAAGCATAGGCCGTGTCCGAAACGGGCTTCCAGAGCTACGGCTACGTCTATTGTCAGCGCGTCCCCGCGTATTTTCAATGGGCGTGGACCGAGACCTAGCTCTAGACAGTTGATTCGGATGCAGCCTTACTCTCACAACACAATCCTAACTTGACTTTCTCCTCAAGCGCCATGAGTGCATTTTTAGGCAGATACCAGCGCTTTACAAATGTTCTTTATTATTATTATTATTATTATTAACTTGTTTGCATTTTTTTATTTTTAGGAAAGGGTCGACAAGGTCGCGAGGCAGTGCCCTGGCAGAGAACAACGCCAACAGCTCCATGTCCACATCCTCCCCTGCCGCCTCCCCAAAGAAACCCCAGCGAAAAAGACCAATCCAGAAACCCATCAAGGAGTTCCTAACGAGAAGCAAAACCGGTACCTCATCCTCATCAGTATCCTCCCCAGACTCCAGCCCCACCAAGTCGCCCCGGAAGAGACCAGCCAGCCAATCGAGAACGGATTCTCCTGCTGCCAAGAAACCTAAAACCAAGAGCCCGGCTGTCAAGAGCGCACAGACTAAAGTCGCTCAAGCCAAAGCAGCAAAGGCTAAAACTCTAGCAGTGAAGAAACTCAGGGCAGCCGCAAGCCCCTCCAAAAGTTCCTCCGGTAGTCCCGCCAAAGCCAGCACATCGAAAACGACCAAGACAACAGGGACAAAGAAGACTCAGGCAACTGATAAAACTAAGAAATCACCTACAAAAGCACCCGCTACACCTGTCAAAAAGACTTATGCGACTAAGAAGAGTGCTCAATCACCCAGCCCAACTAAGAAACCGCTTTCAAGTCCGACAAAGAAAACCACTGCGTCGCCAACCAAGAACGCAGGCTCCAAAGTTGCTGCGGCCAAAAGTACAGCTCAGAATTCAGGTCGGAATACAGTAAAGAAACCAACGCCAAAGAAAATTACAGGTGCTAGACTCAGCAATGGTTCAATTTCATCTTCTCCTAAAAGGTGGGTGTTAACCATCTAGTAAAATTATTGCCAAACCCAAAGAAGTATTCTACAGTCCTCTGACTGACTGAGTCACTGACTGACCGAGCCATCTAATATAAGTAATGTCCGAAACTGAGTTGCCAAATGTATTATTGACAGATGAAAGTCTATGTACAAATCTTTGTACAAATTTTCTTGGTATTTGAAACTGCAGATTCTGTTACAACTTTACTTGACCAGAATGCTCACTGAGAGTTCGTAGAGTTTTGTTGAAAGAATTGAAGTAAGAAGGTGTATTTTTAAAGCTCGCGTATCCACCTATATCGGTGCTACATCATTATTACCATGCTCATTGGGCCAATGAAACATTCCAAATACCATCTCAGCTCCCTGGGGAGTATACAGCTCGATGCTGCCATTTTGGCGCAAAGCAGCTAAAATCAATCACAATAGCCATCTCTGCCCTCACAGGTACCCATTTTACTCCTTGGTGGGGGAAAACAATGAGTGAAAAAGTGCCTTGCCCAAGGGCACATGCTCCGCAACCCCAGGCTGGACTCAAACCCACAACCTGCAGAATTACCCGCAGACCACAAATTCAGTGCTCCAGACCATGAGGCCACAGCACTCCACAAGTAAAACAGTTAGATGTCTTGAAGAATGATATATTTTTTATCTAACTTTAACAGGAGTACCTTGAGACGAAATTCCTTGAACAACAAGCTCAGCCTGGCCAGTAGACCCCAGAGACCTTCTTCCTCGTCATCCCCTCAAGCCTCCCCGGTCAGATACTCCCCCCGCAAATCCGTCCTGGCAGGACCGCTCACCACCTTCCAGAAACGTCGCGCCCCATCCAAGCCATCCCCTAAGAAATCGCCATCATCATCATCGGCTAAAAGCACAGCGGCATCATCATCATCGGAGGAGGACAGGCGGAAGAAGGTGAAGAGAAAACTGGATGACGTGGATGGCTCTGGTGACAAGTCATCATCCAGCAACGCGACACCGCCGCCGAAGAAACTCAAACAGACCACTCTGAGCTTCAACTTGTAAGTTGAGAGCATCCATCAAAATCTTATCAAAGAGGGTAAATTAAAGTTGGCATTAAAATGTCCTTGCATTGCATTTGTTTGACTGGGTTTCATATCTCACTTGGGCTGACAGGTGCATTGGGCTTCACTCCCTGCATGAACCCATAGGTTTCCTTGGCTTATGATTGGTTTTCCTGCAATCTGGAAATCTTAACATTCTTAACATTCAACTCTCAACATTCAGTATGATTTCTCCTTAGGATTATTCAGTGGTCTGAGTTATGTTTTGCTTTAACATTTGCAGAATTTGAAAATGAATAACCAAACCTCTATTTTCCTAATTTCCCAAAACTGTAGAAATAAACACGCAAATTCACCGTAACTCTCATTATTTGAAACAGGAGGAAAGCGAGTCGCAAGGGTTCATCACCTGGTGTGAATGGTGTGGATACCAGTGATGAGGATACCAATGAATCATCTGGCAGCACGCGTCGTCCTAGCAGGCAAGACAGGGCGTTGGCACGTGCCATTGAAGCAGCAGGGAGCAAGGCAACAATGCCACAAGCCAAAACACCACTCAGTGTAAGTCCTATTGCAATTGCTTGCTGTATTCAAGTTGATTCGTAGTCAAGTAGATTCTTTACGAGTTTCAGTAAAACAAAATATCCTAGTATGTGGTGAGTACAAAAAACAATGGTTGTCGTCAATACAATTTTCAGCTCAGCTATTTAAAGGGAATATACAACATTTGCAAACATCGAAAAATAAAACTATCAAGTTTTTACGAAAACCCTTACTAGGATGTTGGTAAATTTCAGTCTAAAGCATCCTGTAAAATTGTGGCACCTGGTGTAAAGTCATTTTCAAGAAAATGGTATTTTTGTATACATTTCCAACAGTGGTCGGCCGACCACCGTTGGAAAAACCGAAGTATTTTTCAACTACTGCTCCAAATTTACCATTTTTTTTTAGTCCAAATTTTGTTTGCTATTGGTTACATGTTCATGAACGGGTGCAGGCCAGCTACACTGGTTCCCTCACCTTACAATTTTCCGACATCTATTAATTGATCGATTTTATCCTTAGTGGAGTCAGGGAACCAGACTACTTGAACATTTTTGTTTTTCTTGGTTTATCCAGCATTTTCGAACACAAAACTTCAAACATGTCAGTGTAACAATATTTGACCTATTATACTAACCCCTGAAATAGTTCATTTCTGAAAATTACAGCAAACGCCAATGATGTACATTCCCTTTAAAAAAAAAAATTGAGGGCCAAATCAAATTTGATATCAAATTCGTGGCACAAATTAACAAAGTGAAATGAACCTTTGAGCACACTCTAATGGTCATAATCACAAATGAAAGTCTGAATGAAATTCACTTGAATTCATAGTAATGCAATTCGTGTAATTTTTCTCCTTTTCTTACAGATCCGTCGCAGCAATCGTCGACGGAAGCGCTGAAGACCAAGGAACATGATGTAAGTTCTGCACAAAGTAAGATAACCAGTTTCCCCTTGACCAAACTGAAAAAAGGAAAAGTCACTTAATTAGTCCATGTAAATTTGTAACAGTTGTTAAAATGAATGTCAAGAAACCACATATCATAGTTAGGCAGCTGATTATTGTCATTAATGATAAAATTGATTCACTTGCCAAACTGTCCACAAACAATTTTATAGTGATAAAATCAAACTGTATGGAAGGCAGAAACAATAGAAAGTTAATTAAAATCAACTGTCATTACTGTTGTTAGCATGTAGTGCTACTTTCTCTAGGCAACAGAAAATATTTTTAAAAAAATTACCAATCCTCGAAATTAAACTGAAACAAAATTATCAATTAATACGAATATGTCCACCACAGCCAGTGCACGAATAATCCCCAAAACCTTTCCCGCAAAAGATGTAAGTAACTGTACATATGTTGATATTACTTTCCAAAGTATAAATATTTACGTAAAATATCAGGTCAGAATTCATCCAAATCATATCATCCTGTTTGAGTTTGCTTTGTGTTTTGTTTAACTTGTATGACGCATTCACTTTGCCAATGAATCAAATTTTTCGTCGGAATTTTGCTCGTAGATACGCAAGTGAAAAAAGAAGGTGTAGTAAAGTTAATTTATAGTGGTTGAAACATGGTTTAGATGTAAATTGGTGAAACGACCTTGAAAAGCGAATATGGAGTTTCAAACCTTTTAACAACTAAGACATACATTTGAATTATTATCTTTTTTGGGGGACTGTAGAACTGGTATTTAATTTAGCGTTCACTTTTGTTCAAGTTCCCATTAGAGCCAGTAATAATTATTGAACTAACAGTGGAGAAGTTTGAATTCCCGTAGTTTAACCACCCATGAATATTTAACAATTGAATTCATCTTTAAACTATTCTTTTATTGTAAATATTAAAGTGAATACTTATTATTGTCACAGACAAGATTGAACTCATTTTCAAATCCTTGTACATTCCTCTTTTGCATTTCGGTTTGTTTGGTAAAAGTCCATCCATCACTTTTCAAATACTGACTTTAGCAATAATCTTTTAGTTTTTCCTTTTTTTCCCTTAATGAGTCGTCAACAACAGTGTTATTTTAATGTGTAAACGTTCATGCGCGTCAATAAGAATTTTGTGTACAGTGCCAGAACATTTGGACTGTCTCAGAGGACCATTGTATGTGTGCTTATGACATCGATTTTCAATTCTGTTTAGTTTTCCCCAGCAAAACAAAGACATTTAGGGGTCTAAAGTTTAGAAAAAGAGTGTGTTGGTCAAATGATTAAAAAGCTGTCACCAATGATTTTTCTGATCAGAAAGGTTTCAGTTTAAAGTTTATTACGAGTGAAACATATATTTGAACTTTTTTGAATTTTTATTTGTTTGCATTAATCTGGTAAAAAAAATGGGTTTGATTCAAAAAAGGAAATGATTTTTGCTGTACATGTATGTGCATGGCAGTCAAATTGAAGCATTGTTTGAATTTCAACCATGAAGTACAGTTACTAACAAAATCCTTATTTTTCTCACAAACACAATAAATGGTCACCTTTTAGAGTGAAAATACTGCTAGCATAGTGGTGTTCAATTATTATTCTTTTTATACTTAATTTCTTTTCATTAATAGTGCTCTGATTTTGGTTTTTAAAGTAAACTTTGTAAATATTGTAACAGTAGTTTTTCAGAATGAATTTGTATTTTGGTTCACCCACAAAGCGTGTGTTCAAGCAGTTGTTTTTTGGAAACTTAAAATATAGAATTTGTCCAGGTTTTCTGCCATGTTTTTATCATGTCTCATTGACAGTTTTTTTTTATTGCCGCTGATGTTGTGTATAGTTATATATCATGGCGTTGTAAGAGTTATAACTTATTAAGTCATGATATTTCTCAACTTGCTAACCCATTGAATGAATTCTTTGCTTGATAAAATGATTGCCTTTTTTTTGCATATTGCCACGTAGTGGTTGGTTGTGTTACAGAGCAGTTTGGTTCAAGATTGCAAGATCAGTGTTATCCTGATGTGTTCTGCAAGAGTTTCTAATGCTTGCTTGAGGAGTATCTGATGCAAAGGAATAAATTAAATTTGTAGTTTTTGGAACCATGTTTTTTTCTGGCTTTGTCAACATTTAACTGCCAGGCTGAGATTTGTCAGGATTTTTCCAGATTTCACATACTTCAAAAATCCCTTCTGAAATATGGAATTTCTGAGATTTTACCATAAAGGTGTCATTATACTATTGCTAGAGACAGAGATGAAGCCCAGAAATCATAAACCTTTAAAGAGTCGGTCATTTATGTCGCCATTCGTTGCTTACTGAAAGTAAGAAATTAGCATTTGTAATAATGAAAACCTTCAAAATGTACATACACATCATGTGTTGAAGTTAGTGAATAAATTCTTGTTCTTGTTACATGTTGATAAAGCTTGATCACATGTTGAAAAAAAAAGACGTGCTTTGAACGGGTTCATTATGTATGTAATCTTTGATTGGCTCTGTTGAACAAAAAGAGTACCATTAAATTTGAGAAGTGTAAACGAGAAAAGTGGGGTATCAGTTGGCATATGAAGTTAAAAAAGATAAAAAAGTTACCAATTTGTCATGACTTTGCTGTTTTTTGTCCTTTGAAGTAATATTTTCAAAAATAATACTCTCTGCTTAAAATTATCCTAAACTAGGTTTGTAACCAGATGTCTACTTGGTTTTGATTGTTGGGTTGTTTGTTTGTTTTTTCGGGGAGGGGGCAAAATATCAATATATGTCATTCCTGGTTTAACAACATAATACGCTGAAGTTTTCATTTGAATCAGATTGAAATTAACAAACTTCTCCTGTGTACTATGCAAAATAGGAAAGGGGAGAAAAACCTGTTGGAGTAAATTGGACTAAAATTACCCACGAAATGGTTTGAACAAGATTACGTAAAAAAATCATTTGTAATAAACTGCATGACAGGCCAGTTTCAGTGATTATTTGATACCAACCCTATCAATTTATTGACAGCTATGTCTCTTCATTGTGTCAACAAAAAATAGTGATATTTACAATCCATAAAAAAAATCAAATTTACAATTCAGTCCTTAAAACTTTAATATTTGTGCAAAACTAGGAGCAGTACTTGTGCAGAAATTTAAGCCAGCCTGACTCTCATAATAGTATAATACTTTACATACTGTGTTCAAACTTACTTAGGTTGCCCTTTTCGTCCTGTGGCTATCATACCAGAAATTATCTTCGCTTAAAAACAACAAATTTTACCCAATTTATGTGTAAAAAAGGTGTTTTCTTTTAAACACCTTGTAGAAGGCTTGTGTTTAGATTTGTTTGTACAAAACTTGTTTGGATTTATCCACTGGTAAATTTTGTAATTTAAAATGGTAATATAAAAAAACACCATTTGACAATTCAATAAATAATTTATCTTGAACAAGATAGACCTACAGCTGAACCACTAAGTCTTAAATACTGCTGAAATTGGAATAAGAACCTGAGTATACGTTGCTCATGGACAAAGACGAGAAAGTTATATTGCATACTTCTCGTTCTTAACCACAAGAAATTAAACAACATATATTTTTTTCATCAGTGAGAGAATCAATCACATTTTTAAAAAAACAACATGAAAATGTGCAAGCAGCCTGCTACTAGTGGCAGTTAATCTATCTATCACCGTGCATAAAACATCTATACATCATATTTTGTCTAGAAATCCTGAAGTAATTCACATATTTTCGTGGTCAGTACACAATTTCCTGTACTTGTTCTTCTTAAACTGAAGAGAAGTAACTGCTCGCAGTTAAGGCACTGTCTGGAAAACTTGGAGCTGTGTATCCCCAGTTGAAATTTTGTCGAAATTGCAGAAATTTTAGTGATTTAACAAAACATACATCAGTAGAGTTTTGGATGATTGGCTGTATTTATGGACGTAGCTCAGAGCAGACAGTCTTGCTGCACAATTTCGGCTCATAGTGTTCAGCCTCTTCCTTACAGAACCCAATGTATACAACTGAGTATCTCCAAGCCTACAGGACAGGAAATAGATGCCTCACAAGGAATTGTTATTTAACTGTTTGACGATTGACAGCATAATGTCCAGCTTAACAAAATAGGCTTTATTGACAAAATAGAACTGCACAACAGAAAGTCGACTTTATACTTAAACCCTTTCGACCCAACTCACCCCCTTCTCAAAGATGCTAATGCCCCGCCCTTTCCTCAAGATCTCCGCCTCTTTTCAAAATAAAAGATGGCTTCATTACAAGAGGTATCAACCTTGGGACAACATTGCTTGTCAACAAGTTCCCCTCAAACCGATGCACGCATGCGGAAACTAGGTTGTGTTTTTGTAAAGTTAATATGGATCGATCCCGACTCCATGCAAAACTACGCCCTCAAAAGAGAGCATGGCAGACACTTGAATAGACTGGTTCCCGCTCCCATAAGTCCGAAAGACAACGGAGGGACGGGGAACCAGTCTAACACTTGGACGTCATTGATTAATTTACACAGCGCCATCTACTGTTCCTGCAAAGAGAGTCCACACATCGCGGTCCTAATTAAATTTTGCCGTGCCGTTTTCCCCCGAGACTGACGGTTGTGCCGCTGGTAACTCATCGTACTCGTGATCGTATGTCGTGTTGATTATCCCATCGTCTGGTTTCGGCTCCCCTTGAACAGTTATCACACGTCGATCAGTCTACAATGAAAAGGATTGCTGCATGTAATGCTCTTATGCATTAGAGGGCGCTACAGGATAACATCTTCCACATATAAACAAGTACCTTTAAAGGCGAACTGCACAAGATCATGGGATTGTCTGTATACATTTATTGGATGTATCCGAAAATTTCAAATTCTCATGACTACACATTGCTATGGAAATAACAACCACAGCAAAGCGTACATTTACACAAAACGTTGTTGATGTTCGTCTTACATCTCATTCTGCAATTCCTTTTTATTGATGAATCAAATTTTACCCAAATGCAAAATTACTGGGGGCAAGCATAAACATTCACATATTTTCCCGTGGTATACTCACAAGCTTCCTTCGTTTTTGGGCCCGGTAGCACCTCACCATAAAAATGATCACTGACCCTACAAAGATGCCGGCACCGACCGAGAAAACAGCCGCCTTGACACAGTCAGCGATGAGCAGGAGATTCTGGACGTCTCCTTTGAAGAAATCAGCTGTAGCCTCATCCAAAACCGAACTCTAGAGAAATTAGAATAGGAAAACACAAATATTCATTGAAACGTTTACTTGGTTTACCCCATCACCATTCTAGCCAGCTTCCAATTAGACCACACTATTTGTTTACTTGGACTGTTTATTCATTTCTTTCTCACATTTTCAGGCTTAAAATTCAACTTTACAAACAAAAATCTGGACTTGCCACTCCCCCTTTCTCGAATCCGCCGTTGAATGAATGGCTAATGCGTTATGCTTTTGGAAAGCTAAAAAGCAGACGATACAAGTACCTAAATGCCACTTTTTGACTGCGCGCCAAAAAAATGATGACGTCATTTCAGCCAGGCACGCGCACCCTTTGTATTCAACACAATGCGAAATATGCCGACATACTGTATGTCGGGCGCCATGTTCAAAAAGCACCGCAACAATGCACACCGCGGTGTCTGTTCGGGTGGACCGGTTGACAGAAACAACAGTATTTTTCTGGATTATGTACCGAGGATTTTTCAGGAATTTTTGCAACAGAATGTTTACTTAACTGTACAAGTGAGGAATATGTTGTTCCGGAACAGTCAGTGGAGGAATTCAGGCAACTGTTTCAGTGGAAAAATGTTCGCGAATCCACGTCTACATGTGTGTACTTCGTGTTGACAGAACCATGGAATATAAATGTGGAAATCATCAGCAAAACTGGACGGAAACGGCAGCACTTGCTACGATTTTGCACCGGTAAGTTTCTGTTTGACATTAATGTTTGGCATTCTCTAAAGACTTTCCCCATGAATGGCAAGTGTGCATCCTCGCTATACAGTATGTAATAACCTTTTCATGTTGACACAATCATTTTAGAGGGTACGTTTGTTGGCAGAAGTGGATTCAGATTATCTGGACACATTATTTTACTTTTACAAGATTTAGTAATGGGTTCCCGTCGGAATATTGAACGCGGGCATGCGCCTATTGCCTCAGCCTACCGTGAATGAAGGCTGTGCCTAGGCTCATTGATATGCGGCTGCGCCCGCCTTACAAAAGTCTTTATCGTAGTTGTAGTGGCAGTGGTGAAGTTTAGGACACCTCTTATGTCTGACAAATTCCTTTCATAAATCTAAACCCTGCCCTCTTTCCACAAAATTAAGCTAGCTGAGATTCAACATGGTATCTTAGCGAACTATTTAAGTGATTTTTCCCTGCCTTTATCACAGCCAAATGGTTAAGGTATTTAGTCTCAAATCATAAAAGTGTCTTTTCGTTCTCACGTATGGAACGTGGTCCTAAACTACAAGTTTACCGTTGTAATTTAACTTCGATGACATGGAGTAGTGTTAGTGCTCGGAACAGTTTTTTGTACATTGTTTGTCTTTCAAAATTAATCCACTTAGATATGTGGGCTTATCGGTAAGGATTCTCTGTTAAATGCAGTTCGTCTTGTAGTCGAAGCTATGTTCATACTAAATTTAATACCGTGATATTTTCAAGGGATAAGGGTTGGCATTTCAACTTCTCCTTCGCACTGCTTTCAGCAATAATACAAATTATTTTAGAATTTTATGCAGAAGTAATTTTGTAACGGGAATTTACATGCCGTTAATATACAAAATCATCCATTCCAGTTGGAGATATAGAATGGGAAATAACATTATGATTTCGTCTTTTTACATGCACGAGAAAACGTAAACAGCTATTTTGCTTTAATATAGATGTAGGCAGTTATTTTTTTCATAATTCCTCTTGCCTCAATTTAAGGGCCCTTCTAACACTGTGGAGCATTATTTATAGATGTTAAAGTAACCAAAATACCAAGCAAAAAAGATGTGCCTACGTCAGTTTTCGGAGTGGACTTTCAACCCAAGCATGCACTTCCCACTAAAAGTCAACCCTACCATAGCAATTTCTCAAAACCCTTACCCGGGCCTAGGTACATGTAGGCCTACTCTATCTAATCAAACGAAGAGTAACACGGTGCTTGATAAAAACTATCTCTGCGTGGACACGAAGCTCTATCACTAAGCGACCAAACCCCGTGCACGCTTAAGTGCAACCACCATCCCTGTGACGGACGCGACCAGTGATTAATGCATCTTCTCTCTGTTACCCGTAAAAAGCCAAAAAAATCATATTAATCCTATGATAGATCACGCGTGTAGAAAAATAATGGGAACAACCGAACAGGTATCTAAATGCACGTACCTCATTCAGCCAGAAGTACGGGAAATACAATGAAGGGATGTTTCTTGACTCGCTGTAGAAAAAAAATAAAATAAAAGCTCGAAAGTATAAATACTTTCGTAGTATTCTGTCTTTTTACAAATAGTGTTGACTGTCTTACATAAATGTGTCTTTTGTAATGGTTGATGTGAAAACGTCACCCATTTTTACACCTGTGATATTTGGTGCATGTGTCATCCCAGGCAACAGGGCCATGTGACATTAAGCAATTTGTTGGAGCAATTTGTAGAGAACAAATTGTAGCGAGCACGCATTTTAACTACGTGTAAATTTGACCAATGACCCTATCGGTTATATTTTGAAAATAAATAAAAGCATTTACTGGTGAGGCCATTTCAGAGCAATATAGAAGTACGCTGGCTTCAGCATCAACATTTGCATTGGATTCTCGTCTTGGTGACACGGGAATTTGGCACTTGGACAACGCTCGATTTTCAGATATCCAGGTCAATGCACATACACCTCTGGTATTTCTGGTTAAATTAATCAACTTGCCTAGCCATTTTCACAAACAAGAGCCATACACTATATCTGTTGTAACTGTACTAGTTTTACCTATTGTACGCTATTGTTGTTAGAAAATATTTAAACACATTGAATCGAAACATGAAAATTTTATCGAAAAATGTAAATTCTTAAGTTGCATGGATGTATTAAAACTCTTGAGATGGTTGAAAAGCTTTTATAGAAATGCTCCAGCATTATGCAAGACTTACCTGATTTGGCTAAGAGGACCTACTTTTATATTGACTTGTAAACGGTTTGAGACTTGCATAGCAACACCAGTAAGCTGAAAGAAAAGTTCACATTTCATGATATAAATACAAATACTACGGCTATATTGATCAGGTACTTATCAGTTTTTGTTGGTGATGACAGTTTGATAAACTGTGGTCAGCAGTCGACGTTTTTTTACGAGCTCTATAGTTCAAAAGCACAACAGCATATGCCAAACACAACGTTAAGTTGATAGGTTAGAAATACAAATTATCACAATTTATGAACAAATAACGGTATATCATTATGTACCGGTAGCAATTAACTGAACATTATTGCTTATTCTATCTGATGCAAGAAAAAAAAACTAATTATGCTTTATTTGCCGGCCATTTTGCCCTCTTGAGCGTTCAAAGCATCCTAGCAACAGTAAAGAATGTTGTATATTATTGGCGGAGTTGGATATCGAATGGCTAGTCTTGTTTGAATTTGTAGTGTGGTTTTACGATCTCAGGAACCCACCATTTCGATGTCAAAGTCCACCTTGTGTTGGTCTTGGATTGGATTAAATCCAATCACACTGTCCAATAGATCTGTGCTCCCGTACAAGAAATGTGGAGACGAATAGAATATCGGAGCGGCTGTGAAGAGAAGAAAGTTAGAATATAGATGTTTTACGCAAGGAAACGAGGATGAGTTTGGTTGAAAAAAAAATAGAAAATGTCGGTCCGACATAATGTTGATTTTTAAAAAATGCGTGATGTTTATGATAAGTTTTACCATAGAAACGAGGATGAGTATTGTGAAATAGGATAGAAAATGTCAATCTGACACAACTTGGATTTGGATTTTTGGAAATACTTGATGCTTATTTGCTTATGATAAGGAATGTTCTTTTTGACTCACTGGGTAAAACCGTTGTTACCTTTTCACAGTAGAACTTACTTTTGCACGTTGTTGCATTCAGTAGTCCGTTGGGAGTGCATCCGCTCTCGTCGGGTGTGCAAAATCCTATGTTATCTGGATATTCTTCTGCGCTTGCGTACTGGTAAGCCGGGGCAGAATACTTGGCCGTTGGTATGCCTCGCAACTCATTGGGGCCCGTATACTCTATGACACCAGCCCTGATTTTAGGGGTACAGGATATCATAGAAAAAAATGTGTTGATTGCTCTGCTTTGAAACAATTTGCTTCAAAATGCAATATTACGAAGTTAATTTAAACAGTAACCACAAATTTACGACTTGTTACCTGCATATGTCTGGCACGTAGATGTACAATACGTCATCCTCGGTAAGAAATGGATGGAATGCCTGCCCATCTGTTAAAGTGAAATACCATAAAGCATCATTTTTGAAAGTTCAATTTCAGATTTTAAGATAAATATAGGTTTTCCCGGCTATTTTAACACTTGTATCACACGAATTCCCTATATCGATACTTTAATTTCGTCCCCGAACATCGCCAAGCTCAATTCTCAATTTGAATTTCAAAAAGCCACCACGAGATTTCATTTAAGGTTCAGTATAATTCAAATTGTTAGCACTCCGATTCGTCCAAAATCTTTGAAATTCGTCTCGTGAAGCAATCGGCGTTGAATTGAAAAAGCAAATTCGAATATAATTATTTATCTAAATCCACAATTAAAATGACAGCCATCATAAAGTAAGCTAATCAAAAAAAGCCTGTGGTCACATTATTGTCTACCCCTTGTATTCATTAATCTGCGTGTTTCAACTTTTTGTCTCAAGCACCTGTTGGCGTTTTTATTTTTTTGTTTATATCTCTTGGTCTTGGGGATTAAAGTAGATATTTCACATTTACCTTTCATTGGATCTGTAATGAAATTATGTACCTGTTCCGTTCAGCATGTTGGCATATTCATTACTCCAGTAAGTGAGTGACGTCAGGTTATTCCAAGTCTTGATTTGGTTGACCAGAGATACATCAGTTTGTCCCGTGTACACAACCCATTCCGCCGCTAGTGTGTCGTTTGACTGCGTATGAAAGAAAATGTGTGAACCACAATACAAGACGTGATTTAGGTGGCACCAAGCTGGAGCGCATGTCGAACAAGTTCTTAAATTTTGAGGGTTGCTTTCCTGGTAAAAGTGCAAACTATAAATCGAGAAAGTGATCCTTACTTGATTTTTTCCCCAGGATGTGTCTGCTATGTTTCGGTTTATGAATTCCTTAATAGTTTTATTATGTTTAGCAACTTGTACTGCTGATAATGAGTAAGTCAAAAGAACTTCAGAGGTCGCTTTGTGCAAGGAACTAAACAGCGTGTTTCCATCCTTTCTTACTTGACTGAGTGGGATTTCTTTGAATTAATTCCTCAACGATCTTGACTCCAGTGTGGTAAAATGACTTTAGGAATTATTAGCTCAACGACTTGAAAATTACTCACCCCATAAAATATCCCGAATTCTGTTGGGAGTTCTACTGAAGTGAATATGCTATTGAGAAACGTCAAGTACGGTTGCTCGAAACCGTACATAAATCCGACCACCTTGACGGGAACGTGGAAATAATCGTATTAAGCTTTTGTTCAGTTAATGAAATCAACAACCATTTTTTTTCGTCAGAGGATAATTTATCGTCATAATCTTTACGATTGTTTCTGCTAACCTGTTTCAAAGATTCCGTCTGTCCGTCCATGATAATTTCACTGAGTTGAGATGTGCCCAGTTCCCATTGAATGCGTTTCAGCTTTTTTGTTACTCAGACATACGGTCATTATCAAGGAACGTGATGTGATCGCTTAAATGTCGAGTTTTTATTAGACCAACCTGACTTCAGTTTAATCAATCACAAATAATGTAAAAGAAAGCAGCATTTTTAAAGCAATAACGTGCACTGTCATTCTACAAAAGATATTGTAAAGCCTTACAAATTCTTTAGTTCTCTCAATTAGGCATGCGAACTCACCGAAACATCAATAATCAGATTCGAAAGAGATCCTCTGTGAACCAGCTTGTGCAAGAATTTACCAGTGTCACTGTATTGCATCACATGGCCGAACGTCTAGATCGCGAAAAAAATAATAATAAACAGTTTATCGTTATAAGATTAAAGCCATCATCCTTTCTTTTTCGAGAGAGGGCGTAATGTCTAATCTTCAAAACTGATGTTCGGAACTTTGTAAAATGTTTTTCTTCTTGTAAGGGAATTATAGGCTGTGGTTTGTTGTACTCGCCGTCATTCGGTTTACCTGATGGTTTTAAGGCAAGAGTAATTTATTTAGTCTGCGTGACCGTTTGGTTTGGTGGAAGTAGGCACTGCCATGATATTTTGTGTTCAATGATATGGGGTTGATAAACTAGGTTGTTAGGGGCTTGTTACAGCCTGTTTGACCACATGACTGATCACGTTGGGACTGAGGCAAATTTGCCCGACCCATTTTGTTCACCGCGGTGAAATTTGTCATTTGAAATGGTGTCGAGATCTCAACACAGCAGCAAATCCGCTTCAGTTTCTAGGATGTGCCCTTATTGTTGCCGCTTGTTTCAATCGTGAGTGTTTCTTGGTTTGTTTCCATTTTATACTAAAGGAATTTTCTATAAAATAACGGTCCCGAGATTGGCCACTACATGTTTATACCAAATTACGGTCCAATGATTGAGAGTTTGTTTGTCAGTCGGCGCGTCAAGCAGGTAATATCCCGTCCATCCTGACCCTTTTATTACCACGACAATCTCGGCCGTTGAATCGCAACTGATCTATCGATCGAATCTCGTTCTTTCTTGTCATTCTCTACAAGTCCTGACTTTAATTACAGCAACGAATATCCGGCCCACGCACTCCATCAAATCCGAGGCATCTTTGTTTTGCGAAGCCATGCGGCACCGGAGATGGTCGGAGCACCATGCCGAGGCCGGATGAAACCGAACCGCCATCAGTGTTTGCATTTATGTGGACCGTGACATGACCCGTTACTTTTCAAATAAGGAGCCTTGCGTTTTGATGAAAGTGCTTCTCTGAAAAGATCGAGTGCGGAATCGGTATCAAAAACATGATCAGGTTTACCGCAAGTGAAGAGAATGCGTCTAAAGAAAAATGATTCGTAGCCCTCTTTAAATAAATGAAATACCATTAAAGCGTTTTAAGCAGGTATAAGAGCATATTTCTGTAGCAGAGACACTTGCGTATAGGGCCGATATTGCTTTTGTTACAAATTTGTAAACTCAATATAGAATATAAATACGGAAACTAATATTTTGTTCGATTAAAAAAAAAACATAGAAAAATAACAACACTCACGACTGTCGGAAGATCAATAGTGGTAAACGTGTCATTGTCCCAGCCCACCGACTGATCGCGATCAAAGATGTAGGCCTTGTAGTTGTAAAATATCACGGTACACTTGCGTAGGGCAGATATTGCTTTTGTTACAATATTAATTTGTAAACTCAATATCGAATATAAATATGGAAAACTAATATTTTGTTCGATTAAAAAAAACCATAGAAAAATAACAACACTCACGACTGTCAGAAGATCAATAGTGGTAAACGTGTCATTGTCCCAGCCCACCGACTGATCGCGATCAAAGATGTAGGCCTTGTAGTTGTAAAATGTCACGGTCCCATCCTCGTCGTCAAAGGAAATGTTACTTTTTCTCCTGATTTCTCTGAGAAAGAAAAGAGAAGGATTCAAAAAAAGACACTTTGTATCTTTCTTCAAAATTAACTCCTGGTCAAGATTATTGAAATTTACCAAATATGACACGTGTATCCCAATTAATATTTTATCTGCTTTTGCTGAAACGTGTAGTATAAGAAATGGGAAAAAGTTCAAAACATGCAATGTTTCTTTGGAAAATAATAAGGCTGGTTCAATCAACCTGCAATAGAATTAGATTTTTGAGTAAAAATTGTTATTGGTATATCTTTTTTTCATTGTATTGGTTGTTTGCCCTTCGTTAATGATTTTCACTTGGTATTGGATATCACGCGCTTCAAATCCCAGACTTTATAACTATAACATAACTATATTCATTCACGAGCACGCACTCACTTTTATATCTTGCCGTATCCTGCCTCAATAGCAATTAAGATCAAGCAGATACCCATAACAGAGTGCACTATGAAAATTGTCAAATATAAAGTCAAACTTAACTTGACAAATAATATCCTGAAATTGAATTTAATGAAAGGATAGCGGTTCTTTGTTGGACTATTAAAGGGGGGAGGTGAACATAATTTGTAAAACTGAAGTTGAAGACATGACTGTCAGCAATCTGGGAAACATTCTATAATGATTTTTCAGTCAGAGTTAAGTGGTTTGGACACGTTGTCTGCCTTAATTAGGGAACTACAACGACAGAAAACGTCTTGGCGCCAACTTTGTCAGCTGAAGTTGAGAGACTTACATCGGCTGTGGTAAAGGGAGTTTGTTTTTGAAACTGGCTCAATCTTTCTCAAAGGCGGTACCGGTCTTGTTTGATGTATGAGCCAATCATTAATCTTCGTTATAGTTGTCATGTAACTTACGTTTGTTGCAAATCCGGAAAACCTGATAAATAACCCAGTATAAGGCTACATCACCCACGCAGGAAAGAGTTAATAATACAGTAACTTTTAAAGACGAAATGGAAAAGTGCGCCGTCAACAAGATTGATGTAACAAGATCAAATCCGGACTTGTAGTATAAATCAAACAAATTAGGCCTATCCATGCATATGGATCACACAAAGATGTGGGTTTCGTCATTAAACATTGGCTGTCAATTGCACACAATTTGAAACATCCGGCTAAAGTTTCCTCTAAGTACCTTTTGTCGACAAATTTTATCAAAAGGTTATGTACGTCCCACATTAAAATCGTCATTTAGGTAACATGCAGATTCCATCATTCAATCTTTTTTGCTTCAATGTCTTAGTGTGAGTCTGCTCAAGTTTTTGGTTAAATTGGTTTCGAACTTAGTGAGATAAGTTTGCTTTGTTTCGATCAGGCGGTGATCTTATAGTTGATTTTGTACCTGTAAGTGTAAGGTCCAACTTCCTCAAATGCAGGTTTACTTCCGTTCAAGAATTCCTCCTTATTGGTAAGATTCCATACGTAGTACTGCATGTAGACTGGGGTTGGGGTCTCCACCCAGGTTTCGAACGCCGTTGACCCTTCTACTAAAGTGGTATCCTAAAAATATTGGGAAAGACGGAACAATATTGAAAGTGGATGTATTTTATAATACATTAGCTCATGTTAAAAACAGCAACAGCACTTTTGTACACAGTATTTTACTTTTCTGTACCAAAATTTAACAATAAATGTTCTTTGTATAAAATTGACCATCAAGTTTGTGGGACATCTGATTCCAATATTGCTCAAGCTGTAGTTTAGTTTTTCTGTTTATATTCTAAGCTTTTCCTGAAACCTTTTCGGAGGTACGTCACAACTGATCTATATTTATTTATCACATTGGTGGTTCAATATTCTGATACTTGCCTGAGTAGATTGGCTTGATGAAATTTAATTTCGACAACACCGTTCAGTTGGGGAAATCCAACTTTTTGGAAGTCACTCCTTTTTTTGTATATCTTTGACTAAGTCACAAGACTCATTTACATCTATCAGTAATAACGTCAATATTATTATCGTGACCCTGGAGTTTAAATATGTTCATTTCATATAGCAACATCGCACCACTCTACATAAAGGTATCTTATCAGATAGTTTGCCTATTACTTATTCGTAGGTCGATGGTCGCCAAGATACAATTATATATCACCACAGCGAGTCAGCGACCCATTAGTTAAAGTTCGTTCGCAGTGCAAATACACCCAAGCGTGTTTCCGTACCTTTTAGGAACAACATATCTGTAGAGGTGTTTTCAAGGACTAATGATTAAGCGTGAAATTAAGTAAAGCCTAAATACGCATTTGCCCAGACTTTTGAAGTTCGAGTAGGTTAGGCAAAAAAAAAGTCTCCGGTTTCTGGTATGCGCGCGCGTCGCCGTAACCATGCGCGTCGGCAAAATGAAACAGTTTTTTTTTCAATAAAAGATGATGTCTCAAAACCGCCAAATTCCTTTGTTTGACTGGAATCCTGCTGCTGCACAATTTCAACGTGTTTTTAGATAGGGTTATGATCGAGAATAAGCTTTATGTGGCCACTCTGGTCTCCCATAATATTGGCACTAAGTTTAGTCGGGCACCATTTGCAGTCATCAGCCTACATTTGAAGCAAAAAAAACAGGTAAAAAAAAAAAAAGCCGCGTCGCCGCACCACTTTTTGGGCAAGCTCCATACCAGAAACCGGAGACTTTTTTTTTGGCCTTAGTACTGGTATTTTAGTAGAATTTCCATAAAGCTTTGCTAAAAAGGAGCCTTTTGAGCAAATGCAAGTGAAAAGTTTGAATATGCAATGCAATAATATTCGCTATTAGTATTAGAACAAATTTTATCGTGGTAACCACGCCAATAATGTTGCGTATGTTTACGATTAGTCAGGTTAATTGGCATGTGTTACGGGTACATAGGCCTGTTGTGATGCTTACACGTTACCAAGAGGGTAATTTAAAACTAATGAACAAAAGTACATTGTCTGGGAGCAAAACAATGAACTCATAACTATAAGGGGTTAATGATTTATGTTTAAACAATGTTTTAGTAATGGCGTTTCACTGTCTTGCTTGTACTAATGGATTGAGACCTGAATTGCTCGCACAGCTTCTAGCTGAATCTTTCCCTCTAGATAAAGGCACCTGCTGCCGTCCAAAGTCCTCAGCATGAGGCATTTTCAGAGGGGTTAAAGCGGAAGAAGTATTTCCTTCTTACAAATAGACTCTGCTGCAAGAAAAGAGGCCGTTGCCATGGATTCCCTGGTGATATAACTTTTCATTGTAATGTATTAATCGAAGCTCTAAGGCTTGTATTATACCCTCTAAATTCCAAAGAGTGAAATTAGGGACAAGACGTTTAAGAGTGAAAATCACTCTCGTTTTCGATTGAAATAGTCTAAAAAAAGAACCACTTCAGTCGACGCTCGAGTAAAAACTCGATCTTTACGATTGAAGAAATTTCACTCTAAAACATCTAGTCCCTAGTTTCCGACTGTGGGAGTGAATCTTCACTCGAATGAAGTGAATTTTCACTCTTTGGAATTTAGAGAGTACCAAAACTCGGACTGTTGTGCATTTCACAAATCATGCACATGTTTACGCTTACTAAAGGAAACCTAACCCACTGACCATTATACAAAAATTGATTCAAGTAAAACAATCAATTACATATATTCTCATTTAGAATTATATAGCTTACACCAATGTACAGAGGATAAAAAAACACATTTTTTGTGGAAAAATCTACTTTGAAAGGCGACAAATAATTATGTTTAAATGCAAGAAAGAGCATGTTTCGACCTTTTCGAAATCTATGGCTATAAGACATAGGCCTAATGCAGTTTTCCTCGGCAGGAAGCTACATTAATTCGTTAAGTTACCCTTAGGTTCCCACGTAACTTTTCAGCATATTGAAGAAACCATTACAGAATTTTTGTGAGTGTAAAGGTATAGAGCCCGCAACAGGCTTGAAAGCCGTCCAAGAGGTCAAAATGCCTCTGAAAGTGTAAGTAACTTTAAAAGGTGCCACTTAAATTTTAAGGTATTGTTTAAAATTAGGTTTAGTACTGATGGATTTTGATGAATAAATATCACCAGAAATACGGATATATGCTTATCACTGAACACATCGTCGGAATAATCCACCAACTTTGTATGGTAGTTGTGACGGGCAATTTATATGCAACAGGTACACAACAGTAAAATGATGGATGATTATAATCATGTCAACAAAGATCGTTTGTAGTTCTTTGATCAGTTTGTTTTTCTACTTTGCTAAATCATACCAATGAATATCAGTACTGATTTAAACAAAGGATTATCTGCACTGCAGTGATTGTATTTGTTTTTGGTAACCAAATGACTGCCCATCCATGCAAGTTTAATACCGGTAAAAATGATCCAAAAGAAAATGTTTAAAATCATCAGTGTAAAACGAACCAATAAACCAGAACATCTTACCGTTTCAACTGTCGCAGTGATGAAAATATTCACGACCACGACCAGAACGCCTCCAAGTATTATCAGAAACGCCCCCAACACGCCGAACACATAAACCCAGTTTTTCGAGCAGCAGCAATGCCCCATCTCGTGATCGGAGATCCTTCAGAGCACAACCCCGCTACAAGTGTGTCCTTCCACTCCTGTTTACAACCGCGAGAACATGCAGTCTCTTCCGGGATTCAAAGCTTAAATGTCACGCTCGTTCAGATCTCTCCCTCTTAAACTGATATAGCCTGAACTGTATACGTCAAAAGGAGATGACAGCGCGAGTTGAGTTTATGAACCGATTCCATGCGTTACCACGCTCTAGCATCAAGCAGAGAGGATTTCTTCCTCTTCAGATCAGTGTGTATTAGACGCTATGTTTATCTTGGTTGCTCGGCTCCGGAGCTTTTTATACCGATCGGCACGAACACCAGTTTACTAGACTAAATCTTGCTGATGGTGAATTTAATTTACAAATTGATTGATACTTATCTATCACCGGGTTCAGACACCCTCAGTATGTAAAACAAACGCGTTGCGAGCTGGAGTTATACTTGTTCCGAGCAGTAAGCTATCGTTACAAAGTCCTTCCGATTAAACTCCGGCCGATGGTTATACCAAGCTAAACTGATAGTGGATTAACCATTAAATGGTTTTTCCATTTTTATCGGAGTGCAGATCCATTACTGAATAAGGCCTAACAGATAGTAAGATAAAGGCGTTACTGATTAACCAAGCCCGTACCGGTTGATATCATTGCGTTCCTTGTTTTGGAAATTTTTACTCAGTGTGCACTTCAGATGTTAGGAAGGGGTAAATCCATTCGCATATTCTCTATAAATTTATAATTTAAGCTACAACCTGCACAAAAAGGACAGGTCGGAGAATTATCTTGGGAAATGTGACAGATTTGATTATGTCAACTTGACTTTCAAAATTGAAACATGCCTAGGATGACTAGAATTGAAATTATTAGAAAAAAAATGGAAGCTGGGACAATTAATGAATTTAAATTTGAAACAGGAAATCGTGTAGAGAAAAGTTTAGGCGCGTGAACAATATATACATGAAACAAACAACTTCCATAAACTCCGTTTGTAAACGTGTGCCGTTGTTTGAGAGCAAATAAATCATGTTTTGAGAAGTAACTACTGGTGAGCATAATGTTTCTGCTTCTTGGGGATTTGTTCTTTATCATCTGTTAGTTATGCTCTTTGTGTAGAATCAATCAGCCTGCACTCTTATCGGCTAGTCACTTTCATTTTGCTTTATAAATGTGCCTACTTTTTTTTTTAACCAATTGGAATTCAAATTTGTCACCTCGAATGAATTTTCTTGCTGCGCAGCAGCAGGATGAATAACTTTATGCTGATGAGACATCCACTACTTGTATTCTAAGTGTTCTTTTCTTCTGAGTGTTACTTACATTCTAAATGTTTTTTCCTCTTAATACGTACTGTTCTATAGTTCATCCGTAATTTTTCATGGTTAGGTTCTGTCTTGGTCCAACCTTCTGTGTGTACTTGTTCTTGTTGCTGTTTTGAGTTAGTACGTCCAAGGCATCTCGCCACAAGCCTAGGCGTCTAGAGGATGCCTCCATACCTATATATGTTTCGCCTCTGACACCTCTTTGACAATTCCATTTACCTCTTCATTCACTTATTCGTGTATTCTCTGCTTATATCTCTCATTTGGCATGGAAATAAATGTGAGTTTGAATTTAATTGATTTGAATTCAATTAAATTGAAATGATTTGAATTAAATTGGATTGAATTGAATTGAATTCAATTCACTTTGAATTTAATTCACTTGAATATAGGCCTGCGGATATGCGTACAGTATCCAGGATATAATTTGGTCATTCAAATTACATTAACCTTATTTACATATATAAAAATGACATGGTGCATTCATTATTACTGTATTGTAAGTCTGACGATCACATTCATATACATAATGGTAACCAGGTTTGCCTAATTTCTCCATGAATTGTAATTATACGTGCGTGTACGCTAATTGACATCATTTATGAAACGTAATGGGGCATTATTTGGTAACCTTTGAATGGGTGGCGGAAAAAAACCCCAAAAGGACCCAAAACAAACATTCAGTAGAATATCGATGTATTGATTGTGACTAAATAAGGTACAAAGTACATTGAAATTGCCCCTATCATAAAATAGGAGAGTCGTGGGTGTGTCAGACGCGCATCAATGTCACTTTGCTGATAAATAAGCTCCTATTGAAACTGTTTGAATTAGGTACAACAGGTGCGAGCGTCTCTGCTGAACAGGGAAGCTGAAAATACTTGAAACTGACGCAGCATCAATATTTTTTTTATATTGGCCTGCCACAATTTCCTCTGTTGGAAAAACAAGTGCAAAAAGGTTGACCTCAGTTTATCCATCCTGCAGTCGCAAAGATTACATTCTTGTTTACTGTTTGTGTTAGTCTTTGTAATGGCAAGGAATTGACAGAAGGCGAACAATGCAGGTGTCAAAATAACCGTAGAGTAAACAACAACCAGCTATATAGTAGAAAACGAAACCCTTTGAGAACGACAGCAATCACCCTTGTCACTGACCTCGGAATATGCAGTCTGGCGCCCTCTCGCTATTCCTTAAACCCCCTCCACCATAGTTATAGTGCGCCATCTCTTGTCCTAAATGTTTTACACTCTTTACGATGAGACCTTAAAACATTCAAACTGCCAAGGACTGTTTGATGCGATTGTAAAGCAGATAACATAATTACTATATGGAAAGTAAAATGACTGTCAACATACGCGAACACACTTTAACGTAACATATTAACGTGGCATAAAACGCTACTCTCGATTAGAAAAAAAATCCAAAAGTATATTAACATTTTTTTTTTTTTTAACTCTTGTTCTAAATTTGATTGAAATTCTTAATTTCATGGTTGATATCCATTAAGGGTAAACTTGGACAGTTCAGCCCCTTGGTTGTAGGAAATACCGCTTCTTTCAGAGAAAATATTAAGGAGCCTGTATCGGGCATCCTCACCTTGACACAATGGGGGCGCTGTTTAACAACCATGAGCTTTCAGAAAAAGTTTGACTATCTTGTGCGCTAAGGCCAAAAAAAAAGTCTCTGGTTTCTGGTGTGGAGCTTGCCCCAAAAGTGGTGCGGCGACGCGTTTGTTTGTTTGTTTGTTTGTTTTTTTACCCAATTTTTTTTTCCCTTCAAATGTCGGCTGATGTTGCAGATGACACTTCGATCCCCTTGAAACTCTCAAAATATCCTTCAGGGTGCAGCTTGAGGTGACCTCATTAAGGCCATAAGGCTTGAGAAGTATATTGAGCTAAATAAAAAGCGTTTACAGGTTCCAGATACACGACCATTGCTCCGTCAGTCTGGCTTTGTCCAGACGCACAATTACAACACCGTCTGCAAATGGTGCCCGACTAAATGTAGTGCAAAATATATGGGAGCCCAGGGAGGCCGCATAAATACTCGATTGTAACCCCGTCTAAAAACACGTTAAAATTGTGCCGAAGCAGGATTCCAGTCAAACCAGTGAGTTTTGCGGTTTTGAGACATCATATTACATTGAAAAAAAAAACTTTTTAATTTTGCCGACGCGCATCGCTACAGCGACGCGCGCATACCAGAAACCGGAGGCTTTTTTTTTTGGCCTGAAGCCTGAAGGGTAAGATTCTGCAAGCATTCAAATATTACGGACAAAAATATGGAAACGAGTATCATTAAACATTTTCTTTGCACTGAGCGTGTCGATTCACATGAACGCACTGTTTAGTCTCAGCCGATCAAGACGTTTCCATCCATTTTCTAGAAAACCTTACCTCTCATGAACCTTGATATTGAAGCGGTCAGAGTCTTGAGAAATCAAGTGATAACAGCCGCAAAAGCTCCCAGCCTCCAGGTTGTCATTAACACTTTGATGGAACGGGTGTTTCTTAATTGAAGAGCCTCTTGGAATTGTCCGGGGATGGCTACTGTGTATGTTTCTTCTCATCAGTTCTATTTTATTCATTTGTACATTGATAAAAAAATGTAATGTATTTCACTTCTTTTCTTACATCTGGTTCTCAGACTCTCTCAGACCAGTCTGCTCTCCAAGTCACCACGTTGTCTGTCTCCTCTCCTCCTGGTTTGCTTTCACATCTTCAATTTCCTAAGAAGAAATCGAACACCAGGTGAACTCTTCAATATCGTTCACACCTAAATCGAAACTTACTTTTATACACAGTTATTTTTTTGGCCCATTTTGGTGGGCAGCACTTATCAGTCTTTTTGCTGAAAGGCTGTAAGCAAAGCCAAACTCAGTCTTGACCAATTAAACTTGTTTTTCTCGCCAACTCTTTTAAAAGTCAACATCGATTACCAAAACAACTTCTCTAAATAATTCAATCAGTGGGAAACGGGACACTTACGATCAATTTCCCGAGGTCCGCATAATCTAATAAGATACATATTTGCGTTGGACCTACATTCAGTTCGCCATTGCAATAAAATCCACGGTTTACATTGCCGGTCAGTAACTTGTACGTGTTTGTAAGAGCTAGAAACTGGATACTATCGAAAAATACTTCAAAATTGCGAAATTAAGCTGATGATTAATCTAATCCATCGGGAAATTTGTGACGGTGAATGGTTGCCAACTTGCCATTGCCTCCTGAGGCATGGCCCATGATAATTGGTAATCTGTTGACGCACTTTGCTCGGTTGATTGCCCAAATCTATTTGTAACATGTTTTCTTGCATCTTGTAATTTGGGGAAGATCATCGTGTATTCATTGTTAAACCTGCTTTTGACGACCTGAAGACCTTTAGCTATGCAGTTCCCTGTTGACGGGAGCTGCTGAACACTGAAAAGAAATTGAATTGGTGCCCAGGGTCTGAAAAAATTTTAACTTAAGTGCAAATGAAATGTCATATGTCGCAGCATGCGTTTAACCTTTACAAATAACGCTTACCCCCATGTTGTTTCTAGCTAAATAAAGTTAATTGAAAACGATATAAAACTCGTAGGAAGGGATCTTTGTCTTGGTCCGCTCTAGATGTAAAAGTTGTGGGAATTGCGATAGAACTATGTAGCACAGCACAACACGCGTATGTTTGATGGCTCGGCGCAGTTGGAGGGCGTTGTAAATCCTAAAATGGGAGTGAATTGTGGAAATGCCCCTCCGCTGGTTTTAATGTTGTATCCACCAGGGATGTAAATTTCACTGTCACCACTAGAGGGGGTAGTTGTTCGTGAAGGACCATGTCATTTCACTCTATGTGGGTAGACACTTAGAAGTCAGTAACCCCATGTTTAATTGTTCTGATGTAGTGGGCGATTCATAGTAAACCTCGCATAGGGAAAACATGATCTGCAAATGTTTGCAACTGATCTGCAAATGAAAACCTGTTTTTACATGTACGGAGGCGAAATGAAGCCTGGGCAGTCTCAAGGGTTGTCGGAGAAAAACATTACCAAGTTTACTAAGTAGCCGCCCGTGGGTTGTTCCGTGGTCATCAAAAAATAACCATATGTTTCATGTTTCATGTTTTCATGCTCGGTGAAACCAAAACCCGGGGGCAGGGCAACATAATACTTGCCATTAGTACGTTTGAAAACTGTCCAGC